AAGAAAAAGTTCTGTTCAATGAAAAAAATTTCGAGAGTATATCTTCAGGAGTGTAGCGGCGAACTAATTATGTTACTAATGATGGTTAATTACGATATAGTTCTTGGTTTCTTGGTCGCAGTGTAGAACTATTAAGCTATTAGATGTGGGTAACCAACTACCGCAAGAATCTTGAAATCGAAGTGAACTCTGCTGAGCTTCTATAAAACGTTTATTAGCATTCCATTAAGCATTTAGACTTTAAGTCAAGGAAAACCGTCTCAAATGAGCCAATTAAATCACACGGCGTTATTCATTACTCTAACGCATTGACATTTTTAATTCTTAACAGCTGATCAACGAATTTAAATTTAAACATGAATGAAAAAGTGAATAAAACGCCATGTAAATTCATCATTTATCATTGATGAATCATAGTTATAAAATGCAATATTTACTTTTTATTGACGTTCGATGAATTTTGAAGTCGTTGGTGCAAAACGCCGCGAAAAACCCGAATTTCGATGCAAAATAATATCTGATTTATGCCAAGAATAATGCATCCTACAGAGCGGAACTAACGTAACAATCTCAGAAGAAGAGATTATCGAGCGTTATTCTCAGTCATTAATAATTCAGTCCCAAACATTGATAATCTAAGCGCGTATCGAACTGATTTCTGTTTATCATACTTGCTGAACGTTTTTGAATTTGAGTATAAATTCAGCAAAAAACCGGAGGACAAAGAGCATGATTTGAAATTAATCTAAAAAGTTTGTTCGAAAAATATATTTACTTTAATTGTTACAATTTTTGCCTTCGGCAGTTAAAGAAAGCAAAACTTTCAGAAGGGGTTAGTCGATAATTGCATACCATCACACATTTAATCGCATATGTAATCGGCATGACATAGCTGTTATCAGCAGGCATTATCGAGTCCAGTATGATATGGTGGAAGGCAGATATTCCAGTCAGTGCGGTCTTGTAGTCGAAAAGTCGAAACGATCTTTGGCATCGACTTAGAAAGGGCGTGACTCGAGACAGTCCAGAAATTACTGATGAAGGGAGAAGGAGTTCGGGAACAGTCGCGACCGAATGTGAACATTTACCGTGCTTTCTTCGGAAATGGTTTGTGTCCATAATGCGTGTTTTGTCGTGAGTCATGAGTGTGCTTATGGTGGGTGCGGAGAACGTTGTGAACTGTTCACTTGACTTGAGAGAACTCGACGCGTCTATCCAATGAATGTTGGATGTTAGTTCGGGTTTTCTTCACAAAATCCAGCTCCCTTCACTGCTCTGTGGAGGGAGCTGAAGTTTAAAGCACCTTTGAAACCAAATCCGATGCGACCTTCATTAATTTTTTTCAAGTTAGCTGATTTTTCTTGTTACATGTCAATTTATTAACCATGGCGTTCCGCTTCAATTGACGTAGACATAATTTATATTTCAATGACGCTTTAACGCCTAAACTAGCGATGATGCAACTCTCAATTATATTTTAAATATTAGATGAACATATCTTGGGTAGTAAAAGTATAATAGAAGCTGCTTTCCCCTCCCCCAGGTTCAGCCACATGATGGGAAGGACTTGAATTTTCCTACGACGGGTGTATGGTTCCGTCAGATAACGATTGACCAAAAATGTCCACTGTGCTTTAAACTCTTCGAATTTTGTGCTGGGAGGAAGGTTGTAAAGCTGGAGCGTTGCTCGCATCTTTTCTGCAGTGAGTGCAGCATTAAATATTTGGAATACCGTCGTCATAGAAGCATAACAACTGCACTTCACAATTTCGACGGCCGGAGCAGTTCATTAATTAAGTGCGTGAGTATTGGTACTATAGCTCGAGAAGAATTTCCATGATTTTCATCTTAATTCCGTTCACCTATTGTATTGATTACAAAATAAATGTCAAAAATATATATGCCGAAATGGATGTTATTTTATAATTAGGATCATAATTTGTTTGTAGAATTGAATATAATGGCTCACAATTTATGCCATTTGAGTAATTTGCGGTTCAGTGCACAAAATGTACGTGAATATATCCGCTTCGATGACTCAGCTCTTGGGAACACGAAACAAATTTTTAAAACTGAAACTGTCAAGCTCTCCTGGAAGGGAAGATTGGAAGTTTTTGACCAAAGAATTAAACTTTTCCGACTTGAATACAGCAAATTTGTAGTTTTATACGTTGACCTCTGGCAATATAAAAAATAAGTGAAGAAAGCCAAAACCAAGTTATGTCATAGGTTATTTTGTTCTGAAGTTTGGTCACTGTGTTGTGTTACACGGAAAAATTTATTTAATCTGCCCATATCTATAAGCCAAAATATTTATAATTTTTGTTTTGTTTTATGACTTCCATTATTCAAGTTAAGGGCACTTTTTGATTTCAAAATATGAGAGGCTTAACACACGCTTCTCATTCCTATTATTTATTCTGAACAAATTTTCCGGAAGTGAACATGAAATCTGACGCTCCTTCACCGTATCAAAGTTTCAGTGATAAGAAAGATACAATAAATATTTTATTTCGCGTCTGCCGGTATTTACTGGTGAGCACTGGTATACAACCTCTCTATTTATGTAAGGTCACACTCAGAAGAATGAATGCGTCTTTTTGTCTAAATTGTGACACAATTTCCCAATCACAGCACAAGCAAAGAGAGAACGCAATTAACACATGATACGTATTTTTACCCAGTCGAAATGGGTGAGGATGACCCACACAGATACAAAAAAGTGTATCGCTATTGGGATAAAGTCTAAATCATTTCTCTTGATAGGTATTCAATTATTTCACGGAAGTGTGAATTTCCAAGCTGAGATGTTCTGCACCTTGTTCAGCCCGTGCCCAATCTGCGGTGAAGAGTTCAGTAGCGGGGAGTTAATTCAGCTGCAAGTGAAGGCATCCAACATCTTCGTGAGCATTTGGCGAAGGCTCAAGAATTTCGTGGAGTTCGAGAGTAAAAGGTTACCGCGTGAACGAATATCCAGTGAATTGTAATAATTTGTACCTTGAATATAGTTGACTCTATGAGTCTAAATATTTTTATAAGAAAATCAAAGTTTTCTGTGGCTTCTTTCTTGTGACCTTAATTATGAAAAGGATGGAGTAAATGAGGCATCAAAACCATTATTTCCGCTAGGATGAGTATAGGAAATACGTTTGTAGAATTTTAACTGGTGTGGTTTGCCATGAAATATCAGCAGAAATACTTGTATGAAAAATATTTCCAGTTTCGATGCAGTTCAGCTTGGATCGAGTTCTCTTAAAATGCAAATTTGGTATATGTCTTATAATTAAAAGATAGTTTGAAAATTACGTTTATAGACCGAACTTATTTCAAACAGAAAAATAGAATCGACTGAAACTCCAAATTGAATTCTAATTTTAAGAGGCTTATTTCTTGAAATTATTTAATATAATAAAATAAGCTATATAATAAAATAAGCTATTTGATGGGATCAACCCATATTTTTGCATAAAAACGAGTGCAATTGATAACGTTGACAATAACACCTTTTCTTTGTAAGTATTTGGACAATCGACTTTATAGAAGATCGATTACGCCATGAATTACAATTCAAGATCCAGTGAAATTCAACGAGAATTTATATGATCAAACAAATAAAATAGATTACAAAATTATGAACAATATTTTAATCGAATTGCGGAATAATCTTATATTGGCGTTCTGTCGTAGTGATGTGTAAGGGGGAAAATTTTGATTACAAGCTTGAATTGTTAACCTCAGGTCACGTAACTAAAGTGAGCTGGGTGATAAGAGAAATTTAATTTAATTGAAGAAATAGCTACACTTACTCGTATTTAACTCCATGTATGAACGTTATCAACGATAGAAAGAAAATGAAGAAAATTCCAGCGCGGCGTTCGTCCTAGCGAGGCTGACTGGAAAGATGTGCGACACTAAAAGCGATAAAAACGCCGAATATGTGTCCCGGACAAAGATACTACATTTCAAATAGCCAATTTTGGAACGGCTTTCCTTACTTGTGCTGTCTTGCTTTAACTCGGTACGTACGCAATACGGGACTGTATACCTGCTCGGCAGCGCGCTGTGTGGGGTCCTGCACACTGAACTAGTCAGGGGCCTTATTATCAAATATAGTTACGATTTAGTAACTCCATCAGTCAATCAGTAACGGTTTTCCAAGCTAATCCTACCAATCAAAAATGAGAAATCGGCCACTGTGAGTACTTATGACGCTAAGTGTATTTAGATCACTACGTGTACCTCGGCTGCAAAGTGTTCTTAGGCTGCTGGGTGTACTTAGGCTGCTAGGTGTACTTCGGCTGCTGGGTGTACTTAGGCTGCTAGGTGTACTTCGGCTGCTGGGTGTATTTAGGCTGCTAGGTGCATTTCGGCTGCTGGGTGTATTTAGGCTGCTAGGTGCACTTCGGCTGCTGGGTGTATTTAGGCAGCTAGGTGTACTTCGGCTGCTGGGTGTACTTAGGCTGCTAGGTGTACTTCGGCTGCTGGGTGTATTTAGGTGCTAGGTGTACTTCGGCTGCTGGGTGTATTTAGGCTGCTAGGTGTACTTCGGCAGCTAGGTGTACTTCGGCTGCTGGGTGTACTTAGGCTGCTAGGTGTACTTCGGCTGCTGGGTGTATTTAGGTGCTAGGTGTACTTCGGCTGCTGGGTGTATTTAGGCTGCTAGGTGTACTTCGGCTGCTGGGTGTATTTAGGCTGCTGGGTGTTTAAGCGAGTTTTGATAGTACAGTCCCAAGTCACTAGATTGCAGACAGGCGATTAACTATAAGACGGGATGATTTTCCCTGCGCTGGCGTGTAACGGAGATCGAGAGCATTTGTGGAGGCATGGGAACATCTGGACTCCTTTCAAAATGCACAATGAGAACAAGAATGAAGAAGTCGGATCAGTGGAGCTTTCATAACTTTGCTATACGAGACAGAGGATGTGTAGGAGTGCCTTTCACTTTCAGCGTGATCAGGAACAGAGAAATTAAGTTCATTCGATATTATGCATGTATTTATAGGTTAGAACACATCTCTAAGCACTGTTTTAAAATAATGGCGTCTAATTCCCGTCATAAATAATATCGTGCGCTAATATCTTACGCTATTCCAGACATTCCAGTATAATATTACCATTACGATCATGTTTATTGTAACAACAGGAAAAGAAGATTAATCACGAACATTTAAATGAGGAAGATATTTAGTAGGGACATTCACGAAGAAATATTGATCAATATCATGAAGAGATGCAGAAGCTTATGTGAAGTTAAATGAAATTAGTGTATCTCAATGACGAAACTCCTCGCCATTGAATTAGAACCAAGATGGCTGAGACTCATCCCAGACTCAGTCTCAGTATTATTAATAATTCATCTAACAACAACTCGATATTTCTATATCTTTGCGTGAAGTACGTGTGATTTCGGATATTTTCTCCATAATGTTAAAGGTTTTTAGAGACAACTTTATGTAATTGAAAGCTTGCAAGTAAATGAACTTTAGGAAAACAATTTTTTTTCTGCGCATAGTTATGACAATTGAGAGCAAATGATTACGTGCAATCACACATATATGTAGCCGTGCAATTAGAAATCTGCAACAACCTGAAATGTTACAACCTTAACAACATGAGCCATATATTAACGCAGATTTAACTACCTATAGCCAGTAAATCGATATAATTAACCCCACAAAAAATCAATTTAAGTACATAAATATTTTCAGAGGCAACCTGAAAACAATTTGGGATAAATTACGTCCGAGTACCAGTTTATAGTGCTGATAATAAATTCTTGGAGTCTGCACGCAAATTGTTTTCAAAGAACCAGGCTCCTTATAATGAAACGCTTTTTAAGAATCTTTCACTCGAAATAAAGTTGCACCTAATTAGCTTGGCTTTGTCGGTCCTCTGTTTCCATCTTGGTTGCGGCAATGATGTCGATGTAGCACGGCAAGGGTACGAGTTGGTGAAGGTGCAATTGAAGCAAGCTCTCCCAAGTGCTAGCCACGCAACCCACCAATCCAACCAGGATGGTGGCGGTGGCTACAACCAAGTCCACGACTGATGTAGAGCCCAGACAGCGATGCTGCAAAATGTAAGTTTTTCAATTTCCATCCAGCAGTACGTATTGAAAATGTTCGAATAAATGTGATAATGCATGCTTCCGTTCCAAACTCTTTATGATTTTGGTTATAATATATTTTTTCCAAAAATTTGACGCAACCTTCATGTCATATTAGCACGACTTTTTGTGTTTCAAAGCAAATTCCTAAGATTATCCCAAGTAGTTTTCAACACTTTAATGCCCAGGTTCGATACCTTAAAGACGAAGTTCCCAAGTGGTTTTCAGCACCATAATGCCCAGGTTCGATACCTTATTGACGAAGTTCCCAAGTGGTTTTAAGCATTCTAATGTTAGGTTCGATACCTTAAAGACGAAGCTCCCAAGTGGGTTTCAGCATTCTAATGCCCAGGTTCAATACCTTAAGGATGAGGTTGAAGACCGGGGGCATTATGAACATGAAGGGCGTGACCAAGAGGCCGCCCACCAGCTCGATGGCCACACCGAAGTGTGGCAGGGACTCGCACAGGAACAGCAGCACCAGCATCAGACAAGTCCGGCACACCGCGCGACGCCAGCCGAACGCTGACACATGTGCATTTTATTCAAGACGTCGATTTAGAAAACAATAATTTTTTTATTTATACTCTACCAAGTGATGTGTTGAATTTATGATATAAAAACTCGTCGAAAATAGCACTTAATTAACACAGCATTAATATGATATATTTCAATTACCACAACAAATTAAATCATGCATTATAATAATACGTTATTCAAAAGATTACAATTAACATGACATTTTAATAAACGTCATGTTAATAGCAGCAAAAAAAAAGAAATATTTTCCGGAACAAGCAACGTTATCCGAACGCTTACACATGTACACTATCCTCAATAAGTTTATTATTATTTTGTTATTATTATCAATTGATATAATATATTACCTTAGACTATAACAACTGATTGTATCTGTATTCTATTTCTTACAATTTTTAAACTAACGATTTAGCTGAACTCCGAAACGTTTCCTATAAAGATAAGAAAAATTTTTGTGGTATTTTATGCTTTTAAATTTCGGGTTAACATTTTATGGTATCGGAATAATATTTAATTAAAGAATGCCACAAAATCTACCAGGGTCATAAACGCGGTAATTTTGAAGATCGCGATGATTTTGCACGCGTTTTACGACACAAATTTACATAAGTAAATCACCAAAAATAATGAGGGATAAAAATGTGAGTAATGCAATAAGACTCAGAGGCTACTGAGTTTGGACGTAAGTTCCACTCTAATTTTCGTAAAGAATAATATGTATAAAATTCGGAAGAAAATACTGAAAATATATTAGATAACGCAATTCTATATATTAGAAAACACAAATTCTTGTAAAATTTAAACAAGAATCCACCGCCTCCACGGAATTAAACAGAAGCCACGTACCATCCGTAATACCGAGCCACTCTTCGACATCTTGGAAGAGCGCATTGATGCCCAGACACAGACAGATCAGCACCTGAGAACGGTTCAAGCCGCCGTGTAATTCAATTAAGGGATAACTTCCAGTGTTAGATTTAGATAACGTCATTGCACTACTGATGATGAAACTAAATTCTAGAAATGTGAAAGAGAAGTAACTGCATCATTGCCGAACTAATGACTAATTAGTAATTATTCATAAAATTAACAGCTAGGTAACTTCGAGTGTTAGATTTATATAACATCCGCGCACTACTGATGACTTAACTAAATCCTAAAAATGTGAAATAAGAAGTAACTTCATTTCACATTTTCGAACTAATGTCATTTCGAACTAATCGAACTGATAATTAATTAGTAATTATTCATTAAATTAACTGCTAGATAACTTCTAGTGTTAGATTTAGATAACGTCCTTGCACTACTGATGATGAAACTAAATTCTAAGAATGTGAAATGGGAAGGAAGTTCATCATCATCGAACTAATGATTAATTAGTAATTATTCATTAAATTAACAGCTAGATAACTTCTAGTGTTAGATTTATATAACGTACGCGCACGGCTGATGAAGAAACCAAGTTATTAAAATGTTAAATGAGAAGGAACTTCACCATTATTGAAATATAATTAATTAGTAATTATTCAAGTAATTAAGTAGTTCATTACTTATTTAAGAAAAGTATTGAATTTCAATAATTCTTCAAAGTTTTCCTAAAATAATTGTATGGCAAGTAAGTGTAATGAGCATTTAGTACTGTGCTTGAAAAATAATTTCATTATATCACCTGATTACTCATAAAATTAATGGGTCATATAGTTTGAATAGTGACACACTTTCTGCTCGTAGCACTGATACCCTCTTTTGCATGCCAAACTGGGCCACGTGGACGAACACAATGGAAAAAGTGAATTACTATTTGTACATAAGCTCGTACATTTCTCTGAGTGTAACAGCGCATTAATAATAACGACTATGAAGAAAAATTTGAGTTTCTTAAGGCGAGGTTGCTAGATAATTCGAAAAGGAAAGTTAATTTATTGAGTTCGTAAGCAGTTTCTGCAACAAAATAGAAGATGATTTTCAAAGTTTGAACATGAATTCATAGAAATGCCATGTCAAATCCCATAGCATGGTAAATCACCTTAAAATCCAACAGGGTATACAATTAACAGACATAGACAATTATAAGCAAGACTCTTACCGTATCATCGGAAAGACTTATTGCCTTTTATATATAAGATAGTCAGGCGTGATGCATGTATCCGACGGGCGCTGACGGGATTGACAACACTTTCATATCGAGTATTAATTAAGGGTCGGAGCTATTCGTAGTTGAGAGACCGTAATAATAATCGATAATATAATAATATTATATTATAGTTATTATTATAATAAATTAGAATAATATTAATAATAAAACAGACATGAACAATTATAAGCAGGACTCTTACCGTTTCATCAGGAAGACTATGTTGCCTTTAATTTACAAGATAGTCGGGTGAGATGCATTTATTCGACGGGCGCTGACGGGATTGACAACATATGCGTACCGAGTATTAAGGGGCGGTGCTATTCGTAGTTGAGGGACCATAATAATAATTAATAATACAATAATTAATATAATATAATAATATTATATAATAATTACTAATATAATATAATAATATTATTATTAACAATATAATGTCGCTGCATGCTTGCCTGGAAGATGACGGCGGTCATGACACCGTGCAGCAGGGGCGTGGTGGGCAGGCTGTTCAGGAGGTTCTGGGACACTGAGTCACCATACCGTATCCAGGATACCACCACCACGGGCACATACGGCGCCTGTAAACAGAAAGCAAATACGGCACCTGTAAACATAAAGCAAATACGGCGCCTGTAAACATAAAGCAAATACGGCGCCTGTAAACAAAAATAAATTTTGTCTAATTTACTGTTTTAACCGATCAGCGATCAGCAAAATACGGCGACTGTAAACAAAAAGTAATCAAATTGATGGACGTTTAAATTCATAATTTTTATCTCAATTCATTTTGATTTGTACTTTACAGAGTGTATTTATCCTCTTGGGTTAAAACAATTGGTCTGTGCATTCCACTGAATGTATTTTGAAAAGCGTGATCTATGAATAACAGGCACGCGTTAAAAGCAATTAAATATTATCATGTAACTATAGCTGTAATCATGTTTAAAACGGGGTTACTTGTTAGATGCAGGTTTGAAAGGCTCTCCAATCAAAACAGCTCTAGTCGAATAACTATTATTAAAGAGGAGACCATTTAAAATCTCAAATTTTATGGTAAAAACTTTCTCCAGAAACGCCGGGATGGTCGGCTTCATTCTATCGATCATGGGACGTTTATTCTGTTACAGCGAATTTTAGAGCCGCTTAAGCATGGAGGAAAATAGTGCAAGTCAATATCTTTTATATTCATGATAATAATTACCCAAGTGTAACAAATGCGATTATATTTTGCAATGTCACACCATTTGTGCGATGCAAAAATAAACCATTTATAAAAATAAAATTTCAGGTCCAGCTTAATCCTGGACACGTTCGGTATTGAAGAACGCTCGAAAAACACCTATATTAATGAAGATAAAGACTATTCATATTACAGAACACCTATAGATTATAAATAGAAAACACCTTCAAACTCGCATAAGCAAGCTCGCATTAGAGAACATTTAATAGATAAAGTAAGTGTAAGGTGACTCAATACTTATAATAATCATCTGTTTCACCGATTTGAAGAAAACATTTCTTGCTGTCAGTTGCTGACATTTTCCTCCGCTATATAGTGCTATAACTACGGAGTTCATTAAGAGTTTGTATAGTGATGCGCGCCAAATATCCAACTCTTAGAATTTCAGTCGAAATAGAATGAAATTTTATGTAATATTTTTATGCCAATTTATTTTATACTTATGTATAACGATCGTCGCTTATACTGTTCAATTCTAATTGCTTCACGGGAAAGGTTTCTCGTATGGGGTAATTCTCTTCCCCAACCACAGAGGAAAACATGCAGGGTATATAAATTATGCAATATTCGTGCTCGAATACAAAACGCCTGAGCCTGAGATCTGGGCTTCTGATCTAAAGTCCTTAAAATTACACAATGAGGAGCTTTCTGCTGTGTCATGCTCCAACTATTTTCGACGAGCACCATAATTTACAATTAATGTCGAGAAACGAATTGGTCACGAAGAGCGGTGAATAATAAGATACATAGTTTCTTACTGCCGGTTCAAAAAAGCTTCCATCCTGATCATTATTAACTTTTCAAAGCACAAAGAGCAATTTTTTTTAGATTAAATCTTATCATAGTGTTTGAAGGTGTTGTTTGATTATTGCTGAAACCACGTTAAATCAATGTTTTTTTCAACGTCAAATGACTGGTGCGCTAAAGAAAAAAAACGGTCGGATCGACAATTACGTAGTCGGGCGTCCAAAAAAATTCGATCATGCTGGCCAGGGCCTATACTTTCAAAAAAAGTTGAGAGATCGTAAGTTCATCGGCCAATCATTGACGGCCTTTCAAGCAAAATCCACCAATCATAGACAAGAAAATGGAGCGCAAGAACTTACGTTCACTTAGCGAGTTTTGAAAGTATGGCCCCTGGTCTTCATTTGGTAGCTTCGGCAAACAACGGCGATACGGCATTATTTTACGGCATTGCCGGCCTTAACACGTTGACTACGATTACTTCATCTTGTACTATTATTTCATTTTTTGTACTGTTTTGAAACAGGGTTGCCAGACGGTCATTTTTTCCGGACAAATTCCGTGATTTAGTTTTTCTAAATTGCGTTGGCCGGCTAAAATTTATGATAGGGGTACTTCCTAATTAAACTTTATATACTACAAAAAGAAAATAAATGGAATTTTTATAGCGGAACATATAAATAAACTAGTATATATTGAGTTATCGGCCTTTTTTGGCCTTTTTTGTTCTCGGATTTGTCCGATTTTTGGCAACCCTTAATTACGTACCATTACGTTCTGTAGAAATACATTTCGTGGTACGCATATGTATCACTTCGTAGTAAACGTGATAAAACGCCCACTGGGCGTTTTATCACCGTTATTTTGAACAATGAGGGTAGGGCCAATTTCTCACAGCAGAAGGCGGTGGCCACGGCAGTCCTCATCCTGCCTCGTTGCGTCATGTCTGTCTGCACGCTCAGCAGCACAGGATGAATGTCGAACTGTCACGGTGATAGAGAAATATTTATTACATAAAGTGAATTGATATGTTCGGTATTACTAATTTCCAAATAAGTTGCAGAGAACGGATTCAATTTAGGAATAATTTCAGTAATAGGTTAGTATTTCAGTAAATAATTCTTAACTTTCGATACGTACAGCAATTTAGCTCATATATTATATATATATTTAGCTCATATAGTAGGTATACCAATAATTATTAATCTTGTTACTCAAAGAACGAATGAAGTTTACAACAGAAACTGGAATACACGGAATCAATCGATCGTCAAACTTATTTATATCAACTGTTGATAGGGGAATGGATTGTTGAATTCAATATTACTATGAAGGAGGATCGTATAAATGGAAGATGTAAACCTCAAAAAAGCAATGTCAGTAAAAAGACTAGTAGGTTAAATATATGAAGCATTGCCACTAGTGGCTAGCCAGTCAGTATAATAGATTTGATAAAAGGTATATAACATTATAACACTAAATATAACAGGTATATATAATATATAACGCCACCCTAGGCTAATGCCTCACACATATCGTCTAGGACTCTAGGTAAAGATCCCACACATACGAGTTTGCCAAAAATTTAAAAACATAGAAAATGCCAAGTAAATTCACTCCATCTTCATGAAAACGTTTTCATGAACGTTTTCAACAGGAGTGAATGTGCATGTGATTTTAAATTATTGACGAACATTTAATTTAAGCAGACTAACGAAAGAAAAAGGTATATGTGAACTAGGCAGAATCCCACTCTATATTTAGTGTAAAATTAAATAATAGCCTATAGACAAATGGGGTCTAGGCCCAGTATTTGAGACTACATAAATCTCATATAGTTTTAAATCTAGTCATAGCCTATACAGTATACAAACATGCAGTCTTGGCAAAGTCACTCTATATTTAGTCTAAAATCAAGTCATAGCCTATATACAATAATACATATGTATAGTCTCGGCAAAGTGATTAAATACTTCATGTCTTAGCTTTACAAGACCTGGAAGGCGATTGCACCAAAGCAATAAGCCAGCGTCTGCCACCGCGGTGGCCACCGGAAGGTACCACTTCTTTCGCCCCCTGCAGGTACTGAGTTGTCCATCACCATAGCGGTCACCACAGCACCAGACACCACAACCACCAACGCCGCGCCAGCCCTCGCCACCATCCTTACGGGTCGCAATTGGATGATTATGAATTATTATATAAAAGGAATATAGTTCATGAATAAGTACAGTTTCTTTTCCGATTCTACATTGCCCTGGAGACAAATCCATTAGCCATTCTTAGATTATGTTATTAGCCACATTTTTCTATAGTTCATAATTAAGTAAAGCTTATTTTTCGATTCTACATTGCCTTGGTGGCAAATCCATTAGCCATTCTTAGATTATGTTATTAGCCACATTCTTGTGTGCTTGAAAAGTAAAATAATTTCGTATTTAAGAATTGCAATAATTAAATCAAAGGGAAGGTGAAAACCTTCCCTGCGATTACGATGATGGATGAACCACTGTGGGAAAGTGGACATCGAAATAGAGGGCTTATACACATATATTCTTAAGTACGCCCATCAACAAACTCCCGTATGCAACTATGAATTTTGCTCATTTGGGTAATGTTAACAACTGTTACTGAACCTCATGTTTATGTTATGTTCCAATAAAAAATTACCATCCGCGTACAAAAAGAATGAATGAAAAATGTAAAATTCAACAGGCTAACAGAAAATTAAAATTTAACATTTTTTAAAACTATAAACGTGTCGCACTTGAGGAAAATTAAAATGATTTAAACTATAAACGTGTGGGCACTTGAGGTCTGCAGGCGTGCCGAGCCACATGATGGGCAGGAGCAGGAGTGTGAGCAGCAGCAGCCAGTAGCAGAAGGAGTAGTCCAGCGAGCCTCGCGTCACCGCAGCTACCACTTCCTGCACGCTCTCGCTCGCTGTAGTTAGGGTGAAAAAAGTCATATAGGGTGAATTTGCTTCGGTTGAGTTTCTGAAAAACAGAAATTTTCCTGCGCGCTCTCGCTCGCTGTAGTTAGGGTGAAAAAAGTCATATAGGGTGAATTTGCTTCGGTTGAGTTTCTGAAAAACAGAAATTTTCCTGCGCGCTCTCGCTCGCTGCAGTTGTGATAAAAATCTTCATTTAGGGTGAATTAAAAAAATCTATACGCAGGGAAAAAAAATTTGAAAAAAAATTTTCACTTAGGGCGAATTTTTGAAACACAAAAATCTCCCTGCGCGCTCTCGCGCGCTGCAGTTAGGGTGAAAACATAGGGTGAATCGAAAATATTTTCGAAATAAATTCTTCTAAAAGGGATAATTTTTGAAAAAAATTCTTCACATAGGGTGAATTTTTGAAAAAGTAAAGACTTCTTGCAGGCTATCGATTGCTGAAGATTATGCAAAAGAATTTATTACAGTGATTTGGGTAGCTCAGAATGGGTTAAGTCGTTTATGCTTCAACAATACCCTTATGGATTTGTGGAAAAACGTTGATTTAAAATTCTAATTTTACTGATGGAGGTGCATTTTCAATAAGAATATTTTAGATAGCTATATAATTAAATTGAAATAATTTTTTTGTGCTATATGAATATCGTTTTCGTCTTGAACTGAACTCATAAGTTCGATGGGATGATCCTAGTATGAAACTCCCTGGTAACATTTACGTAGGTGAGTGTACTGTCTCTATAATTCAAAACAAAAAACAAGTTTTGTTAAAAGTTTGCATCAGGCGGTTTTTACACAATAATGTGGAGGACAGCATAAGTGCACTTGCAACTGGAGCGGAAACATTAAGAAAAAGCTTGATTAATTTACAAATTATAAAACAAGATTAATTATATTATTAACATTGAAAAATTTATGAAGCGAATAAGATTTGTTATTTCGGCAACAATTTGTGATATTATCTGGAATGATATGTAGCACACTAGCACGTCACCCAATAAGAGGAAGGGCATAGCAGCCCCCATAAGAGTGAAGTCCTGCAGCAGCGTCAGGAGCTTCCGTAGTCGTGGGCCTCCTACGACCTCCCCCAGCAACGGGTATGGCTGGCGGCTGTTGAAACATCAGTAAAACTTGAATTAACTTTAATTAATAATGTATATTTAAAGGTTGACCGTTTCACAGTTCATTTATCACATTAATAACATAATGTTAGCTTAACATATTAATAAGATAAGGTCATAATCCCTGCATGACATAAAGATTCCAGAGTCACCACATACTTGGAGCCTGGACCAATGATGTTGGGGTAGAAGGTTTCCGCCAGCAGCCAAGTCTCCCCGAGCTGCACGGCCGTGTAGCAGATGAGCAGTAGCAGAACCACTGCCACTCCAACACCTGCGTAACCTGGAATAATGATAAATAATATTGTCATAACTATAATATATACTTCCTTTGCTTCGAATATGATCGCAGAACTGAAAGTTAGCCACAGAAATTGATTAGCATGAGCGTTTACTAGAGTTTTGTTGGTAAAAGAAGTAAACTATGATGAAAAGTTTGAAAAATGGACAAAAATTAGTCGGCACGACAAATACCTGCAAAGTAGGTAAGCGCATATTGGCTGATAATTCGTAATTAAAAAACACTTATTTAATTGGAGTTCTGTTTTCTCTTATTTAATTGGAATTCTGTTTCTGTTTTTTTTTTTGGAGTTCATTCTTAAACAAGAATTCTCAAAGCTCTCAACTAGGTTTCCTAGGGGTACTGAAATTACGGTTTATACGTTTATAAACGTTGCATCTGATCTATAGGGTAGTTTTCTTAATTTTAATTTTGATGGGTCTTATTTTTTGAACGAATGGGTCACAATGTCCAAATAGTAACATCCTTTCTTAACCACATCATGAGCAGGAAGCGGACCTGGTACCAATACTTTTTGTTTGCCTTGCCAAAATGGGTCTGCATGAACACTATCAGGCAAAAAGTGTAGCGATATTTGGACAAAATCTCACTTATTTATGTTAGTATAATCCTATTCGAATATTAAATTAGAATATTAAATTCGAATTTACTGGCTCACCGCTGTAGGCTACGGCGGCTGGCAGTGCGATGATCGGCATGACGCCCATGAGAGACAACACGTAACACGATGCCGTCACCACGTCCAGGCCGGACTGACACGATAACAAAAATTCAAGAAGTTTATATCTTCGCACAAGGGGAACTTCAGAGGAACAGGACAACATTTTCTGTGCACTAAAATACGTTTCAGTTAATGATCCGGTCTCATAATTCCTATATTTGACTTCATTAGAGAGAAATTAAAAAAAAAAATATGTCGGAAAATTATGGTATTCTGAAATTATAGGCCAGGAAAAAAATTTACAAAATTTTTGGGGTTTCAAGCTGATTTAATCTAGCGCGAAAGCTGCATTTGATGCAACAACTGCTACAATTTTGTGCAGCTTTGAATGGCATACTAAGTTTTTGCCCGGTAGTCATTCAGTAATGAGAATAAGGTTTTTAGGTGCTTCTGCTTCAGAACGAGCAGGTTCGATCTTACTCTACCGAGTTCCGCCAATAATGGTAATAAAAAAAGAAAATCTAGAAACTAAATCCTTTTATTTCCACTTATATATTATATATAATTAGCTCATATAACTCAGGACTGTCGAAGTAGGCGATTTAGAATTAGAAAAAGAATCACAACTGGCAAATTGATGTTACACAGACTATGTCGCACTATTACACTAATTGTTGAATAAAATCGATAATTACCTTGAACACGTATCGAAAGTTGTTTATTGACTGCACAAATTTTATTCAATTATACATGTTTACACATACTTACCCTTTCTTTGTGTGAGAAGAGGGAACTTCTTCTTCGTGGTTGGGTGATCAAAAGAGGTTTCAGTTCATCCATTGTTGAGAACTCCTGAAAAGTATACGTTATATCAATTCAATCTTTGTTCCTTCAAGTACTTCAAACCCAAGAAATGAATCGTCTTTAAAGTTCAGATTTAAACGTGACGTTGAGTCGTTGACGCGCGGTATGTTTTGTATATTGCAACCTAACGAATTTCCTCTGATCTGCACCAAACGTTTCAACAACACTAAACGTTCCAATTTCAAAATTACATACATCTTTATAAACCTTCTTCCCAATGTTTGCAATATTCCTTGTCTTGCACTCAAAATAACGTTAACTCAGATTTTTCTATGAAAAATTTAAAGCAGTATTTGAAGAAAAAAATTCTCTCTAATCATTTAAGAAAACTACTATTTGAAACTATGACTGAAGTATTTACTAATAACTGACCTGGTCAAAGACAAATGTAAATGCGATTATACATGTTGTCAAAACCTCCAGCTTCAACTACCATATTTTTAATTATTGGTGTAAAACGGTCATAAAATTAAACTACAAAAATGGGTTGAGGAATGCGAGATGCCTCGTATACTACCTACGCATTCGGCATTTCCTCCAATTGATGCTGTGACATCACCGCACAGATCTGTGAACTCTTGACATTTAATAAAGTGAGCCAACACTCTTGAGTTACTGAGAGCAAAACATGCAAAACGTTCGAAAATACGAGCAACATGCTGACATCTGACACCGAATCGTTCCTAAGACATCGCATCTATTGTCTTAAGTTTTTTTCCAAGTTACTTTACGAGGACAAATTATTCACCCAAAAATTTCGACCTTAATTTTGGTAAATTAGGTGGGTATTCACATGTGTGACCGCGGATATTTTAATTTCAGAAGAGCTGAAATTAAAGACAAGCCTGAATTATTCATAATTTTTTTTTACAAAGTCCCTCCAGGTAAATATTTTTGAGATTCTGAAATAATGTTATTTAACGAGATGGTTATGAATTACAATTCTCGCGGAACACGTTAGGAGTAACTTCAATTAATAATAACGAAAGTCCATTCATGCAAATGCTTAAATGAACGATATGCAGACATTCAATGCAAATAAGCAAGAGCTTCTATGGTGCCTTAAAATACAAACACCAATTTGAGGTACGACTGTCATATTAGATAATTATTAATTAAATTTCCTGTATGTTTCGTCACCGAATCCTGCGATAAAGACTGTCAATGGTTAATCAATTTTCCCTATCGCATCGACGTGACAGGGATTAAGTAAGATTACGAACGCTTTTCACTATATAATGGCAGGTGGGCTTAATTCTATTATTAAGTTTCTTCGATTCATAACATCATTTGTTCTCTTCATCAAATAAAATACTAAATAGATAATGTTATTGAGCCGGTGAGATTCGGATGCACACCTAGCGAAAAAAAGCATTAATCAATTACGTAATTATCGTATAAAGAGCCAAGAAATGGCTTATCGTTTTATTGTAGCATTTAAAATAAATCAGGATTTAAAGCATAAACTTATGACCGATACTCAGATCTCAACATACTTGATTAGCACTCAAGGCTTTGTTTTCTAGTGACTATTGATAGCCGAATAAACCGGCCATTTTTTTGTCGTTTGCGTCAGAAGTTCCTTATATAGAATCAAATTAGAACTTCATTGGTAGAAGCCCACCTCGTTGTTAACGATGCAAATTTCGAGCAAACAGTGCAAGCATACTCAGCACGGGTAAAATTTTAAATAAAACCGATTAATATTTAATTGTTACTTCCGTCTAGGATTCAATGGCAAGAGAAATGCGCTCGCATTAAATTTACTACATTTAACTGACATTGGATGCAATATGAATGCTAATATCCTGTATGAAAGATTTATTTCTACTTTATTTATATGTAATTGATATTGATACACGATTTTTGTTTAATCTTAATCGCTTCTCGATGTCGTCAACACAATTAACGTGGATTTTAATACGATAACTTAACAGCATCAACTTAAATCTGGGGAACACGTTATTAACGAGATATTCAGAGCAGAGGCATGACGTACACTTATACGTCATTGTACGCACTGAGCAGAATTACTTGTAATTATTTTATACAAAATGTATTTCGCGAGAATGGCAAATTTGATTTCAATTAGCCTCGTTTTGATCATACCTCCTTGACTAAAACATAGCAAAACTGATTTGGAAAGAACAATATCCGAAATTGAATGTGAGGGCTCCTCGTTTAAACCACATTTAATATCCACATGCTTGATGAAAAGCATTTCAGATTTTTTTATCTTGCCCTTGTCAGCCTAAAATTTGTAAGTGTATAAAATCGGCAACAGTTACAAGTTCAAGAAGAACATCAAAGAAACATAAATGTATATATTTTCCATTAGTACAAAGGTTATTACGATTCATAAAACGGGTCAACGTGGGTTCACCTTTTTTACTTCGCTAATTGCAGTTTACGGTTTTGGATGGTTATCTTTTCTGTTACATATTTTTCAAACGTCTAATGTGCCGAATAATTGGAAGTAAAACTATTATTTATATTAAGGTTTTGCATAAATAATGTGAACGTCAGATTTCCTCTCATAATTTGAGTAATGGAGGCAGGTCATACATTGCTGACTGAATCCACTAAATTGTACTGAATGATCAATGGAGTCATAAGTCTTTTATTCTGTCTGTTGTGACTTAGAACGAGACATAGGAAGTTTTGCCGTGGGATACTTGCGTAAATTTTCGATTTACGAATTCATTGATATGTTATATAGTGTCATGTTGCTTACCGTTATCTATGTGGAGCAATTGGACTTAGTGCTATTGCTTTATAGGCACCATCGCATGAGATGAGTAGTAACATTCATTTTAGTTTGGTATCTATTCAAATGGACAAAATTTGTGTCCAAAACTCGAAAAGCTCAGGTTGTAACTAGAAGTCGCCCATTATAATATTAAATAAGCTTTGAGCATTGAATGTATAGAAATAGAAATGTATTCTTCCATTTAGGATACGAAGAACCTAGCGTTCATTTTTATTATCGAAACTATCCGAAGCAAGACAGTAATCATAAGATTTCAAAGATAAGTTGAATTGTAAGATTTCATAGACGACATCTGTAAAAATAGCCTGATTAATTGTTCATTACATATCCGTAATGCTGGCAAGAGGTCCGGCAAAATCCTAATTTGTGGAAAGCGGCGGCAAATATCCGTAGGCTATTTGCCGGAGCAGCTAGTAGACTAGAGCAACACTGATGCCGGAAACGTAAAGTATGTCTTAGTGTTTAGTATTCCGTTCAGCTTTTTTCGTCGTATTTTTTTCATGCTGATTGCCTCGTTCAACTATACTAGATCAGAAGAGCCTTTTTATTTTCATTTGTTTATTTGACTGTAAGTGATTCATAACAATGTTAAATCACGTTTAAAATTGAAGGTAAAAGAAAACGAAAACAAGTTAAACGAAGAAGTATCTTGATTGCTTCTAGTAAACTTCGTTGGCGTTATTCCGAAGTGAATATTTCAATTCGAAACAAGTTTTGCAGGCCACAACTTATTATTTTTACTGATCATGGCACTGCTATGGTATAATCCCGTACGATCGTTATTTGTGCGCCGCATATACCAATGCAAGGTTTAGGACGACTACGCCTATTGATATTAGAGTACACGCGGCATCAATATAAAAGCATCTGAAAACATAAAAAACTCATAAATTTATCAACAGACTCAAAATCAACTGAGTCCGTCTCTTGATCTGAATTATGAACATATGCATTGAGAGCAGAGTTTTACTATAAGGTAAGTATCTGCACTATTAGGTGGCATGATATTAATCATTAATGACGATTTAATGATCACCACATCTTCAAGTTGAGATTTCAAACGTGCCTTCTCAACCCTTGCCTTATTACAATTCAGTAATGCGCCTCAATGTGAGGTAAGGCATTAGTGGAATTACAGGGAATCCCTCTTTGTAGCTCACTAGTCGTGAACTGAATGAAAATTCTTCAATGTGTACTGCGTATATGAATCTATATATTAAAATACTTGAATGTTCCTACACACATTATTACAATTTTGAATGCGTGGAAAATGATTGTGTATTTTCTAACGTATGTTTCAATCATATATGTGTTAAATTATTCATGATGCGGTTATTGAAAATACCACCATCATGATTCGAGATACATACTATCGATGTTGAATGAAATGAACATTGGAAATTCTTAATGTCTTTACAGTTCTTTTACTTAGCTCTTTAAACAAATATTTTAAACGTCAGAAACGTTCACAGCTGTATGCCCTGTATCTCCTCCAAGCCTAACAATTTCAAGCGATGAGTCAGAGGAGTTTTGCTCATGAACAGATGCAGAAGTCTTCGTTCAGTTGCTACTGAGCCGTCGGTGCAACAGCCAACAAGTGCAGCTTTGCAGTTTGCTCAGTTGCTTCTCTGGCCTCGAGTGCAAAGCTTGTGCGGTCTGCATGATCACTCACTACTGCAGAATCCAACTCTTACTCAGTGCTACTAGTATTTGGCGAGAACAGATTAAGCCGTCAAAATGGAACTAGGGATGATTCTTGGCGATGAGCCTTTCACTATGGTGGAGTTGATGGCCCCAACCGAACTGGACTTGATGCAAGATTTTAAGGCAAACTTCCCAGCAGTCATCGATGCTCCACCACCTGAAAGCTCTGGGCAAGAAACATCATTTTTCAGCCAATCTCAGAGTAATAATTATATTTACGCTTACTCTCCTACGTCTATTAGATCTCTATCGCCCAATAATCATGCTACACATTCTCTACCATCCGAGAGATCGAACACATCTGCCTCTGAGGATGATATTCTCTTCCAAGAAAGGCCAAAGGAACCCTACAATTCATCATTTGAATTCATTGATGCAAGCTTCAGTGCTGGGAGCCATGGTCTCTATCAGCAAGAAACATACGAAACTTCATACTACGCTCAAGACGGCAAGGACACAATTAATGTCCAAGTCAATGATGCATGTTTCGCAGACAAGATGGAAATGATACCATCGGTCGTGAATGTCGAATCGGATGTCAGCTTTCCTGATTTCAAAGAAGAACCTCATCAAGCGTTCTCCAAAGTACAGCAATCGCCAGGCTTTGCCGAAACTAGCATGGGGAGAGGAAAGAACCTTGCCATAAACACTACACCTTCGCGATCGTCGAAAGTTTCGGGCGTAAGCAAAAGTCGCAAAACCAAAGGGCCCAAACCTAAGCTTCATCAACGAACTGAACCATATTCTGACGCGGAAATGGAAACCAAACGTCGAAACGCAATCAAAGCCCACAAAAATAGACAGAAAGCCAAAGATGAGAAGGAAAAATTGGAGGCTGAAATACGAGATCTCAAGAAGCAACTACAGAAGGTCAATGGGGAGAAGGTCGCATCTGAGGCAGAGAACATTGAGCTGAAAAAATCACTGGACGAGAGGGACCGCCTCATCCAACAACTCGACCGGCAACGGCTCGCCGTGACGGAAAATCGTATTAAAGTTCTGAAGGAAGAATTGGCTCTGCTCACAGGCCAATACGTCGGCTCTCTCTAGCATCCCATTGGATTATTAAATTGATAATTTATACTTGCCATTCAATAATTATTACATTAGCAATCATATCACCTAGAATCCTAGATGAGATGGATATTTTTTTAAATGGTCTCATTCACAGTCTTACCAATTCATTACCATGTTACGTAAACCTGAAGAAGGTCAATAGATACCTGGCGCGTTCTGTAAATCAATTGCTATAATTTCTCTTTTACAAAACATACTGTGTTTGTTATCAGATGAGCTTAGAATCAAAATAATGATGAGGGAATTCCCTCAATACAGCCAATTTGAGAGTGCTCGGTTTATGAGCAGAATATTAATAAAAAACTCTCCTTATTTGCCGTATAGGAACTATGCGAAGAACCTCAATTGAGGATTTATATTCTCTTATTTGTTATCAGTCAAGTCAAATAGTATTTTTCTTTATCTAATCACTGCATTTTTGTTACTGCTAATCATCCTTCGTAGCTTGGCACACGAGCTCGAAGTTGCAATTTCAATAAATATCAATTCGTAGTTACTTTAGCACGGAATGTACGTACGTGCAAGAACAAAGTCCTTAGTTTTAATATAATTTTGAACGTATAGAAATACACTATTCATAATGAACGTATGTACGTAATGCATCAATGGGGGGAAAGACGGCTCAAGTGTACGTGAAAAGTCTATTTCCAACTATATAGAAACATTTAATTTATTTAAATACTCGGTTTACTAGAAATACTTGAATATATTTATAGATTTTTATTATGCGGAGATCCAATTATTGTGATTAGACAGCGCAGTAGAGTTAGAATGCAATTTTAATTCAAATAATTACTAAATTGTCATTTAATTAATTAATTTCATTGGGAAAAGCCCACTTTCATGTGAGATTGTGAAAAAAGTCTGAGTAGTACAATTTTCAACTTCAAAATAGGGCTCGTTTTTTTGTTCGTGAGTCGGAACGATGTTTAGTATAACCGATGTGTTTTACAAAGACAGGAATTGATGCGTAGAACGGCTAAAGCAGCATGTTTTTACTTGAACAACGAATCAAGTGAAATTCATATGCTTGCCTCGTTCGCCCAAACAGACATCAAAATGTATTGCCCCTTAGGGGGACTTCTGACGCGCGCCTGTGCTTTTCAGAAGTTCTATGGGATTTCGCGCACCTAGGGGGATTGTTCCTGAGCGCCCCATCGCTGAGCTCGCGGTGTCTGACTGCAGGTCTCAGTTGTGGGGTTAAGTTATTATGTAGGTATGATTCCTTACATTTATTTTCCTTCTCTGCTTCTCTCACGTAAAGGCGACCGACGTCCCGTCTAAGCGGCCTCTCGTTCGAGTGTCTTAGTTGCTGTTGCTTTTTCACCTGTCCCTCCTTGTCACTTGGTCTCTTTGAGATGCTCACGCTGCTTCTTTCGCGCCAGCTTCAGCGGACTGGACTATTGAGACATTCCGCCACTTGTGGGTGATGAATGATTTTCTGATTTGAGAATCTTTCGATAACTGAGACCTTCCACTTCGTTGGTGATGTTCATCTTAATTTTCGGTGCGAGATGGCTAATTAGTTGAAGCACTAGTAAACATTTGTCTACTAAAATAACTAAACTGAAATGTATTGAAATTTAATTCGGAACTCTTGTAATGAATTATAAATCGTTTCATGTCACCTCATTACCACTTAGATGCACTTGTTAATCTTGGCAGACTTTGATGTTTCAAGGAGATAATTAATTCGTATTCTTTCAGCAATTATCATTCGTCTTTAAATTCCCTTTCAGTTAATTTTGATATGTCAGAAAATACCCGAGAAACCGATTACTGTCGTATTGAACCAACGAAGAAATCAATATACGAAAGTTTCTTCCTTATCCGTATGGTTTTCTGTTAGTATTAAGATTTATAGCATCTCTATGACTTTCTGTGCTGCCATCAATAAATACTCTATATTAAAGTTACCATATGAGTACGATTCGTGCAAATGTTAATGTCAACTAAAAACAGTTTGTAAAGAAACAAAGTATACAAGGTAAACGCCAGTTACTACCTGTTACAGACGTTACGATATATGAAATTTATTTCGGTTACCATGTATTTTTGACAAATAAATGTTAGAATTATTGTTGTGTTCTTATTGAAGTTATTTCTAATCTATGCGAATTTAAATTACTATTAGTAAAAATGGTATAGTACAAATTTTAAAGAAAAAATAAAAACATTGCTATTTTAAATTGGAAAATGTTCCGTTTTCTCACATGAAAGGAACTTAAAGTACCATAGCTGCCTGTAAGCGTGCAATCGGAAATTTAGGAACATTTTTCACTATAATTCGTCAAATATAATTCGATCCTGCCAACGTATACGATAAATAAACTATTCAGCCATTTTTGTGATGATACAACAATGGCTTGTTGCATATGTTTCCTGAACTTTAAAATGTACTCACTTGTGTCACTCATAAATAAAAGAAACGGTCTATATTACTAACAAAACTGCACCAAAATTTTCTAGTGGGATCGAAATCTTTGTAGTAATGTTGTAATCGTGTATTACTTGATTAGTAGTTCCGTGTTCCGACTTATGTGTCATTGATGGTAGTTTTTAATGATACAATAGATAGTAAGTTGAAGAATAATGAACATGTGCTATTTGATGCCAATCATCGCGTACAATGAACATGTACACGTACAGGTGAATCAGTAAACAGGTTTCAGCTCAACGCGAAACATTTTCCGCCTTCGTTGGACGGGAGCCCTAGTAAGTTCCCCGAAACTTTACGAACAAATGAACACACACACACTCCTGTGACGTCAGAGCTGGGGACAGGAAATGCCTACCCCACTCCCCCGATTTACTTGCAAGCCCTCACACCCCGCCCCTCCCTCGCTAGACGATAACACAGTTTAGCTCACAACAGAGCAGCTGTGTGGTTAGGTTCAAATGCGACAGACTCGTGTACTATCACTAACAACTAATTGAGTGTGCCTCATCGATAAAGCCCGAAAGGTTTATTGATAAGGTCTCTGATGCTATAAGTCTCATGCTATATTAAGGTCTCTCATATCACATGCAATGCAAGGGTTGATCACTAATAGAGTTGCGCGGATCAACTAGATACCGCTCGTGGCTACATGATCAGCACTTTTTCTAATTCAGCAATTATTACGTAACAATTATTAATTATTGACGCATAATTATTATGCGCTGACGTCATTTGGGAATTACTCATTGGTCACTAATTAAAGTTGTGCAGGAGCGTTTAGTCCAAATCCGAATCACGCGGCAAAACCTATGAATTGGTCTAATATGAATTATTGGTCATTTTAATTTTAGCCCGGCATTAATAACAAATTATTGTTATACTCACAATGTTTGTTTGACGGGACGTATGGATGAAAAGTAATTATAAAGGTAATTTTTGAATGTTGATAGGGTAAACAAATTGACCTATTACTGAACACGTATCCAATTAGAATTGTTAATAGATTATTGGCCACTATTTTTGGTATTTGAGAAATTAATCCCGCTGCCGACTATGTGAGTCTACCGTCGTGATGATTCATTTGATTTTTATTCTTGCTTACATCGCAAAGATGTTCGCTATACATCCTTGCTTAGGTATCTACTAGACAAAATATACATTACATTTCCGTGAGCTCTATCCGTGTCTGTAGGCACTGCCTGGTTGCACTGATATGCTTAGTGATGCGACAGTAAGTTATCTCGCAGGATCAAGTGGCACGAAACTGGAGACTGAGTTTGACGCGTAAAGGAAATAGAGAGTTATCGCTTGGTCAGTGATGGTTTCCTTTACGGAAATGCTGCAATCTTAGTCGATCTATTACACCTGAAAATAGACTTGAATATGTCATTGTTTACAGTACTTGAACTGCAATGACGTCGGGCAAATTTGACTGAGAAGTGTTTGAGATCTGATGCTGACTGAGCCTCTGTGTAATATAGTGGAAATATCGGAAAAAGAATGCGAAAATCATTCCCCGAGTTTTAAAAATTGATTAAATATTTTTTTTTACATTTGTGGACTATTTCACCCTTCAAGTCATGATTTTCAACGATTTAAAAAAATAAAAAACTTACCTAACGGTCTTAATAATATTTGCAATTGATGAAAGCCAAAGTATCACAATTGTAGAATTGACACTTATTAGTATTTGATTAACCAAAACCATTGCTTCTGGGCATCAAAACAGCGCAATATCAGATTGGATCATTCGATATATTGAACCTAATATATACTAAATAAAATATAAAATATTCGAGAATAATTAAACTTTTAATTAACTTGGGCATAAGAAAAAATTTCGTCAGGAGATATATGGCTGTAAAAAGAACTCGTGCTCCTGCCCACAACGTATGGCGGATGCATTGCGTGACGTTTTTGTGACGATTTACGGCGCTTGTGACGTGGGCATCTGTCCGTTACCGGTTCCAGGCTTGACTGGATCCGGTTATATCTGCATCTTCCAGGCACTGTTCCTACCATGGATCCGGTTATATCTGCATCTGCCCTGCACTGTTCCTACCATGGTTCCTAGGTCGACGAGCCGGACGTGTGTTTCACGTAAACAAGATAAAATGAAAGATTTTATCGTGCTTGTAAGCAATAAAACTAGTCAACTACTCAAGCCAGTATCATGAAAATGATCATACTCTGGTCAAATTACAAGAATGAAATTATCAAAAAATAAAGATGGTCGAAAAATAAAAAGTATGAAAAAATTATCTAAGGTTATTTATGGTGGGCCAGTGGTGGCAATTCAGAGTAACATAAATTGGAGTAGTGAGTTGTGTGTTCGAGGCCGCAACAAGCTGTGAATATTCTTCGATGTTAAGAATTGGCGAGAGGCCTAATGGGCTAATTACTGCTGATCTCGCTATATATTATACTAATATGATACTAATAATGCTTTCCATATATGAATAAAGTATTGGTCAGTTAGGGCCATTTACCACACTTCGGGCCACTGCATTTACCACACGCCCAACAACAAAACAATTTTGTTGTAGGGCGAACGACTCACAAAGGCTATTGGAATGCTGATATTTATCATGCAAACAATGATTGCAGTTTTAGGGTGACCAGAAACTGCTGTTTCGTGGGAAAATTTCAAAATATTGAGATGCTTCTCTTTGAATATTACTTAGAGAATGATAGTTTTGTACAGTGATTCAGAGATCACGGCTGGCAAGCAGCACTTCTGACCTTGGCTCGGAGCCAAAGTCGAGGGAGCGGCCAGAGAGGTTGACCGCTAGGCAGCAATGACAAGGGAAAATTCCTTTAATTCTATCATCATGAAAATGAAGTCAGGTGTTTTTTGAACTCTGAAAATCATATTACTGGCCTGAAATTTTTTGGTAGATTTTGTACTCAACAGCGAGTTACGATGCAGCAGTTAACAAAATAGTCAGACAGACGACAGCTTACGCTGAACGTTCTGGTCGAGAAGCTGAAAAAAATATTGCAGAGAAAGCGATCGCGGATTCCCCGTCGCCCTGTTTGGAGTTAAAAAAAAACGAAGATGTCCGGTATTGGTATTAATTCATATATGAATATTCATTACTTACAAGCTACGCCATATTCCGGCAATCTTTTTAATTCCTATCCAAACCGATATTCATGCGCCCAACAAAAATTATATAAAAAATTATCTATTAAGCAGTTATCGAAGCAAAGTTTGCACAGTCTGGATCATATTAAGTTAGCAGCGTCCGGCACTTCATGAGTCATTGGCACCTAATCGACACTCCTCCGGAACACCTCACTCAAATAAACTAAACATTAATATTAATAATGCAAAGTTTTGCTGTGTGCTCACGGTAGGTACTTTTAAACGGATGCGTTTATCGGGTCACGTTAGTCATTCATGTTTGTTGTAAACGTTGTACAACGACGCAATCTCGCGGTTCAGCATATCACAGTTCTATCTGAAAAACTTGGTAAGTACCATTCAAGCACAGAAACTGATTCAAATGTCTGGCTTAATGCTTAAATGTGAATGTAAATATGTTGTCTGTAAAGTGCAATACATCAATAAATGTTTTTTTATCGCACGTAGCAATTAATGAATTATTAGTCGACAGAAGATGGCTACGAAAGAAGTTTACAAATAATTTTATTAGAATAATTTATGCATGTAGTAAATATTATACATACAGAATAATATTTGTTATATTGCATGAACTATTCTAGTAATTTTTGCAATATTGTATATATTCTACATAAAGAATGATATTAATTTTATTAATATTCATACTAATAATTTTTAAATTAATAAAGTTTATATTGCAGGGTGGCCCAGTGGTTACACTTCAGAGTACCAAGATTGGCGCAGAGAGGCGCGGGTTCGATCCCAGCTCTGTGCGCCAGTTTCTGGTCAGAATCGGCGAGGAGGCCGGGCGGTTTAATGAGCATTGGCTACGGTAATTCGTGATCCCAACAAGCTGCGCAGAATTGGCGACCGGCCTACGGCCTAATAAATGTTGAAACCGCGTTATAAATAGTATCAATAACGATAATGATATAACTACGGCAACTACGCTAATTAATATATCTGATAAGGCGAATAAAATCGAATAATATTATTATTAATGGTAATCATACTAATAATCTTCAAAAAGAATGTTAATAGTAACTATAATAATAATGTAACTACGCTAATTAGTATAATTGAAGAGATGAATATGGATGTGGTTTTCTTTAATGGTGAAAATAATGCCCGGCATTTTACGATTAATAAATCTCCGCAAATATAAAACATGAGGCATTAATGGGTTTAAGCGAGAAATTCTGTACATCTCTAGCAATTATTTAATCATGGTGTATTATATTCTATTTATACAACACTGGCAAAAATACGAGAGATAAGGTTTGACGTCGGAGACAAAGAATGAAAATTGATAATAATCAATTAAATTCTTTCAATTGAAAGAATTGAATTGATTATTGTTTGATTGATATTAATTGATCGAGTCTAATCAATTCGTAAATAAATTATTGAATAGTAATTTAAATTAAGCATAGATGATATTTCGAGAAATTAAAATCGGTAGTGACTGATGTATATGTAGTGACCTAAATAGGTATATAGGTAATAGGTAAATTAAAATCGGTAGTGACCTACTATAGCTATTTGTCAATCCTTCGCTTCCCATATACTTATGTGTGTGAATGATCAGCCATGGCATGGATGACTAACTAAAAATTCTATATCATTATATGCTTTCCATTAGTTTATGTCATTGAATATAATATTCAGACTCCTCTATCAAACATATGAGTTCAAATCGATTTCTTCGACCATTCGTTGTGAAAATGCTACGGATGTGATTTGGCGAGGTCTGCCTAAAGCGTTTTTTTATCAAAGAAACGTAAAAAATTTTCTATGACTGACTATACTAGTTTCACCAAAATTTCGATATCATTCTGCTATCACACGATAAGAATTACGTATATTATGAATGACGAGAAGCTTGTAGAGAAATTGATTCATTTTTACCAAAACGAACACATCAAAAAAGAATTTATAAATTAATTGCACTACAACAGTCTTCTTTTCTTTTCTCATCGAGTCTATTGTCAACGACGCCATAAATTCCAATATAAATTTAAGGAAACATTTTATAAAAAATAAGGAGTTTCTTCGTGAGCTGAATATATTTTGAATAACATTGATTTTTTCTACAATGTTTTGATAGCGAGAGCTTCATGCACCATGTTGTGAGCAAACTTCATCCCAAATTAAAGCTTAGTCACTCTCTTCTGTTTCTATGTTGATATAAATCCATCGAAATTCGATAGAACTTCATCAAATATTTCAGGGATGTGTATTAATTTTTCATCATCAGATTGGTTGTTTCAGAGCTGCTAATATACTGTAAGAACATATCAGGGACAATGTCCTAAACAAAATTCCCAATTTCCATGCACGTTTTTTAATTTGGGTAAACAGAAATGGTCACTTTGCTAGGAGCGACTAAAGTTGACAAGACGCAGCCGCTTATTTCAAACAATAGATTCGATTTAGTCCTGACTGTCAACTAATTGAGTCCTCGTAGTTAAAGCGTATATGTGAAATAATCAAACTCTTTCTTGTATGTAATGACGATAGGCTGGTCATTCAGCCAAAGGTTCAGTTTTAACCTTTCGTCATTTTCATATTTTTAACATAGAATGGTACATGAATATAATTAGTCAGATGCATGAATAAAATGTTCAGATTTACGTCGTGGCCTAGTTTAACCTTTTTAAAAATTAGGCAACGACTTGCAAAAAATAACTCCCAAAATGCAAGTAATTGCCAACTATGACAGATGAAACGATTTTAGTGGTACATACAGAATAACCATTTTCATTGTTTTGGATGAGTACTTGACAGTATGTTCATGTTTTTTTTTTATTTCTGACAATAAGAGATTAAATCATAATAACTAATTCATTCACTCGAAACGCATGAGCAAGACTCGAGAAATTTCATGAAAATCTCAGTGAAAATGTTTGTTTCACTGGATAACAACATCCAAGTCTGTGTAGCACAAGTCTGATAGTCGTCGCGCCAGTGGCTGTGGCAATGATTTTTTTTAATTTTTGGTCTTATTTGACGCAATAACATTTTTTTAACTTAAAATACTATTTGCGGACCATGAATATTTTTGGTAAATGCGGAGGACTAAAATTACAAAAGGATACGTGAGTTATGAATCCGGGCCTTATTTCTTTAGAATTTAACGTTACAAATATTAACGAGCTTAGGAAGTAAAAACAGAAGCTTATAACCAATGAGATCACGTCCTAAATAAGTTACTGCGGACGAATATGCAAGTGCATGGCTGCTCCGTGTACCTGCAATTGCGGATCGGATGCGAACCGTAGTACCATTTAGTTATGGGTGTTAAGATTGATAATAGATGTAATTTATTATTGGCAGGAAATTTGTAAAAATGTTCCGATTCATTGACCAATTTCTGATCTAATTGGATGGATTAAAGTAAACAGATGGAGGGTGATTCGACAGGAATCCTTCGTTCAAAAACCATCAACACACCTCCGTACATGTGTGTTGATGAGAACTCACCTCCGTATATACATGTTAACACGAGTAAGGTATTTCTTTAAAGTTGTCATACGAAACAAAAAAACACGTTACGCATCTGGGTGTACTAAAAATATGAAAGAATACGTAAAGTATATCATACATACTAAACAAATTAATTTATTTTGGTAGGATCGTAGTTAATGTTTACATGACACTGATCATATCATTTTACCCATTGAACACCGTCAGATCACTAGATCTCGTTTCATTTCCATGCTGGACTTCACTACTGGATATGCTGACTATTATTCACTGGAATTCCACACAACTACTATCGTAAATAATTTTACTGAACATCACACACTTTCATAGGTTTTACGTGCATTGACGAATTACCTGCTTAATCGTAGATTATTTCCTGGTCTGTTATGAACGGTCACGCCACAAGGATGAAGCTCGCCACTAACTGCATTAGCAGGAGCAGCAGCCAGCACTAGACCGCGGCCCAATAGCACGTGAAGCCTTCCAAGAGCGACGCTCAGGTAAGCCACTTTATTCCCGAACCCAAGCTCTTGACGATACTAGTGTTTATACTTATATCATAATAATATAATTGTTTAAATGCTAGTGTATTGAAAGCTAGAGAGTTGTGTGCAAATGCAAGAAACTTTGCTGGTATAATTTTGGGTCGAAATTGGAGTGAGCTGCTTATCAAATTTGTTAGAGAAATGCAGTTCATATTTCACGCTTAATAGCCATGCAAGGCGTAGCCATTTTTTGGTGTCATTGAAGCATTTGCATCAACTCGGGATGTGCTTGGGTTAATGAATCGATTTGGAGAACGCATATGTACTTGTACTCATCAAGGAGCATACGTGTACACGTATAGCTGGCCAGCGCTGTAGCCTGCAACGATAATCTCCTCGTATCCGTCGTTATCGATGTCGCCATGCGCCATTTTGCCTGTTAGTGGTAAAATCATTCTGTAGAGAACTATAGGAGGTGAACTTACACAAATAAGCACTTTGATGCTATACGGTTATTGGCTTATTGCTGGAAATGAAAATTTTAATTTGTGTCTTGAATTACAATTGCTTTCCTCATGATAGAGTGATTTCATGATTTCAGGGTCATAAAAATTCGAAAAAACGACATTTCATAAAAAAGTGTGCAGTAATTTTTTTATGAAGTATTCGTTCGGTTATTCATGAGGCCTACTGTCGAATGACAGCTGCGAGCCATTTTTATTCTGTCCCAAAAGTTATGTATGTAGTTATTGGAACATGACAATACAAGAGGCCATGGTGTTATTTTTCATGCCATGTGTATAATATAATGAGTTGACAATCGGTTTCGTCTATGCCATGGCTTGGCCTGGATTGTAGTGGAACGCATAATTATTCCCTTACCCACTGCTTGTGGTGTCCATGGTGTCGAAAAGGATGTTCTGTCGGCATAGGTCCAGTCGTTGCAGACTTTGATGTCGTGGGACGAATAATTCGTCACTCACCCACTGTGGTGTCCATGGTGTCGGCGAGGATGTTCTTGCGGTATGTCCAGTCGTTACAGACCTTGGTGCCCTGAGATAAAGGTTCCGTCTCTCACCCACGGTGGTGTTCAGGGTGTCGACAGAGATGTTCTTGCGGTAGGTCCAGTCGTTGTCGACTTTGATGTCGTTATAAGAATTAGTCACTCACCCACTGTGGTGTCCAGGGTGTCGACGAGGATGTTCTTGCGGTAGGTCCAGTCATCGCGGACCTCGGTGTCAGGATAAAGAATGTACATGCGACCGTCGTCGTCTCCCGACAGCAGGATCCATGGCTTGTGCGGTCTGCAATAAATTTAAATTGATAATTTTGTTAAACTATCTTTGATATCTGGAAGTTTTATTTATTGGGGGATATAACGAACTTAACATATGTCACTGAATGAATGTGCATTGTTATGCCTACAACAGTTTTTAATTCTATCGTCAAGAAACGTGAACCTTGGGTGAACTCCAGTATGACAATGTATTTTTGATTATAAATAACCTACATCCATTTGTGGCATGAGTAAGGTTTGCTCTGAGTGATTGATTAAAGGTTACGATAGGATACTCCAGAATTGAGAAGTACGTAGTTTAGAGGTAAAGCTCGTATGGTGCTAACTTGCTGTTGTGTAACAATTCACAGTAAAAATGAAACAGTCTACAATGCTAAGAGACTTTTTTAGACTGACGTTGAGGCATTTAACGTTTTACCCAGACGTACAGACATTATACGCCATATGAATGCAATTGCACAGAAATTCTACGGATTATGCAGACGTGGAGACGTAATTCGGTTGACAAGTTTCATTGAATTGTCTTCTGAGATCACTTTGATGATTAGTTCAAATTTACTGAAAGATATGAATGAATATCTGGGAAGATATGGTAAAGAACATTCACTGCCTGGTCAGTTTCCAACATATTCAACATCCCGTAATAATATAAACGGGCTATTGAACTTGGTTAGCGTGATATTTTCATATGGTGGTAATGTCATATATCCACAGAAGTTAAATTAATGCTTCTTTATATTGATATAATTCTTGCTACTCATCAGAATGTTGGAGTTGATTTACAAACAAGCTTAATATATACGTTTTATCTGATAACGATAAGACCTGACTCACAATCCATCAGTTCCAAGTTCATTTCAGCCAAATTGAATAGCAGCACATTTTTACGTGCACTGCAATTGTAATTGAGTTACCCTTATACTGACAACTAACAGCAACAAGGAAATAATTACCAATAATACGTTGCGCAATAATAATATGTTATGCAATTCCACATATACTAAATACTCAACATATATGTGCACTTGTGTACATCGTAGAGAGTTTCAATCCATACTTACAAGCCATCAGTTTCAAGTTCGTTGGCATAGGCAGCGCTGGGGTAGTAAGTTTTGGGCGTACCTGGCGACATGCTCTGTCCACCTACTATTGGGTTAGGTATGAAGTTGTCTGCAACGACCACGCTCGCGAAGTCATCAGTTCTGTAGCGGTAAGGACATATTAAAATTAGTTATACTAAGTTTCATTCGGAGGTAAATCAAATAAACCTTTATAATCAATAAACCTAAACCATTAAACCTTTTTAGACTTGGTACATTGTCAATGTCACAAATATAAACTGTATTGGACATAATAACCTTGAATTATGCGATGCATGTCTAAATTCAATTAGGTTTGAAACAAAGTATAGGATAGACTTCATAAGTTTTAAAGATTTAATTTCAAACTAATTTTGCGGTGGATATTTCAATTTATTACTGTGAATGAAACTAAGGATACATGTGGTGCAGTGAATGAAGCGAGTGATTATAGCTAAAATTGTAAACCATTCAGCACTGAAACACCTACCGTACATGGTGGTATTCAGTTTGGATCCGAATCAGTACGTGCATTTTAGTTTTCTATCGAATAAATATACTTATTTATTCTCTTGGAGTGCTATGCGTATTATAATTTATAATAACGCTGCACGTGGCATATATGCATTTGAAGGAGACCTTATAGGATGAAATTTAGCGTTTTTTAATGAGTCAAGCAAAACAATTGAGAGGGACTTTAACCGGGTCTCCGGACCTGAAGTCGGCGGGGAAGAAGTAAACGGTAACTTGTCCCAGTCCCACGTCGGTTTTGTACTCAGTCGACATGATTTCCAGAGTGCCATCTCTGTTGAAGTCGTCGATGAGAACATCGAAGGTTTGCCCGGCGGTCGGGTTAATGACTCTGTAGTTGATCTGAAATTAGTACATTAAAATAATTCTTTTATTCATGAATGTTTGAACGGTGACTCCGGTCAGGGAAAACAACGGTAAAACGGAGGAAGTCAGTAACATTAAATTTTGTTTGGCTCAATCCGTGGCAGCAAATAGAATATCTTAATGCATCGAGCACGACCAACTTATCAGCACCTTAGTGTGTTGCTATCAGTCATAGCACTGTTCCTTATTGATTAAACTAAACGAGATTGTTGCCTTAGACTGTTAATGAAAGTGATCAAGATTGTTACCATTGATGGGTCGGTCCAGTCGTTGTCGGGACTGTCAGTCCACAAGATGCTTAGTCGCTGCTCGAAGAACTCTCCCAAGACGATGCAGTCGTAGTCGCGGCCTCCAGCGCTGAGCGTGACGGGGGCGAAATGTACGTCACCACCCGCGCTTGAAATGACGTGTTCCGGCCACCCCTCGCTAAAGCCCGTGCCCGTGTTCTCGTAGTACATGACATCGTGCAGCACTTGGCCTGCGAAATAATTGAAAAATAATTGAGTGGGCAGGGGTGAGTGCAACCAATGTGGCAGGGTTGCCCAGTGGTTACAGTTCAGAGTACCAGGATTGAGTTAAGAGGTGCGGGTTTAACCCCAGCCCTGTGTGCCAGTTTCTGGTTAGAATTCGGCAAGGAGGCCGGTCGGTTAGGCAAAGCAAAACTGAGGCAGCGAGTTGAGTGTTCGAGACCACAACAAGCTGTAAATGTTCTGCGATGTTAAGGATCGGCGACAGGCCTACGGCCTAATAAATGCTTAAGCCGCTACATACCAGTCGTACTTTTTATCACACTGGGTAGTAATGAGCAGGGACTGCGTGTCGACTAGACAGAGAACTATTATCAAAATTATTGGTGTCCACATATTCGTCGTTACGTGCATAATGTACACTCTGTAGACCATATATCTAAATAGAAGTAATGTTATTTACATGGTAGTCAATACATAAGTCAATGGATGACATTTACTTATTAAGGGATTAGCTGACATGAGGTGATATCTTGTTAACGAGGCCTAAATGGGAATTATGAATGCACAGCGTTTTGGTCGAGTAATAACCACAGAGCAGACTTCGATGTTAGTGACCTCGGACTCTAACATGAACTTGGTCAGGCTGCGTTCAGGTCCATATGTCGCCTGGAACTCCCTAAGACTTTCTAATAGAGCTATAATTTCCTCTTTTTACAAAGTCGTACCTTTTACGTATGAAAATCAATACGTGAAAATCCATGGTTTCCAAAAAGCACCTTCCATTTCCTTCTATCAAAGTAGTGTCTTTCACGATTGCAAATCACTGCTTTTCTATTCGTTTTCGCCAAGGCATGATTCCTTTCATAGCTGCAAATCACCTTTATTGCCCTTTTACAAAATACTAATTTTAAAAGCTATAAAGTACCGCCCTTAATTTCTCCTTTTTGCAAAGTCGTGCTTTTGCGGTTGAAAATTACCATCTTCTATTTATTAAATTACAGGGTCCGCCATATTTATAGCAATGGATGTTTTCTATATAAAAATAAATTGGTTTCTAGGAGACTTTTCTTTTATAATGAAGCTTAATATCATCTATTAATTCATCTATTTTATATTGCAGAAGTCTAAGGTGTCTAAATATACTATTAGGCCTACTTATGGCAGTAGATAGAAATGCAATTGTAACCCTTCATGAAAAGGGCGAGAGTAATTCAGTCATTGCAAAACAAGCTACAAATTCGTCGTGAAACTGTGTGGAGGGTGGTAAAAAATTCAAGGAAACTGGTGAAGCATGCAATCGACCTGGTCAAGGAAGGAAACGAAGTGTCCGCACAAAACAATTGGTAAAAAACACGAGGGAGAAGTTAAGGAGAAACCCACGTAGCTCAGCTGCAAAGTTGGCTGCAGAAGCAGGAGTCAGTCCGACATCAATGTGTATAGAGTCCTCAAAGATGACCTCAAAACCTCCCCTTACAAAATGCAAACAAGGCATGAACTAACAGACCGTCATGAACGAATGAGGCTCGAAAGATGCCAGCACATTCTGGATCTCATTGAGGATGGCACGCTCCCAACTTGGTGTTCAGTTTGGAGTTTGGAGTCGGGATGGATCTGTGGCAACCATATATAACAGCAACACGTCAAAATCCCATGTCCGTGATGGTTTGGGTCGCGTTAACCACCACTGGGAGGCCCCCACTCGTTTTTGTCCCCTCAGGAGTGAAATTGAACAGTCAGCGATACATTTCGGACATTTTGGAAGCTGTGTTGTTACATTAGGCCCGTAAACACTTCAACGGCTCAACACGGAGTTTCTCAAACATGACCCAAAAGTGAATTCAGAGTCACATCCCAGCGCTCATTAGCCAAAAATGAATGGCCCTCTAGAAGCCCTGATTTGAATCGTCTCGACTTTTCTGTATGGGCTATTTTAGGGAGTAGGGTCTGCAGAACACCTCATGATTTTTTGGATAGTTTAGAGTCTAAATTGACACGTGAATGGGACTTGTTTCCTCAAGAAATGCTGCGTGTCTCCTGTGAAGCTTTCCCGCGTAGATTGGAGGCCGTCATTAAAAATAAGGGTGGTCATATTGAAATATGTCTGAGAATTGTTTAGGTAATTCTTGGCTACTAGCTCATCCAATAAAAAAAACAATGCACCTGTTTGTTTCATTGAGAAATAACGAAAAACATGCGTTGCCATAAATATGGCGGACCCTGTAGTAGTATGAGTGAAATTCATATGGTAAAGTATTGAAAAGTATTAATCAGTGAAGTATTAATAAGCGCAATGTCGATTTTCCCAATATTAAGTTTATTGTTTAGTGATCTACGGTCAAAAGTTTTATGGGTAGCTGTATAATAGTATGTATTTGGTACCATTATGTTTACTTGTTATTATCCCAGTATCATTTAATAAAGTCATGTGCCGCCTTTCTCGCCTGTCCTCTTTGTCACCTGCAAAGCTGTTCAGCTTGTATGGGCATTCACTAGGATTTTTTTGTCATTTATTTGATCTTGTTGTTCATTCGTTGCGTGTTGCGTACTTCTATGTGACGAAAGAATAAAGAATTACAGTAAAGAGTCATAGGACTATTGAATAAGTGAGATGCTGTTATTCGTTATCTTTGCATTTGTGTTGAACCTGGAACGATGACAATATAGTTAAATTCAGATAATCAAAATTTAAGCAATGAGTTGAGTGTTTGATAATCGAAGCGCTGCTGTAAAAAATTCTACAAGGTTCAGAATCGAAGCTAGTTCAATCTTCAATGCTGACACCGCTATTGTTTTAATCATTATCATCAACATAACGAGATCGAATATTAGCACTAAATCCCACCAACAAGAGGAAGATGGAAGCGTGCAGTGAGGGCATCAAGATCTCCGTCGTTGTCCATGTCTTTCCATAGGCAACGGTGATACGACCAGTCTTCCTGTAGGCACAAACGTAAAAAATATAAAAACGGAAATTCGGTCATATAGTTTCTACAACTCTATTCTTATGCTTTTTTATCTACTACGTGCAAAAAATGAACGACATCAATTCCAGTACAAAATACCTCATATTATCAGAAGTATGCAAGTTAATGCAAAATAATGTTATTCGGAACAGCTTTTAAGAACCTGTCCTCTCAGCATCATATTTAGATCTTTGGTCAGGCATAGCGACGTATCAAGACAAAATGCGATCCAGTATAAAACTCTCATCGCATACACGAGCAACATTTCGACTTAGACTTTTACTTCAATAACCATACGCCAGATTTTATTAGATGACCTCTTGGGCTTGATATAGCTCGTCAGAAAGCTTTACACTAGAACCACTAACTGATTTTACAGGAACACAATTTTTATTTACATTAAAATTCACCTGTTTTATTTACATTAAAATTCACCTGTTGAAAGAATAGAAACCTATTATCTTTATTTTATAATTGCTAACTGAGTTTCAGCCATGTCGAAGCGCAGCTTAGTTATACGTGCATTGCCATAATAATTGAGTTACCCGCACACTGACAACGGGACAGCAACAAGTAAATAAAATACGTCACGCAGTTCCGCATATACTCGTAATAATACTCAACATAGTTGAGCACTTGTGTACATCGTAACCGAGTTCAAGGAATACTGACGGTGTCGCTGCTGGCGATGTTGTAAGGTCCCAGCGGAGGTTCCTTCGTCGTGTCGTAAAGCTGCAGCTGCCCGTCGGTCTTGCCTGTCACCAGAAAACCGGAGGTCCAAACGATGCCCTCTGCCCCCGCTACCGAGCCTGCACTCATCCAAGTGAGGGAATCAGATTAATTGGCCAGAAAGACTTAATGATAATATAATTCATATCCCCATTGGTAAGTTGGATCAACTTAATCATTTATACTAATTTTGGAATTCAGTTTTGGGAAAAAAATCTTAAAAAAAATAAATGTGGTTGTTAAGCTTCGAAGAACATAATAAAGATTTTTTCGAGTATACATGGTGATCTATGCTATAATGATGTTATAACAATGATATAATAATGAAATATATTGTCTAAAAATGACATATCAACAGACAGCAGGTGGTGATATTATGACATATCAACAGACAGCAGGTGGAGAATTGCAGTAATGTTACCAAAATACCGAGCGTTGTATGAAGATAATACATGAACTGACTGGGCAGGTAGTCGGGGTTGTTAGGCCAGTACGCAGAGACGTCGAGCACCTCGATGTTGTTGCGGCCCCAGTCTGCCACCGTGTCCAGGAACCGACCAGGCGACCTCATGTAGTACTTCTCATCGTACTGCATGGTTCTTGTTGTTATTTATCATGTGTTATGTTATGTATCATGTGTTTTTATTTCATGTAGTACTTCTCATCGTACTGCATGGTTCTTGTTGTTATTTATCATGTATTATGTTATGTATCATGTGTTTTTATTTCATGTTGTACTTCTCATCGTACTGCATGGTTCTTGTTGTTATTTATAATGTGTTATGTTATGAATTATGCGTTTTCATTTCCTGTAGTAATTCTCATCGTACTGCATGATTCATCTTGTTATGTATCATGTACAATTATTTCAATGTTGCTACGTATCACATGATATTTATTCCCATTACAACTGTTATCTGTATCTAAATTTTCTCTTAAGTTTATGCACTGATCCCTATTTCTATCAGTATTTGAGACATTGAAAAGAAGCTTCAATAGAATGATATGAGTGCATCACTGCATCGTAATTTATGCATATCTAATCAAAATGCTTAGATTTATATATACAATTATTTAGGATACCACCAGTTCTTCCGTGCTCTGTTATTGATTTGGACATAACATTGAAGCAATATAATAGACTCGCACATTGAAACGCTAATATGAAGCTATGCACAGATTTTTTTCCTACTTGTTTTGTTCACATGTTAACGAAATATTCTGCAAAAATTTATGTATCTTAAATAATATGTCGTTCAGTATAATTGTTATTTCGTACAAATTACCTATACATATAGAAATAATTTGTGCTCACTCACGTGACAGTCTGATGAACATTAATTGAACGTATTTTTTCGAAATTATCCGTATAAATGCGGGTTGATAATGTATTATTAAAAAATTTGTTACCTGGCCTACTGTGGCTGGGTCAAATCTGGAAATGTAGAGCGTCCATCTATCTTCATATTCAAGGGAATCGTCTTCACTGAAGTACAGCTCCATGAAGGCTGCATGCTGGAGATACGTAAATCACATCAAAAGTTATTCGCACTATCTTCTACCATGGTAACTTGCTAAAAAAATTATTGCATTAATTCAAAATTTTAGCTGCCCACGTAATAGATATTAGAAGAAATGTGTTGTCAGTAATTCAAAAGTTCTTTCAGCCGATTCACCCATGAACTGAATGCTCGGCAATATTCGGCATTATTGCGGCAGCTTGTGTGGTGCCCTTTAACTTGCGATGAGTACTAATAATATTATTATATATTGCCAAACTTCTGGGAGATTTTGTTACTTAAATCCTAGTCCCTCACTACTTAAACCATAGTTCCTCGCTTCTTAAATCCTAGTACCTCGTTTCTTAAAACATAGTTCCTCGCTACATGAATCTTAGTCCCTTGTTACTTAAAACATAGTTCCTCGCTACTTAAATCCTAGTCCCTCGCTGCTTAAACCCTAGTTCCTCGATTCTTAAATTCTAGTCCCTCTTTAAATTAAAACATAGTTCCTAGCTACTTAAATCCTAGTCCCTAGCTACTTAAACCATAGTTCTTCGCTTCTGAAATCCTAGTATTATACCTCGTTACTTAAAACATAGTTCCTCGCTACTTGAACCATAGTCCCTCGCTACTTAAATCAAATCCCCTCGCTACCTAAACCATAGTTCCTCGCTACTCAAATCATAGTTCCTCGCTACCTAAACCATACTTCCTCGCTACTTAAACCATAGTCCCTCGCTACATAAACCGTAGTCCCTAGCTACTTAAATATTAGTCCCTTGCTACTAAAACCATTGTCCCTCGCTACTCAAACCATTGTCCCTCGCTACTCAAACCTTAGTCCTTCGCAACTTAAACCATATTATCTCGTTAATTAGACCATTTTAATCAGTCCCCCACGAAGAGTGACTCGTAGGGGACCATATCCCTCACAAGTGACCAAGACTCAATACCCTGAGGTTGGTCTGGCCGAGGAAGCGAGGCTGCCAGTCTGGCCGCGTGTCTTGCGCCACCGCGAGGCTGGCGAGGGCGGCCGCCAGCAGAACAACCGCCGATGATCGCCTGATGCGGCATAAATTTAAATTTTTATTTGGGCAGAACAATGTTTATTTTTTTCCCCGGGAATGAAAAGTTGATGGTTTTAATAATTGATGCTGGTTAGCAGCACAATTTTAAATGTTTCTATGGGCAGAACAATGTTTCTTTTTTCAGCGGCAATGAAAAGTTGATGGTTTTAATAAATGATGCTGGTTAGCAGCACAATTTTAAATGTTTCTATGGGGCAGAACAATGTTTCTTTTTTCCCCGGGAATGAAAAGTTGATGGTTTTAATAATTGATGCTGGTTAGCAGCACAATTTTAAATGTTTCTATGGGCAGAACAATGTTTCTTTTTTCAGCGGCAATGAAAAGTTGATGGTTTTAATAAATGATGCTGGTTAGCAGCACAATTTTAAATGTTTCTATGGGCAGAACAATGTTTCATTTTCCCCGGCAATGAAAAGTTGATGGTTTTAATAATTGATGCTGGTTTGTAGCAAAATTTTAAATGTTTTTATGGGCAGAAGAATGTTTCTTTTTTTTCCCCGGCAATGAAAAGTTGATGGTTTTAATAAATGATGCTGGTTAGCAGCACAATTTTAAATGTTTCTATGGGCAGAACAATGTTTCATTTGTCACAGGACAATGAAGGGTTAGTGACTTTAATAATTAATGCTGGTTTGGTTGAAATTTGATTTTGCGACAGCGTAGGCGTATGAGTATCAATTATTAATACATAATAAATTTTAAATATCGCAGGCACAATGCAGCTAGCTGACCATTGTTTGTAATTGAGAATAGTAATAAAATTGTAGTAATTTGGGCCTATTATAGGATTTATAAACAATCATAATAGGATTTTGTTTTGAAACAAAATATCATGCAAGTCAGTTTCTTGGCGCGTATATAATGAATATTTCAGCAGTGACTTTTTCAGAACATTCGAGGCGCAATGTGACGTGGTAACGATTGGTTATTATCGTCATATTCGTAGAAGTGGTTAATTTATTACACCACACATTATATTGCCCTCCCAGTAAACAGATTTAATTTGACATAAGCTTTCGTGTCAATTTCATTCAATAAATCTTATTACATAACATGACCTCAACCCGGTCTCCAGTATCTGCGAAGTTACACAATCATTCATAATTAAAGCAATACCTTTACACGGATTTTGACCTGAAAAATACTCTTCATTACGAATTTCTATCTCATTTAGGGTCATCGATTTTAATTATAAATTAATCGCTAAACTTAGGATGGCGGGTTGAAAGTCCACGTTAAAAGCCCACGTTAAAAACAAGTAACGAGCGAAATTTGACGACGAATTTGTATATATTTATATATTTTTATCTGGATAGTTATGCAATATTGTTCATTACTGCTCCACTTACATTACGTTGGATGCCGTGTTGATGATGTAGTGCAGCTACAAGACCACCTGCTTAAATCACCGGCAAAGCGAGAAGGTTGGATGTCACCTGTTCGATTAGGAAAAATCTCAGCCGCTTTTGAGACAATATATTCGAGGCCAAGAGTTGACAGTTATTTGCATTATTTATTCAAAGTGAATACAGTTTCCTAGACAGATATTAGTAGAGATGAGATTATTGATGGTGTAGAGAGTGTACAAGAATTTACTGTGTAGCATTTTAAGTATTTCGTTTACCATTTGCGTTAATAAAATTCAGAAAAATTGTTGTAGATCCCTTCTTATCAACAATTTTTTTCTATGGAATAGAATAGAAGTGTCGGAAGAATATAGAATAGAAAAGTGTATTTTCATAGAAGCGTCGGCTATGTGAGCTGATGAAAAACTCTTACTGCAGCTGACATTTCACATCGACAGATACGATGTCAGCGTGACGCGATGTGGATAATGTAACGTCTGAACTGCGTCATCTGTGTGGCGTTTTATGCTCAGATAAACATTATTATATAATAATGGTTTCTGCCAACAAAAATTGCATGATATAGGAAAAAATCTGATTTTGGCAAACAAAAAACTTGAATTAACTGTTGTATTAGTAGTGTACGGGTGCAAAGAGACAAACAGAAATAAATCTTCCCCTTTTTTTCTCTGCTAAAAAGGCTTCCCGGAAATGCATTACCGTTCTTACCAGAGTCTGTTCAAGTCACTCCGATTCACGTTAAAAATTTAAATGAAATCAGTGCTCATTCTAAAGAAAAGAAGTAAAAATACAAATATGAAGAAAGCATCGAATAAATAAATAGTTCCAAAGTTTGTGTTCATACCAAGAATAAAATATATGTGTTAAAGTAGGTTGCAAACTTCGTAACATTTGCATTCCGGCACTTGAGATAAAACATTACCCGCTGCGACGTATATTTGGTCGCGCGTAGGTAGCATTTTTTTGGTATAGACCCGCTCACTGCATGGGCACCTAATTTGAGGCATATATAATCCGACGCTGCAGGGTAAGTTGTATCACGAGATATTGTAGCCGCGCCTCATGCGTCTTTAATTTTTGTACCGCGATTTTCCTTATAATTTTTTTGCGATCATTCAACAGTTATTCCTCATATTTGTTCTGTTAAATTTGTATCCATTTTTCGATTAATGTTTTTTTTTGCCTTTCGATTTTACTAGTATTTTCATTTAGAGAAAAAGTATGTTCTTGATCATCCGAAGCGCGTCACTTTCATTCTGTTAGTCGTGAAGCACAATTGCGCTTCACTGTTAGTGATTTTTTGTGAAAAGTGGTTATATTGTGACATGTAAATTTGTGCGTGATATTTGTGAATAGTTATATTGTGAGATCTAAATTTGTGCTGTAATATTTGTGAAGTGTAATTATTTTGTTTGGAATATTTAAAGTAAAGTATTATAGCCTTATCTTAAGTTTATTTATTATTTTTGTTTGTAGAATCTTATTGGTTAACTACGAACAATAGGTTCAGTACGAGCCATCCGCTGGGTTTATTTTGTGTTTATTCCGAGTTCACTCTAGTTCACTTTATGTTTATCTTGTGTTCTCATCGGTGACTTCCTGTCTATGAACGTATGAAGTGCTAAAAAACCTCCAAGTTCACTTCCCTGCACGCCCGGGCACGGTTTAAGTTTGGTTGTCTGACTGGCGCTGATGTAAGAGCGTTCGGAAGTCACCGTCGCGCTTACAATATGATTGGATCATATTCTGATTATCACAGCTATATGCGAACAAGGTATTGCTCTTCAAAATTTGGGTAGCAATGCCGTTCTCTGTTTTAGGATCAATCGCCTGTTCTCACTCTTGGCTCCTTAGCTCAGTGTCGCATTCCAACGTCGTCCAGAAATCGGTCTCCGGAATTTCTTAGAGTAGCGCCTGGATTTAGCTAATCTCGTTGTCATGACAACGAGCGTCTGAGGCCCAAACCAAGACGTCTGTGTTGCCATGCCAACCAAACACTGAGATGACCTCTGCTATACCCAGGTATACGTATACCCTTCTTATTGGCTCGTGATCAAGATAAACGTGAAGGACATTTTCTTCCGGTTAAAATGTTGTATTAAGTACTGAAAACATATGGCATTTATAGAGATTGAAAATTGATATTCAGTTTATAGAGATTGAAAATTGATATTCAGATGTTGCTCTGGTTGTATGAGTAATTAGCGTAATAAATGCTTAAATTGAACGCTAGGATAATTTTTTGAGCATTTGGAATGGATTTGCATGAGTTTGGCAAGGCCTTCGCGAGTCTCCCTTCCAGAATTCAGAAAGTCATATATAACCGCAAATGTCTGAGTTTTTCGTACAAAAACTTGCATTTCTGAAAGGGCTTCCTAGAAATTTTCAGCAGTACTTCAAATTAATTCAAATGGGGGCGCTTAACGTACGCTTTTAAAATTTGTTCCTAACTTCACCGGAAATTTTATTTTATATTTCTTCACACTGTTACTTAATATGTGCATGGATCACTGAAAAACCTCATATATGGCTAACAAATGAAATATACTAATCATCAGTGATATTTACAGAAACGTTGTGTTTTGTGAAAGCAAGAAGGACTGCAGTTTGCAGCAGAAGTCGTAAAATTTCTTGGTACGGTGAAAACTTTCAAGTGAAAAGATGAGCAGCGGCTGAGTAATGGGTGAGTAAAGCAGACCAATTCAATTCAAAAATCTCAATTTTTAATCACTTTTATATAAAAAAATAGGCAAATCAACAATAAATAACATGATAAGGAAGGAATGCTAACATGACTAAAAAAATATTAGTAGAATGAATCGTACGCTAATAATTTTATTAGTGGAAAAAATAAGTTGAGTAACTAAATACCGAGTGTAATTAACCATAAATGTAAAAATCAACTCCAAAATTTAAAACGCTCATAACATTAATTGCTACAAATACTACGATAAAGATACTTTCTTTCTACGTTAGTTTAATTAATTATGCCTGTATATTTCATATGAACTAATCATGTTTTTTAAATATTATCAAATAATATTCTCTTTACTACGAATTAGCTAGTATGTCTTTTATACTGGTATTGTTCTTACTACTTAGGACTGATTCCTTGCTTACTTCACTAATTCAATGAGATTTCCTTCTCAAATTTAATATGAGATTTTTTTTTGCCGTAAAAATTTTTAAGGTATAACTCTGGATGGAATTTTCTCCTTCTCACGAATCAATTCTCATGATTGGTGGATCTGAATAAATCGGTTAAATTTATTCTGATTTAATGTGAGAAAATGCTTTCATTCACAAGCAATCTTTACAGGAAATATTCTACTGCACTTGTTCACGGCACATGATAATTATTCAGGACAGTTTCATTATTGCAAACTCAATGAAGGAAATCTCCATCAAAATTTTTTTTTCACTGTATTACATCTACGGTCTCCAGCGCCAAAAATTTAATTCTTCATTTCCACATAAGCAATAGATAGAACTTTTCCCCAGCAAATAAGCAGATTACTCCGTTCATGTTTTTTTCAGAAAGACTGTTTTTCTTTCTTCATTTCCGAATATAAGTAGTTTGTGACTTCTATTAACGAAATCAATATGCATGTATCGTTTATTTTTGAATTGAATATTTCCTCTGACTTGGCAGCGGCAGCGGCAGCAGCAGCAGCAGCGGCAGCAGCAGCTGAGGAGCGCGAGGACTGGAGCCTCGTAGGCGACTACTGCAACAAGTCCTTGCGGCTGAAGGCGGACCGATGGCAGCGAGCCGTACAACACCCCGACACCAGCGAGCCTGTGCTGCACTTCCTTGATGGCGACCAGACCGAGGTCAGTTATAACTAGAATAGTTGTTATGTGTATAGTAGTATTGTATATAGTTAGTGTAGTACCGAAATAATGAAGGCTCAATAGCTGCAGGAAGGGGGGAGGGGTTCAATGGCTGTGGGAGAGGGGGATGGTTGTACTTGATATGCGTATAGTAGGATAGTGTATAGGTAGTATGGTACCGTATATACTATAGTATAGTTCTATCGGCGTTGATGAGTAAGCCAAGTTTGGCCTCTCGCCGATGCTCGTAATGCTCATGACTTGTCTTCCGGAGCTCTGAGAACTGTTTTTTTCACCAGTTGCCAGTTATGCTCATGATTTTCTATACAATAGGTAATACGCTAGGAACCTAGGCCGTATATTTTCTTAATACCAGCGAATATACGTGTTCCATGCAGAATAAGCTGCAAATCAGCCATAATAAAATATCATAAAATTTATCCGTCATCCGTCGCATTAAGATGACAACTGTCATCCTAGTCCGTTCTCACTGTTGCAATCAATATTTATTCTTCACTATTTCTACAGCTGATAGTGAGTCAGAATGCATGTAACCAACTAGTTGCGGGACAAGAAGTACCATCAGGTCTTCGCAGTAAGGCTGTCTACTTCGTGAAGACCAAAGACCCGCTACTGAAGAGAACTGAAGACGATGCCAACGTCAGGGATGGAGTCATTTTTGGGGACATTTCTCCCCAGCCTCTTGACCAGCTATCCACCCTCATCGAAGAGGTGAATGATATCCGTTTGCGTCTTAGTTTCTGTTACTAACTGGTAGTAGAATAATCGATTATCGGAAAACTGCACTCGGATTATTCAACATGCTTATTTAAAATTTGCTATTTTACTGATTTATTTAGTTCAGTAATGCATCTTCATTCAATAATTCTGCCGTTTATTACATTCTAAGTTTTTGCTACCAAATTTTCTGCTCTGCATACGATATCACAAAACTCGTAGACGAAGAGCAGTTATAGGTACTTGCAACCTTTGAGTTCAGGTGGCAGGTGATTATTTTCAGGTGGCTGGTAGGTGACTATTTTCAGGTGGTAGGTGACTTTGTTCAGGTGGTAGGTGACTATGTTCAGGTGGTAGGTGACTATGTTCAGGTGGTAGGTGACTATGTTCAGGTGGTAGGTGACTATGTTCCTTGCACTTATTATTAACGTATTAAAAAACGGTAAATGATACTATTTATACTGCTACATATTAGGAGATGCAATTGTGTAAACATGGCACGCTTTGAATACTTGATTGAACGCGATGATTGCACCGATCCCCCAAGTGTTATACGATCATAAAACGTTAGAGCGCCTTTTATAAGATAAAATACAGATGACTATTCTTATTACTGTAGCCACTTATTGTGGTCAATATTAGTGGTACACAGGGGTAACCAAAGGAACGCAACATCATTCCGGGAGTGCTATTAATCACAATAACATTGGAAATCACTGAAATAGATCACTAAAATTCGTTGATTTGTCTGCGGTTGTTGCAGGTGATAATCCCAATTTTGGAGAACCCGGCAAACCGCACCGACTGGCCCGACATGGTGCAGGAGGATATCAGCAACCAGCTCTACCAGCTTAGGGGTACCGTCTACAGAATGTGGGGGCACCTCCGAGGGCAGACTCTACTGCCCCTGCCCTTTGGCATGGAGCAGCTAGAGAGAGCAGAGCGCACTGCTCTCACTACGTGAGCCGCCAACAATATAGTAGCTTTAAATTGCTGGGGAAATTTTGGGTAAAGTATTTAGATGAGATAATTACATGGGTAAGCTATTGCAGAGGTTTTTCTGTCAACTTTAATTCAGTAAAAGATTAACTACACGGAATATTAAGAAATACATTTCAAATTTTCAAAGATCACACGGATTATTCAAAGATTTGTTAGAACGTTTGAATGTTGGCGTTTACTTCTACATTGTCGTATTTAATCTGAGAATATTTGGCATTCAAACTATCCAACGCATCACGTATAAAAAATCATGTATTACTACCAAAAGTACATGCACAATTGTGCAGTATAGCTGCCATATTCCTCTAAAGCTGGTTTATTACATTTTTTTGTCATGCTCCAATAAAACTGGTTTATTAACGTATTTTAGCGCACTTTCTCATTTCTGGAACAAATGCACTATTGTGCTCGCCATATGTCCGTCTCTCTGTCTGTCCGTACGTCCGTGACCTCAAGTTTTCGTCGACGAGAAAATGCGCTCTCTGTCACTCACTGCAGTGAGTACATTTTTTGAAAATATGAAAAAATATAACTCACTGCAGTGAGTTATATGTTTTTGTCATGCTCTTCTAAAAGTGGTTTATTAGCGTATTTATTTTGTCATGCTCTTCTAAAACTGTTTTATTAATGCAGTTTTTTGTCATGCTCTTCTAAAACTGTTTTATTAACGTATTTTTTTGTCATGCTCCTCTAAAACTAGTTTATTAACGTATTTCTTTTTTTATGCTCTTCTAAAAGGGGTTTATTAACGTATTTTTTGTCATGCTCCTCTAAAACTGGTTTATTAACGTATTTTTTTGTCATGCTCCTCTAAAACTGGTTTATTAACGTATTTTTTGTCATAGTCTTCTGAAACTGGTTTATTAACGTAGTTTTTTGTCATGCTCCTCTAAAAACTGTTTTATTAACGTATTTTTTTGTGATGCTCTTCTAAAACTTGTTTATTAACGTATTTTTTGTGATGCTCCTCTAAAACTGGTTTATTGACGTATTTTTTGTCATGCTCTTCTGAAACTGCTTTACTAACGTATTGTTTATTCTCTTCGTCTTCCTGAAGGGGCGAGATGACAGACTCGCAGCTGAAGAGCGCCATCGAGGGCGTGGTGATCAAGTCATACATTAAAGTACATGCACAGTTGTGCAGTAAAGCTGCTATGCTCTACTAAAACTAGTTTATTAACACATTTTATTTTCTTCGTCTTCCTGAAGGGGCGAGATGACAGACTCGCAGCTGAAGAGCGCCATCGAGGGCGTCGTCATCAAGTGGGTGGCGCAGATCGAGGAGGTCGTGACGGAAGACAGCGACCGCCTGCCATGTGAGCACCCAGTGCCTGCTGATGAGCTCAAGTTCTGGAAGCTGCGACGCAAGAACCTCAGCCACATCGCTCGACAACTCGCTGATAAAAAGGTTAATTTATTCGGAAATTATTCATAACCTGTTAGAATTTTTTTAATTAAACTCTGTACAATAATTTTTTAATCGTGCTATTTTGGAATCGAACCTGAATACTGATAAAAAGGTTAATTTATTCGGAAATTATTCTTTATTACTTATAATTTTATAATTAAACTCTGTACAATAATTTTTTTAATCGTGCTATTTTGGAATCGAACCTGATCACTGATAAAAAGGTTAATTTATTCGGATATTATTCTTTATTTCTTAAAATTTTGTGTTTAAATCCTGTACAATAATTTTTTTAATCGTACTATTTTGTAATCGAACCTGATCACTGTAATCAGCGATCGGATTCAGATTAAGTGAAATCTGCGTTGATATTTAAATGTTCGTACGTGATGATTGGTGTAAATCTGTAATTATAATTTATCTTAAACTCTAAATCGTTTATCTTAAGTATCCATTGTTTGATTTGTTTGCATGCGAAAGTGAAATTTTAATTATATAACTTGAACACGTAATTGAAGAACAATATCATTCCTATAGGACTTAGGGAACGATGGAGGCAGAATGTTTCGTTTAATTTAGCACCCTATGACAAAATATAACATCGCTCAAATGTTTGACCTTTATTGGCATGATTTATTAAATAAGTATTAGTAATTGGTGAGTATCTAAGCCGTGACATTTTCGTGAGAGCGATAGCGATGGCTATCATTGACCTTCTTACTTAATTTACAGTAGAACTTTCAATTATCAAACTTGTATTTCAATTTTCTTCTGACCGAGAAATGACTAGAAAATCAGCCTATAGACCTGCTTGAAAATTTTTATACGCCATTCCTCTCATTAAATATAGTGCAAATATGGTGCTCTGGCGAGCAGGTGAAAATGATGGCCAATATCCTGGAGGCGACGGAGTCTGCTTACTTCCCAGCCTTCCAGCGCATGACTCGCAGCGTTACTTTAGGTGAGCTTGGCGGACTTCGACGTGAGGGACGACGGGTGGTGGTGACCTGTAGGCCTAAGCTAAGGCTTTTAACGAAGTTTTTGGGATATGTTTTAAGGCGAATTTTCGGGCGTTGTTGAGTATTGGTTGGTACTGGGGCAGAGTTTTGGGGCGAAGTATTGGGGGCGAAGTATTGGGGTGATGTATTGGGGCAAAGTATTGGGGCAAAGTATTGGGGCAAAGTATTGGGGCAAAGTATTGACAGAGTATTGGGACAAAGTATTGGGGCAAACTATCGGAGCAAAGTATTGGAGCAAAGTATTGGGACAGAGTATTGGGGCAAAGTATTGGGGCAGATCTTCTTTTCGGGGTGTCTACACTGGGTAGACTTAAAGCCACAGGTCGACCTCGAGGACGGCCGTTGGGCCTGAGAGCCTGTATTGTGTTTAAATTCTTCTAAGTAGGTAACCACTGAATTCTTGTTTATAGTAGGTCAGTGGACTATTGGGGCAGAGTATTGGGGCAGAGTATTGGGGCAGAGTATTGGGGCAGAGTATTGGGGGCAGAGTATTGGGGCAGAGTATTGTGGCAGAGTATTGGGGCAAAGTATTGGGGCGAAGTTTTCGGGGCGAATTATTGAGGCGAAGTATTGGGGCTTGAAATAAAAATAATTGTGCCTCGTTCAAATAATTTAGGACTTTTCTGCTCATATGCAACCCGTAAATAAGACTCGTAATTTCATACGTTATCACCAACGCCATTTTTCGAGAGCAAAATTGAAAAATAATAGGGTTCGTGTAGGAGATCAACGAAACCCCAACTAGATCATTTGTTAGCATGCAATTAATGCTTAAAATTGCGTCATAATCTCTTCAAAATTTTCTTCCTGTAGGGTTTCTTACATTATAAACATTTTTTGAACTGAAATCTGATACGCTTCGACGAAATTAATTGAAATATTTTCCTATTTTCCATCCAAAAACACTAGGAGTAAATTCACCAATAAGTTGATATGTTTGAATAATCAATCTAAAAAATATTATAAATTCCGGACAAACTAGTTCTGTCCTATAAAAGTGGTTTAGAAAGACCGTGTGCTTTTTTAAGTTGGTGTATACTTGTATATTTCGTCATGAGGGAATTGAAAAATATTATTTAAATATTGAAGGACAACATTTAAGCTGCTTTAATTATTGTGTTTCCACCACACTTCTGCAGGAGTGAAGGAAGCAAAGGAGATCGTCCTAAACCTGGGTCCAATAATCCCCATGCTGGACAGCCTTGCAGGTATGATAACATTTCCTGACATTTCTTGTGCTATGAAAATTTTACTGTTCAACGCACATTGCTTGTTTTTTCTTTCGATTGCTTATTCGTAGGTTTTCTTCAAAAACATTATTTTCGTAACTACTTCCAGTCTTTTTTATTAATGCGCAACGGTCATTAACTAATACCACAGTCATTATAAACGATTAATGAGCAACGATAATTAACTAATACAACAGTCATGATAAGCGATTGATGCGTAACGATTATTTACTTATACAACAGTCGTTAAGTGATGAATGCGTAAAGGTCATGAAGATCACATCAGTCATTAAATATTACATTCTATTCTTATATGAGGCAATCTGACTCATCCATACTTGGAAAGATGTTTTCTACATTGAATTGTTCATAATTTATTATTACATTGTAATATGTAATATTTAATATTACATTATATTATTTATTTGTAATATTTAATATTATAGTGTAATGCATTATGAGTCTATGTAACTCTTATACGTAGGCGACAAGATATTATCTTTCGTTGAATATTGCATTTTATCTGCATATGAGACGACGTGGTACCGAATGCAAGGTAAAAAAATGTTCTCTACATAATATTTTTAATAATAAATTCTTCAGGAAACGAGTTGCCCGACGCCATGCCCCACGTGGCGCCCCTGCTGCACACCATCTGCCTGCTGTGGAGCGGCTCGCCCTGCTACAGGAAGGGAGACAGGATCGTCACCCTCTTCAGGGAGATCACCAACCTCCTCATCACCATGGCGAGTCTCGGGGCTTATTGTAGCTAAAATTCGTGTATTACAAATACTGATATTTAGGGATTATAGATACTAACTTTGAAAGATTACAGATACTAATATTCAATGATTATTGATACTAAAATAGAGTTATTACGGATACAAACATTCAATGATTACTGATGCTAAAATAGAGGGCTTACAGACACTAACATTCAATGATTACTGATACTTAAATAGAGGGATTACAGATACTAACATTCAATGATTACTGATACTTAAATAGAGGGATTACAGATACTAACATTCAATGATTACTGATACTAAAATAGATAGATTACAGATACTAACATTCAATGATTACTGATACTTAAATAGATGGATTACAGATGCTAACATTCAATGATTACTGATACTAAAATAGATGGATTACAGATACTAACATTCAATGATTACTGATACTAAAATAGATGGATTACAGAACATTCGGGAATTATAAATATTACCATTTAGGGATTACTATATACATATAACATTCAGGAAGTTCATGATACTAATATCATAGGATCAAAAATACTAACAATGAAATTTTTCAGAAATTTCAGTTTTGTTGATTACTTCATGGAAGGCGCAGCACAAACGAAATCCCGATCGCTTCCGTTCGTCTCGAGTATCTTAGTGCTAAAGCATTATTTATTAATTTATTTTTAAGGATTCATCCGGAAATGTTAAACAACGCCACTGCAGACATGATTGATGTTATTTCTGGCACTCAGGGTCGAGCATACATCGGATCAGTTGGTTTCCAAGCCGAGACACAAGAACCTCTGCAGCGAATAAATGCTTGCGTCTCAGCGTTTGAGCAGTTCAGGTGAAGCTTGTTGATGCTAATACCAAGATAAAAATTTTAAAATTTCTGTCTCAATTGAGTATGGAAAAAATAATTGGAGTTATTCGTCTGGCTTGAATTCAAAGCGGAATTCTTCCTGATTTCTAGCACTGCCTTTAATGACAGAAGAACAAACGGTTATTATAGATAGATTTACCCCTTAGGTATTGAAGCCGAAGATACTTTTTGAATTAGTCATGCATCTTACTTTGTGAAACGTTTATAAACCAGCAGCCATATGTAACGTAATATTATTATCCGTGTACATGAAAGAACTCAAAGAACTCATCAACTTGATCAAAATTATTTACATATAAATATAAACGTTTAAATTAAATTATTCATATATAAATATAAACATTTAAAATATAAAAACATTTCAGGACTTTGTTCAGCGAATACCAGGCTAAGGTTCCGAGTTATTTCCATGCTGATCACAAACCCATGACATGGGAGTTCCATCCCACCCACGCCTTCTGTCGGCTGGACGCCTTCGTCGTCCGTCTTTTGGACATCAAGGAAATCTTTTCCACCGCCAAGGAGTTCCTCAAGATTGAAAGAATTGAATTCGGCGGCGCTAAAGGCAGAGAACTGGGACTAAAGTTATCGGCTGTCTTCAGGTGAATAAAGATAGCCGAGTTGTGTCATTAAGTAGGTACTTCAAATATTTATTAATGCTTCCTATTTGAAAATAATATGTTAGCGTAGTCTTAAACGTAGAAATAACCTCAGTCTTAAAACGTAGAAAGATAAGTTTATTGATGAAGAGAGAATTTAAATTATTTATCTCGATCAGTTCGTTTTGTCGTACGAGGCTTTAAAATCTCATATCGCGGACTCTGATGCATGACCCCACAATATTATTTATTTTTACATCATTCAAGTGAGTTCAACGAAGCGTACTCGGCGTTTTCGATCCGTACGTACGACTGCCTGGACCCCGACGAGCTCGAGTTCGTCGTCGGTCACCGACAGTTTACGCTCAAAGTCATGGAGCTGGAGCAGCGCATGAGTCTCATCGTGGAGCAGGCCTTCAACGACACGGCGACTCCTACAGCCTTCTTGACGGTTTGACTGCCTTCGTGAATTGTGTCTTGATTGCCTTAGTAGATGGTGCTTTGACTGCCTTAGAAGATGGTGCCCAGATTGCCTTAGTAGATGGTGCCTTGACTGCCTGCGTAGATATGGTGCCTTGACTGCCTTGGAAGATGGTGCCCAGATTGCCTTAGTAGATGGTGCCTTGACTGCCTGCGTAGATATGGTGCCTTGATTGCCTTCGTAGATGCTGCCTTGATTGCCTTCGTGGATGGTGTCTTAATTGCCTTCGTAGAGGGTGCCTTGATTTCCTTAGTAGATGGTGCCTTGACTGCCTGCGTAGATATGGTGCCTTGACTGCCTTAGAAGATGGGGCCTTGATTGCCTTAGTAGATGGTGTCTTGACTGCCTTAGTGAATGATGTCTTGATTGCCTTAATAGATGGTGCATTGATTGCCATAATTGATCGTGCCTTGATTGCCATAACTGATAGCGCCTTGACTGTCATAATTAACGGTGCCGCGATTACTCTAGATATTGAGCGTGTTTGCTCTGAATAATGATTTTCTTAATTGATATCGCCTTGATAGTTTTGATTCATAATATCTTGATTGCTTGTATTGCAGGAGGCTTGTGTTGCAGGTGGTGCAGGAGGCTTGTGTTGCAGGTGGTGCAGGAGGCTTGTGTTGCAGGTGGTGCAGGTGGCTTGTGTTGCAGGTGGTGCAGCTGCTAGGCAGTGTGGTGGAGCGGCCAGCTCTGAGGACGCAGTACGCAGCGTCGCTGCCGCGTCTACTGCTGCTCGTCAAGCACGACCTGCTGGCACTCAAGGTGCTAAGTGGTTCAATCGTACATAATTTTATAGGAGGGCTGTATGAAACAAACGACTATTAGTGGGATAGACTGATATTAGCAGAGAAGTAAAGGACAAATTATTTCCATTTAAGAGATGCGATTTTTCGAAAAAAAGTGATTGTTTTGATAAGTATCCATGTCGATAACGAATTAATTTTGACGAAAAAAATTCAAATCGACGTTATTTCAGTTCGGATGCGTGGTGGGAATAATCCTCATAATTATGATTGAATATGTAACGAGAAAGTTTCAAAGCTGTGTTGTTAGGCAACACTGAATAATTGTTGGGATAAATTTAATGTCGATGAGACAGACTGTGAAAGGTTTTATGTTAGATTCTTCTTCAGATAATGGATTGTTATGGTTGAAAAATATCATAATATGAAATAATTGATATCAAATATGATTGATATCAATTGATATATTGGTATCAAATCTACATAGCCAGTTGGTAATACTGCAAGCATGAAATCAACCTACAAAAAACGTGTGAGCATTCGATTTCTCTATAGTTAGAAAGAGGAGTTAAAGTTAGATTAAGGGAATTTTGAAGGAATTCATTGTATGCGAGATTATCATAATTTTTCGTGAAATTTTCTTTGAAAAATGTAATCAAAATAACTAATTAATTTAAAAGTATTGAATTCTTCAACATGTGGTTATTCAAAAGAAAACTAATATATGTCTAAATGAACATTGCAGCACGCTGAAAAAATAAATCAAATAATAAATTATTTATAAATTTGTTATTGCCTAGAAATCACGAAGTTTCATTGGAATATTTCACAATTACTTAATGGTGCACAATTTTCTGATTAGACTGTAGTATGAGTTTAATAAATAATGTAAAAATTAGGGAGGCTAATGGATAAATTCGTGCCTACAGAGTGCGTTTGAGACTTGGATTGACCAGAGATTCCGTGACGAAAGTCCAATTGAAGGCGATGAGGCAGGTAAGATCTCAATGTTATCTTAATTAAAATTTATTTGTAGTAAATAGAAAGAAAATATCTTCCCTTGGCGACCAGTAACTTTTTAAAAATTCTATGCAACTGATTAAATATAATATAATTGCCAACCTACTTCCAAACAATGAAACCAATCAGCGTTAATATGAAGAGTTAATTTATTTAACTACTACATAAATTCTGTCTTGTCTTAGAAGTCATTTTGATCTTCCATGCAGAGCATCGTTTCCAGCCACGTCACACCGGCGGCCTGCAAACGCTCTACGAGATGGAGAGTCGCTTGGCTAATGTCTTCGAGAAATTCTCTGCCCTCCAGCATCCGTGAGTGTATAACAATTACATGTTAGACATGGCGCTTCTTTATGTCTTTCTTCGGTTGTGCAAAAATATGTATATTCGTTTGAAAAAATTTAAATACATGTTCGAATTTAGAGCATCTGTTCTTATTAATAATAGTTCAACACTGCACTGATCGCAAATAAAGATAATCTTTGAGTTATGCGAACCTCTTTTTCTCTAATACTACAGATATTTTTTTACAGCTGGATGTGGGCTTGTCCAACCCATGTTTAGAATAGAGCTCAAATTCAATTTGAATTAAACTTAATAATTTTATTTTCGAATCAAATTTGCGCATACCAAACCGTTAGCTTTCAATTTTTTTAATCTTCCTTACCTGGATGGCAAGCCGGACGATTTAACTATAGAGCAGAAAAAATGTCACCCTTGACAATATCTTGAAATATTCTGGAATGCATATGGATAATTTTCGCACAAGTGCATCCACACGAGGACATATTTCCAGTGCTAGGATTCTAACGCACAAAAACATGCTCACAAACTTTCACAAATATGAATATTTGGTCACAAGGCTGGTCAAAGGGGAAGAAGGTTCGAGTCTCGTGCGTCAATGGCAAGACCTCGTCGCAAAACTGTCGGCATCGCGGGCGGAAATTTTACAGCGCTGGACAGCCGTCGCCACCACTGACCTCTCCGAGCTCCTCAAGCTGCCTGTCATAAAGCGGATGGGAGATTCCACCCTGCAAGCCAACTTCAGCCAAAAAGTAAACTTTATACATCGAAATAATTTCTCTGAGGAAGTATAAAAAATGTAATATTCGAAGTATTTGTCTTCCAATTTTGGTGATTTTTATTCTCTATCATGCGAGTTACTGGGATGAATAACTATAATAATTTTAAATTTAAAAAACTGTTTATGTTAGAAATAAAAACTATTTCAACGTACGGATTTCGTCCCAAAACTGATTGATTTGAATTATGATTTTTCCAATTTTTAACTCACTGCAAATGCTGACTTTGTTTTTTAACAATTAATGAGCCTATAACGAATACGCCTAATAAATTAACCATTTGTATGGGTAACTTTTTAACAAGGTAAGCAGCCATGTGTATTGAACCCAGAAAGCAAATAATTTTATTCAGAGCTTAGCATGAACCATTTTTAATTAATTTATGATTTTTTATCAAAACCTGAAAAATATTTGAGATTGAATACGCGGCCTCATGTTTTAGATCTTGAATGAATATATTGTAAATTTTTTAATCTTACTTAGTTTGAGTGAGTGCTTACAATTTACGTTAGTATATATATGGTAACACATCATGTTGATCTCCAAAACATATTTACATATCTTTATAATTAATGAATAATATTTTTAATGTATAAATAAACTTATTTTCAGGTAATAGATGCACTTCAGGAACTACAATTCGCATGGCTCGCTGAACCCGACAGCGCTGACGCTGCCAGACTCTACCAGCAGCGGGACAAGCTCTGGCAGTGCCTGGCTACGCTGCAGCAAGCTACGCTCTGGTAACCGTTACCATTATCATAAACCATTACCTATACAATTGCCTCTAACATTACCAATACCAATATTATTGTCCTTACATTACCAATACAATTGTCTTTTCCATTACCATTACCAAAACAATTGTCTTTCCCGTTACCATTACCAATAACAATTGTCTTTCCCGTTACCATTACCAATATAATTGTCTTTGCCGTTACCATTACCAATACAATTGTCTTTTCCATTACCATTACCAAAACAATTGTCTTTCCCGTTACCATTACCAATATAATTGTCTTTGCCGTTACCATTACCAATACAATTGTCTTTTCCATTACCATTACCAATACAATTGTCTTTACCGTTACCATCACCAATACAATTGCCTTTACCGTTACCATTACCAATACAATTGCCTTTTCCGTTAACATTACCAATACAATTGCCTTTACCGTTACCATTACCAGTGCAATTGTCTTTACCGTTACCATTACCAATACAATTGTCTTTTCCGTTAACGTTACCAATAAATTGTCTTTACCATTGCCATTGTTATTGTCTTTAGCATCACTATCACCTTTAAATACGTAGAGAATTTCTTATTCTGAAACTAATCATGGTGCGGTGAGAAACATTCCGATAACATATTTTATTAGAGTTTCATCTTATTTTGAAACGTTGACGAAAAAGCGAAAGTGCAATTATTGAAGTGTGTAATTGCTTCAGAAGCGAGGGAAATCTTTAACTTTAATGGGATCTTGGGATCTTTTTGGGATTTTTAATGGGATCCACGCACAGTTTTTCCGCGCCAGCCAGCAGTGGAGGAAAAAGGCTTGGTTTTGTAATATTGTTTTAAATTTATTAAAAAATTGAATATATTCGCACTAAACTGAACGTATTAAAATGTTCAAGAAATACTGTTTAATTTATATCCAGTTAGAAATTTCACCGTCAATAAGTTAGAAAAAACATTTTTTTTTCAAGGGAAGACGGTAAGTTATTATTAGAAGTACATGACGTAGTTGCTTTGCGTTGAAATGTATTCGTGAAAATGTGCCTTTCTTGAAAAGAAATATATTGCACGTAGCTTTGTTTCTACCATGAGCTTAGAATTGAGACTTAATGAGCTTAGACTTTAGATGAGCTTAGACTTAGACTTAATTTACTTCAGTTTAATAAATTTTACTTTAGTTTAATTTGGACTAAAAATTTGTCGAAAACATTTATAGGTACTCACTTCTACTTATTTGTTTTGTTCTCATTGTTCCTTTTATATATGATTTATTTTTGATACAGTAATATATTAATTGGAGGAGTTACACTTTTCGCGTATGTTTTTGTTTCACTTAATCACCTCATATACAATGAAAGTTAATTACTAAAATACTCTTTAAGTGTTTCTCTTTTTTATATTTTTTCCTTCCGTTGTCTTTATCTCAAACGTTCTTGAAGTTCAAGCCATTCTTTTACCCCAACCCTTTAGGTACAACCAAATCTGCAGCCAAACCACGGACGTGGAGCGACAGCTCATCCGCAAAAGGCTCAGCGTCATCGACGAGCTCGTGACGAAGGCGGAAACTGAAGTTCTGTGGGACGGTGAAGGTGAGCGTCAGAGTACGTGGAATATTTTGTCATTACTCAATGAGGTAAAGAATTATAAAGGTGTTGACTAATACAAATATTGTTACAGCAATTTATTAGATTTGAAATATTTGTAAAGTTTCATCAAACGCATAACCTTCTACTTACGGATATATTAAATGCCATCACTGCTTCGAGATTCCTTCACTGAATAAGGGTTTAAAACTGCTTTTTTGCATTTAGCTCCATCACGAGAAACGTAAATGTTATGCAGCATTTCACAGTTTGTGTGAGTTAAATTTCATCATGAGCTGAAACATGAAAATTTTGCTGCTTTGAAATTTACCAAAGAACTACGCAATTTTTATATCATACAATTTAGTTCGTAGCATCATTTTAGTTACATATTTTACGGACAGAATCATGTCGCGGTTCGCCACACGTTCGAAAGCAGCTGATTTTTTAGTGCATTTTCTCATTTATGGAAAAAATGCCTTATTGTGCTCGTAATGTCCGTCTGTCCGTCCGTGACTTCACGTTATCGTCGACGAGAAAATACGCTCTCTTTCACTCACTACAGTGAGTACTGAGTTATATTTTTATTGAATTACACAGATACATTGCCGTTCCTGGAGATGCTGCGGGGACACGTGAGTGAACTGGAGCAGCAAGTGAGCGCCAGTCAGGACAACTTGAAACTCATGGACGCCATCTTGGGCGCCTGGGTGGAGGAACCCGTCTTCCAGAGGAGGGGCGGCACGCGGGACGGTTTGCTGTCTCTGGAGGAAAAGAACGATCAGCTCAGCGCCGTGTAAGAACGCCGTATGCAGTTGCCTGATGTGTAAGAATGCCGTATGCAGTTACTTGATGAGTAAGAATGGCATATGCAATTGCTTGATTTGTTTTAATGGCAAATGCAGTTAGTTGACGTGTGAAGACGGTGTGTGCAATTGCCTGGTATGTTAAAATGACGTATTCAGTTGCTAATTCTCTATGAATGGAATATGCAGTTGCTTGACGCGTAAGAACGGTATATGCAGTAGCTTGATGTGTAGTGCGGATAGTACGGACATATGCACTTGTTTGATTTGCTAGGATGGTTTTCAGTAGCTTGATGTTTAGAACTGACATATGCAGTTGCTTCTCGTGTAAAAACGACCAGTGTAGTTGCTTGTTGTGTAAGAATGACCTTTGCAGGGTAGTTGCTTGTTGTTTAAGAATGGTAAATGCACTCGTTGGATGATTCAAATGAAATTGATGATTTGGCATTGGTGTCTCCGTCGATAGAGCGTTAGCAAATATTTTCACTCGATTTCACAAAGCTAGGCGGCTGGCCAATTGTACCTATCACCGATTTCAGCCGAAATTTAAAACTGAGACGACGACAGCTTTCTAATATTCAAGAATCCCTCTCACGTTAACTTTTACTTTGGTTATCAAAAACAGAAGTCCTGGAATCATATTACTGTAAAATAGATATTCCGTCACACCTGGTGTTGCCCAAAATGAGCAATAAATGTCAGAGAGATATATTGTAGTTGGTTTCGGCGCAAGACAATTATAGGAGCATTGTTTATCATTCATTTCTACGCAATGACTCTGGCATTGTATCCGGGGCTATGCCAGAAAAATTAAAAGTTTTGTTCTTGAAAACTCTCGGTGATCACCATGCTTTGTTGGTGAATAATTCAAAATCGGTTGTTTTATCGGGTATAAATATGCTTCCTCTTGTGGGTATGCGATCATTTCTAGTACATAAATACAGTTGTGCATGATGCGCATCATCGTACGTCGGTATGATGTCACGCAGCTTTTAAGCTAGGCTGGAGGAGCGTAATGGGAGGCGTTATCGAACCCAACATATTCCGCCGTATCTCTCTAGTGTAAGTATTAATGCTAAGACGAGCAACGTCCCTGTATGCGTTAGTGACTTTTAGCGTCCACTTCCAGTGTTTTAAATTTCCGCTGCATTTTTGGGCCGTAGTATATTTAAACTAAAGCCTGGTTTGGATGCTGCCATCAGTTTATTTCCTCTTGAAATTGAAAATATAGCATGTTTTCTGCTTGTTGCCTTGTATTTCATTCGTCAATCCAGGTTTTAACATCTCTTACAAATTTCAATCTTGTGGATTGATTGTTCTTTGGAACTAGAATTTTAGAACTAATGATTGAGCGTGACTCCAAAACGTTCGTTATGAAAATAGTGTGAATTTTCGTGGCACTTTCCAATCGATTATAAATTCATACTAAAATTGAGCTTCCAGCAACACTTTAATACTAGCCCTCTTCGAAATTACACATTTCGAAATTTACTTGTAATCCAGATTAACCTTTTGAGAAAAGCTGAGATAATTGACGCTAAACATGAAAACTATTCTTCTGTGACACGAAAAAAAGTGTTGAATGATTGTTTGGTATTTGAGGTAGGTTGTAAACATGAAGAATTGCCTGTAGGCTTGCTAAATTAGCATATTCCAAGATACTGGGCGCCGGGCGCGGTGGAATGATTCTAAGCACAATGATTCTTTATGCATTTGGATGAAACTTTTGGACACGTCTCTGCACCGAACGCATTTTAAACCTAAAGATCATGGTTATGATTCTGAAGTTCATGAGCTCTCAGTTGTTTATTTATCCATTGCTAGTGTGAATCTTACAGGAACATTCGTATGAAGGGTGATGGTCTCAAGCTGCAAAAGCTGCTTGACGACAACCGAGCCCTTCTAGGGGTTGACGAGTCGTCTTCAGATCACTGGGACAGATACCTGCTCAACATCGACCACCGCATCGAGAGAGGCTTGGGGGATGCTGTGCATTGCAGGTTTTTACCATTTTAGCGATGTTTGCAGTATAAATTGTTACGTTGTACTTTCGAAATTTACTGACAATAACCTGTTTCCTTATATTGAATTTGGCTAAATTATTGCAACCTTATTTGTCAGTTGTTTCTGAAAAGACGAAAGCTGATAGTTGGTCTGACGGCGGATTTCATTTTCATGATAAAAATTATTTTTCGCTTTTTACGCTTTACGTGCACTTAAATGCAGATGTGGTTGTACATCATGATTAATGATGTTGCCGGAATATCTCATTTCTGTTTGTTTATTCACCCGTGAGGAATTTCTCTATCAGGACTCTAGTTTACTTGTCAGAAATCTTCTAAAATTCTCTAAGATTTGCATGTTATCTAAGTTTCTACCAGTAAATGTTCATCCACGGGCTCCACGAACCTTATCAACTCTAGATGACTTTCCTCCTATAATGAACATTTTTCACATGATCATTTTATGAATGCAACGCTCGTCTTAAGTAATACAACAAGCGAACTCTAATGCAGTCGTATTGTCATCATTCCCAATTGATTTTTCACTGATACTTTATGATGTAGAATTCATCACATGCATGAAGATCTGTACTGAAAATATCTTACCCTGCCTAATCTGACCTTCCTGTTGGCGAACTGAAATACCTTGTGTAAGAGGTTGCTTTTCTGGTGCAACTCTTATATATATAATTATTGTATGAAAGACCTGAGGTTAGTTCGGGTTTAGTTTGTGATCAGAGGATAAATGAGGCACAGAGTAAACAACAACAGAGTACTTATTTATAGTAAGACAGCTTACAGTTTATGGGATTACAGATAGAAGTGCGAGTTTAATACATTTATCTACGCTCACGACTCGAAGAGGAACGAGTCGAAGAACCTATAGTTGGCGGTTCTCGGTCTTGACTGACGCTTCTCGTTCTGTAGTGACGACGTTACTGATATAGAAAAAAGAATGAATCTATTTATTTTCGGATTGCAGCTATCAATTCCCATCTTACACTTACCCCGCCTAGTCTGACCTACCTGCTGGCGAACTGTGAGCCGCGCGCCACGCAGTTGCCGCTCCTGGAGGTGCGGCTGCTGCTGGAAGGGAAGTTGCTGACGCTGCGGCCGAGCGCTCAGCAGTTACGAGGGCTCATCATGTCGCTGATCTCAGATCTGCTGCATGTCACCACCTTCATCCCTAGACTTGCTCCTGGTCACCCTTCGTATCTGGTGAGATCCTCTGGATAACTTTAGGATTTGGTGAGTCCTTCTGGACAACTTTAGGACTTGGTGAGATCCTCTGGATAACTTTAGGATTTGGTAAGTCCTTCTGGACAACTTTAGGACTTGGTGAGATCCTCTGGATAACTTTAGGACTTGGTAAGACCTTCTGGACATCTCTCGCACTAGTTGAAACTTTCTGTACGCATTTCGTTATTGTTAAGACATTCTATTCGCCTTTCGTGATGGGGAGACATTCTGTACGCCTTTCATGATTGGTGAGGCATTGTGGACACCTCTCGATCTAGGTGAGGCGTTGTTGGCACTCCACGTACATGAGAAGGTATTCCTGGCCACCTTCGTGCATGGAGAGGATCTTCAGACACCCATCGTACTTCATTGGATATTACAAATTTTGTCTTTCATACTAGCAGCTACACCCCTAAAACAAATTTATTTTATTTATTTAACACGTTTCAACAGTTTGTAAATCGACTAATCTCTATAAAACGGCAATAAACAGCATTAGACAACAAAGCTAGACTAAACTTTGTCTCATATGATTAGATAAGTTGCATTTTCAGTTTCAGGAAATGTATATATATTAAATGCTGCTTTCTACACCCTGGTGGTTATCAATACTGTTCTTCAAATTTGCTGACTCAAGATATTTTGACGTTGCCTAACAATCGGACTAAGCAAAACGTGTGCGCTGTCGGAAAATGGCTCCAAATGTTGAAATACAAACTTTCAAACTTATTTCAACAGAGCACATTCAGATAAGTATTTTCAACTTCTATAGTATCTGTTTAAGTATATTGGCTCGAAACAATTGGGAAGTCCTGGGAAGTCAATATGGGACGGATGGGGAAGTCCTGAACAATGGGAAACGGGGTGTATGACTTTTCTTGTACTGACTTCCAAATGACTTTCACCCTCAGCCTGAACTGGAACGCGACGAAGACCTGCAACAACTGCAGGAGGCGCTGCTGAGGAGGTTCGAGTCCGTGGCGGTGCAGCTCGACGCCCACAAGGAGCAGTTCGCACCTCACGCGCCCCTCTGGCGGGAGAACAAGTCTGAAGCTCTCGACCGGTTCCTTAGGGAGGGTGAAAACGGGGCAGAGCCTTCGCTACCTCAATTCAAAACCAAGGTGATAATTACGAGGGTTAGTCAGTTTCAGATTATGAGCTAACGAATTATTTTTTTATTCCTAGCGAAAACATATGGGAACAAGCCGTTACTTGACTGCAAAAAATGAAATAGGATAAGGAGCAGCCAGTTTGTGTGTGCGCGGGATCTTTTGCATGCACATCAACACATTCAAGGCGTGTTCAACTTAACCTTCTGTGTAAGGATACATAAAGCGTCGCTAGTTCTATTCGTGCATAAAGGCCTGGGACCGAGAGGTCTCGTCACTGTACAAAGGTCAATCACTTTGCAGATGAAATATATTTGCTAATTAGTAAGACAAATCTCCGCGAAAAATCAAATCTTGACAAATACACATAAATTTAAAACCACATCCATATTTATGGACATTCATTATTCATCCAGTGAAATGCAGATCGTCGAATTTCGCCAGTGTTGAAAATAGACTTTCTAAAATGCATTTTCTCCACTATTCTTCAAAGATCGACTCGTACGAGAATTTATACAGCGAAATGGAGGGCATGGCATCACGTGTGGTGTTCGACTACTGGTGTCTTCTGGACACAAGCCCCTTCAAACACTCCCTGCTGTCTACCATCAAGCAGTGGGCGGAGGTCTTCAAGCAGTACCTCGTCAACAAAGTTAGGGACAGGTCAGTGACGATGCTGCTTAGATGAAAGTTATAATCAATTAATTAAACATAGGAACATTTTATGATATTACATTTTATGAGCATTTTGAGACGAATTAATGTTTTAGGATCATTTTATGAGATATTGTTGACACACACATGTTAACCAACGTGGAAACTTTGAACGCTGAATCGAATGCGTGTTGCTAACACCCTAACTATGAATTTTACCATACTCTGAAATTTTAGTTAGAAATAAACCTCATTAGAACCTGTCAAATCCCCAATCGCGTGTTACATTTTCTCAGAATTTTATAGGTTTCAAGATTTCACAAAATACATACATTGAAAAATATTTGTTTAAATACGTACATGCATACTTGGACCAGAAATGTCGTGAAGTTTTCTTTTCGTCGAATTTGAGTGACGGAAGCCTAAAAATGAGTCGCAAGTACGCAATTCCATTTAAACAAATTTTGGCAGCTTTACGAAATTAACTAAAAAATTATATTGATATATTAATATCAATGACTGTATTAATACTATTAATTAATTATTAAATCGTTAATATTAGTATTAATGAATTAATATTATTAGTACTAATTATACTATCAGCGTGACGGAGATGGACGAGTTCCTGAGCGTGACGGCAAAGGGCATAAGTGCTGAGGTGTCAGAAGGAGACTACGACGCTCTTGTGGCCGTGATGGCTCATTTGGGGCATGTCAGGGACAGGCTCCATAGGACGGACGCTCTCTTCGGCCCGCTTGCCGCCACCATCGCCCTCATCAGTAACTACAATCAGGACCTGCCCGAGACTATACATCTACTTCTTCAGGTAGACGTAGTTTACTTACCCGAGACGATACATCTACTTCTTTACTTCTTCAGGTAGATGTACCGTAGTTTACTTGCCCGAGACGATACGTCTACTTCTTCAGGTAGAAACAGCTGGTCACGAATTAATGCTCTATGAATTTTGATTTTGGTTAGCTATTTTGAAATGAACCAGGCATTTTGGATTCTAGCTTGATTTGACTCTTGGTGTTAAAGATAATTGACATGACTAATGATGGTAGTTATTATATTGCTAATGATAAATTTAGGTTTCTAGTTCCACGTTCTTGTGGTTGTTCAGGAATTGCCGGAAAGGTGGGAGACTCTGAAGAAGCAGTGCGATTTGGTGAGGCAGCAGCTGGCACCAGTGAAGGCCATCGAGGTTGACGGCATCAAGAAAAGAATCGTGCGTTTTGACAGCCAGCAGCTTGCCTACAGGCAAAAGTTTAGAAGCTACTCTTTCTTCCGGTGAGTTACCCACTCATTCCACTACTACTTACCCACCTAACTACTCCTTTTTCCGGTGAGTTACCCACTCTTTCCACTCCTAGTTAACCCCCTAACTACTCCTTCTTCCGGTAAGTTACTCACTCCTTCCACTCCTAGTTACCCCCTAATTACTCCTTCGGCCGTTAAGTTAATACCACGAACGGGACAAAAAAATTTGTAAATGGAAACCCCAGTCGTAGCGTTTATAGGATGAAACCATTAATTTCAATATTAAGTTTCAGATATCACTGGAGAGTTCTTCTGAAACAATTTTAACGAATTAACTTAAAGATTAAATTAATCAAGTGAAAGCTAAAATATTCTCTTGAATATTGTTGCATGCAGGTACGAGTGCGATTTGCCTTACTGGCGCCTGGAGCGGGTGAACGCCAGGCTACAGCGGCTCGAGGCGGACGCCAAGAAGTTGCATTTGTCAGCGCAGCTTTTCGAAGTGCAACTTCCTGACTTCAAAATGATCAAAGCTTGCAGGAGGGAGCTGAAAATGCTGAAGGTTGGCTGCAAAATATTCATTATATAGTGATATAAAGTGCTAGAGTCCTTTTATTAGGCTATTTTTTACTGTCTGATTGCTGATTTTGATCAAAATTCTCACAAGTTGCTGGTTTAGAACTCCCAACTTGCTGCTTCAATCTTGGTGACCTTAATCGCTAGTCACCCCGCAGGTCTGTAATTATCTGGCAGGCGTATTTACTAAAGAAATAATAAAATCATATGTTAGAAATTAGGCATATTCATCATTTTAAAGATGTTTAGTGATATCGGCAAGTTTTTTTTGCAGTTGACTAGATCTCTGACTCAGGCGTTGCATAACCATATATGAATGAACGTTCACATCAATTATTGATTCCTAGAGCATGAATGTGGCACGTTCAGGTTCAGTCCAGATGATTAACGTAACCGGTTTTCAGTCCCACTTCAATTCCTGTGGCAAGTGCTCGAAATGAAACGTGCCTAAAATTTGAAATTATTTGTAATTGAAAAATATGTAGCTAAAATTCCTTGTTTTATTTGAAGATTATCTATTCAACAGCAAGTTTGGGATCACGTCTTCTCGGTTAACTCATCGGTCAACCACTGGAAGAAAACTCCTTGGCGAGATATCGACGTCGAAGCAATGGACATCGAGTGCAAAAAATTTGCCAAAGACTTACGAGGTAAGCGCACGATATTCCTTACCAGCTTAAGGAAGACTTTTTAAATAGTATTTATAATAAGGACGTGTATTTCTAAATGATAGCCATGAGTAGTTGAAATGTTCAGATTTTCGAAGTTTAAAAGTTTGAAGATCTTTGGCCGTACTATCAAAATTAGTTAGGAGTTCATAACTCCGTCAGCTACTCAATGATTGGTCAGCCCGCTGAGTGCACGTAAGCGAGTTTTGAATATTCGGCCGCTGATCGCTAACACCATTCACACAACGCTAAATACTGTGGCTTAAATGAATGTAACGGTAAATGTAGTAGCTTTCCTCGCAGTTGCATGCGATTATTAGTAATGCAGTCGTCTCCATTATGGTTATAATATTGGGCGGGCGGCTCCAGAAATGTAAGGATTTATGAGAGTGGAAAAAGATATAATTTTCCTTAGTGCACACGATCCATGCCTGATAAAATAAACTAAAGATAAGTCTCTGCCAATGCTCCGGAAGCGTTCATAATTAAATAGGCCTCAAGGTAAAATAATAATTGGCAAATACAGGCGTTAAAATTTTATTTTACGTATGAAATATGGTTGCATATGACCCGGATTGCAACGTGTCGCGTAAAACAACATTTACATTGCGACCCTTGACGTCGCCATGAATCCTGACTACGGCACGTCTCATTAGACAATATAAAAAATTTGTCATAGTGCACAATTTTCATAGCTTTCTCACTTATAAGTTAAACCCAACACGGTCAGAATATAATTTTTCTCACACAAGAGTCGGTGTGCCTTGACTTTCGGCAATTCAAAACACAGAAATTATTCCCAGAAATTTCATCTGTCTTAATTTTTATGCTAGGCTTTTTGTCGATCGAATAACTGCCTTTATCATATTGTGCAATGCTTTTATTCATTTTATATGTTATTATTTCTTAATGTTATAAATAATTTAAATATGACAAAAATAATGCTGGCCTCGTTCTTCAGTAGAGTTAGACTATACCATCCCTCATCAAGATTAGATGTTATAACTAAAAATGCTATCTGCCCCCACCATTTATGTAAACTTCACGAAAAATACATGAATTTATCGCACATTTAACTTCATGAAACTTACACGAATTTATCACACATTTTGGCGATCATGATGAACATGAGCAGCTCTGGACAAGGAGATGCGCAGCTGGGATGTGTACATGCACCTGGACAGCGCAGTGAAGAACATGCTTACCTCGCTGAGAGCTGTGGCTGAACTGCAGAACCCTGCCCTCAGGGCACGACACTGGGACCAGCTCATGATCATCTGCTCTTCTGCACACGCGGGGCCTTCTAAAGTATGATATTCTTCATTATATTGTGTTATTATATATTATAATGTTATACAGGGGTTGGACAAAATAAGGGGAACGCAATACATAATATTTAAACATGTTACGTACAATAAAAGCCTGACACATTTCAATCTTTCGTTATTTATTGTTGCTGATAATTCAGCACTAAAGCTAATTACTATCTAGCATTTATAGTTAATTTTAGAGATTTAAGTCAGAAGTTGTTTCCTGCCGTCATTTTCTTTGAAAGAGCTGGAGACAGTTTTAAATTAACAATGTTTTAAATTCCTTTGTAAACTACACATAATTTGTACGAATCCATACCTCGATGGATTGAGGCTGTAGTTGTCGCAAAAAGACTAATTATATTTTGTGGATTTTTGAGGTTTTCCCTAATTCAGTTCAACCCCTTTATATTGTGTTATTGTTAAAGAATTCCGTTTTTAAGTCAATGAAATCATTTACTCACTCAGTCCGATACAAAAGAGTATAGGATGATTCTATTTTCCTTTTACGAAGCTTCAAGACGTTTGCAGGAGCACCAGCTTAAATAAAGGCGGCAAATTGCAAGTGTAAGAAAACGCGTTTTTTGTAAGAAAACGCTTTTCTTGCACAGATAAATCAAACTATTCATGAAAATGACTTACCTTGAAACATTTTTCTATAGCTTCACACTTTTTTATTAGGATATTCATAATTCGTTGAAATTCTATGGAAATTTAAATTTGAATTCAAATTTTGCGCAGGTAGAATTACAATAAAAAATTAACATTATGAAGTGATTTTGTATAATTTTAACTATTATATTACTAATTTGCATCTTGAATATGTCTCCGTTCGCAGACATCTCACACGGGCTCCCCAGATTCAATATAATATAATTTAAAGGTAAATTATTGATTAAAATTATTTGCAGGAGCAGTTGACCCGTGGGTAACACAACAGTAAGCAAATATAGTGCAACGATTCGAGCTCACATTGTTTATTATTGATGTATTTGCTACAGACGATCGTAGTGAACTCGCCCGAGACAACCCTCGCGGACCTGCTGAACCTGCAGTTGCATGCCTACGAAGACGAGGTCAAGAACATCGTCGACAAGGCAGTCAAAGAAATGTCCATGGAGAAGACCATTAAAGTAATTACAATCATTAATGCATTTGGTTTGTATTTGTCTTTTGGTGTTAGAGTTTTATTTGAATTTGGATTGCATGTTTAATTGCTTTCATGATTGTTGTTACTTCTATGCCGACATGATATGTATGCCTGACGTTTCACGATTCCGAATTGAACTGGTTTGTATTACTTCATTATTTTATTAGTGCTACCTTAAGTTGTTAGGAAAATGTGAGCTGTAATTAGGTTACAAGCGCGGATGACCCAATGTGACATATGTGGAGTATGAATGATGTAATATCGAATTTATGGAATATGTACATATAACCTTATATGGAATGTGCGAAGTATGACTAGCATAGAAGGTGTGAAATATGTATGACCTTATATGGAATACTTGGAATATGTATATGACTTAATATGGAATTTGTGTAATATGTATGATCTAATATGTAACTTGTAAACATGAATGACCTAATATGTAATTTGTGAAATATTTATGACCTAACATTGAATAAGTGATGTATTAGTAACTCGATCTGTGCGGGTTAGGAGCTGGAAGTGACGTGGGCAGCGTTGGAGTTTGAAAGCGACCGCCATCCCCGCACGGGCATCGCGCTGGTGCGAACCACTGAGGAGATGATAGAGACGCTCGAGGAAAACCAGGTGGTGCACTGTTGGGTTTTATTTTATGTAACAGGAAATATATTTATATAATGAAATCATAGAGACTCTATATTGAAATGATAGAGACTATATGATTGAGACTCTCGAGGAGAACCAGGTGGTGCACAGCTGGTTCTTACTTTAGATAACGGGAAATTGATTTTATGCATCGAAATTATAAAAAAGTTGTGAACGTAAAGAAGAAATTTCAAAGTCCCAATATTAGGACTGTTATTAGGACGATAAGTTATTGAGTATAATATTGCAAAGGAACAGATTGTACCAGCTTTTTACGAAGGTGATTGTCTTTAAATTTGCCATATAATTTGTCAACGTCGCAACTGAATGAGCATTACAGGTTTAAGGAAGTATACTACTAGATGGCATTTTCATGACTTGAATGTTACATGCAAATTCTTTATCAATGACAACGGTTTTCATGTCGGATTGAATGTTCTTGCTATGTTCGGTAATTTATTGTTTATTTATTTGAATGAAAAACAGTACATGACTTGTGGTCAGGTTCAACTTCAAAACTTGTTGACTTCTAAGTACGTTGAGCATTTCCTGGAGGCGGTGTCAGGCTGGCAGAAGAAGCTGTTGACTTCCGATCAGGTCATCAACATATGGTACGCTATCACTTATAAAAATATTAATTTGCTACAATAAAAAACCCTTCTATAAAAAATAAAGTAGATTAAATAAAAATCTTTCTTCTAAATATCTTTCTATTTGTCTACTCGGAGCCTTGGAAGTTGGAGTCTACTTGGTGCAATTGCAGATGCAGTTTCATATTTTCAACGTCATATATTATCGTTAGTTAGGGAGATAACCTCGGTAATGTTGTATTCAACAGCCTTATTTTATATTGTATTTTATATTGCATTTTACATAATCTTCTGATTACGCGGTACTCAATTGTTGAAGGTTTGAAGTACAACGTACATGGAGTCATCTGGAGTCTATTTTCATCGGATCTGATGACATCCGCGAGCAGCTACCCGAAGACTCCGCTAGATTCGATCAAATTGACGCTGATTTTAAGGTACATTTCTTCCTTTAATGTTTCTAAATTTTTCGAATAACTCCCCTCATGTGGTCTTCTGAAGCTTGCCTTTGTCGAGAAGAAGTCGTTTAGGGTATTACGATCATGTGAGCGTGCTGGTCTCAATTGTGGGGTTAAGGCAGGTTGTTTTTTACTTTCTTTATATCTTTTTACCTCTCTTCTCTTTCTTGTTTCTTCATTTCTTTTTTTTGTCTCTCTTCTCTTTTTTGTTTCTTTATCTCTCTTATTACCTCTCTCCTCATTTTTGTTTCTATATCTCTCTTCTACCTATCTTCTCTTTTTTGTTTCTTTATCTCGATTTTTACCTCTCTTCTCTTTTTTTGTTTCTTCATCTCACTTCTTACCTCTCTTCTTTTTTTTTCTTTCTATATCTCTCTTTTTATTTCTCTTCTATTTTTTGTTTCTTTATCTCTCTTTTTAAATCTCTTCTCTTATTTGATTCATTATCTCTCTTGCGCACGACCGGCGCTTCTTGTAAGAGTGTCTTCCTTTCGTATGCTGCTCATCTGTCTATTTTTCGTAACTTCAAATTTTTATTTCTTGCTGGCTTAATTGGCATTCGTGAGATAAATTAAAGTTCACAATTATACAACTGTGGTAAGCAAATGCTAGCATAACATTCCGGTGAAACATTTCACAGTCTCTGATGTGAAACATTTTCTTTCATAAAAGGCGAACGCTCTTGTCTATGTTCAAGCTAAATAATGAAAGGCCGAACCATTTAAATGTTTGAACAGTTGACCCTGCTGCTTGTTCGAAAAGAATGCGTAAAAACTGCGTAGTTGAATTTGTATTTAGGCTCATTTAAATTCTGACTAAGCTTTTACCTAATGCCTATATATAATAATTATTAGAACTTAAGTTTCAATGAGTGCCCCTATTGTGGTGATGAGCACCTAATTAAACCTAATAACACAAAATTCACGGAATCACAAAAATTGGTCATCATTATCCAGCTTCACTTAGTTCCTTCGTTCCCCAGTCTTTGATGACCGAAATGGTGGCGAGACCAAACGTCCTGGAATCAACCAACCGCCCCGGTCTCTTCAAGAGCCTCGAGCAGCTGCAAAAGCAGCTCACGGTCTGCGAGAAGACTCTGGCCGAGTACCTTGAGACTAAACGACTGGCCTTCCCCAGGTTCTATTTCGTATCTACAGCAGACCTTCTCGATATTCTGTCCAACGGAAACCTGCCTCTTAAAGTCGCCAGGTAAAGACCTTCCAGTTGCATCAAGTTTTTCGATCGCACGGGGGTTACATTTAATTATTACGAAATACGTCCCATGTTGTTACAGTCACTGATTTTTATGTAAAGCTCTTGTAATTAATCTTGATCACGATTTCCATGTTCGAGTTGACTTAGATCTGTCCGAATATTTGTCCCAAGAATTGGTCAATAAGTTTTAGTTTAATTGCTCGAGAATTTTTTTGGCAGTTACGTAAATAAAACCTTCGGAATATTGCACAGGCACCTGACGAAGTTGTTTGATAGCATCGCAAGTTTGGAATTCAAGAACAAAGACCCAGTGGAGAACAAAGACGCCCTCGTCATGGTCGCTAAAGACGGAGAAAGAGTAACTTTCAAGCAGCCTGCGTCGTGCGCCGGTCCAGTGAGTCTTTGTGGGGTCAAAAGATGCGAGAAATAAGTTTCATCATACACAATTATTGAATGAAATTTATTCATAGGAACATCATTTAAACCGCAGGGCACTTGATAGAAACATGTAAGCATATGCAGTGAAAACGACCCGACATATTTCTGGTTTCGACTTTCATCTCCAATTTCTTCATTTATTGTATGAGCTCCAAAAGCATCCTTTTTTCTAGCAATATTTCGAAAATCAAGCCTAGTCTTCTACTGCGTCATTTAACAAACGTTCACATTACTCTGTGGAAATGTTGCAGCAGTAAAATTAAGTATACATTTATTAGATTTTAATCAAGGCTGGCGTCTCCAGGGGAAGAAGTGGTAGCATTGACAGAGAGTTTGGAGTCACTTAACATATATTAATTAAATTAACGCCTGCACTTAGAGCAGTATAGATCAAATGTATTGAAGTTTTGATGCGCTAAACTTTTAACCGAACCCAATGCTGCTGGGCGTTAGCTTCGGTTAATTAGTTAATTCAATTAATTTTTAACTAACGCTTGCTCTGCCTGGTGCAGTTATAGCTGTAGCTCAGGAAATTTTAGACTCTTTTAATTTTTATCTCAGTGTTGCCGTACACGGAGAGAGTAGTGCCGGTCAGTAAAACTCTCAAATACTAACTGCGACCAAATTTCATGCTACTGGCTTGTTTAAGGGTTACTGAGACCTACCGTGGTCAGTATCGTCTCTACACAAAGCCAATAGCTCGGTAAACATAGGCGAGTATTGTTTGAGGGCTGGAGTGGCCGCCAATACCATCCACTTGTGCATAAAAATTTACGCTCGCTGTAGCAGGTAGAACAGTGAATGTAGCTCCTGAATGTTTACACTTGGACAATTTCTACCTAAAGTTCCCTATGCCAGAGGGAAAGTTTGAACGCCTCTAAATTTTAATGAACAATTTCTACCTAAAGTTCACTATGACAGATAGCAAGTTCAGGAAAGTTTAAACGCCTCTAAGTTTTCACAGACGCTTGCTCTGACAGGTAGAGCAATGGCTGCAGCGCGTGCTGCTGGCCATGCGGGAGACGGTGCGCTCGAGCCTCAGTGACGCCGTGGCTTCCTATGAAGAGCAGCCGCGACCGCACTGGGCCATGCAGTACCCGGCGCAGGTCTGTTGTTAAAACATCGTTACTTGCTTTACAAAATTGAATTATTTTCTACTTTATGTATTCATGGATGTGTTATTTGACAAATTTATAGCATTTTTTAGTAGTGCAATTCTACTTCAGTTCGTTCTTGTACCAGAAGCATCCCTCTGTCAATTATGGAAGCCCTGCTCGTAATGCACCTGCTTACGTGAAAGAAGGAGCCTACGCAACAAATGCCGATTATTTGCGCTCGTAAAAAATATTTAGCTGATAGCCAAGTTTCTACCCTAATGCTGGTCATATACTCATATTTACAGGTGGCACTAACAGGCACGCAAATATATTGGACGGTAGAAGTGAGTGCAGCTTTTGCTAGACTCGAGGAAGGCTATGACACTTCACTCAGGGACTACTATAGGAAACAGGTTAGTCCTTTACTTTAGGAGTATAGTTCAAATTCAGGTAGGAATAATATAGCTGTGGTAATTGAGTTTGTGCTTGTAGTTCGTGCGTTAATTTTTAAGACGTTAGTTGATTTGGGTTGTGTAAAAGAAGCCGCACCTCGGTGACCGTAAATAGGTTTAATTGCAGTGACTTCGTTAGATAGATGTATCAATAAAATATGTTCATTAGTAATATTTATTCTATACGTTTCTGGATGACATCAAAAAGATTGATTATTGGCTGACAAGCCAATGTCAAGTTTTAATACAGAAACAATAAACAGACTGAATTTTTATTCTGGAATTTCATCCAAAAACTACGACACGTCCAAAAGCGTTAGAAAGCGGACGATCAAAAAAATGAGGAATAGAAAATAAAACTAGACGATTCTAAAGGTGTGTTGCATTATATCAGTATATATATATTACAGCCTCGAAGCCGCTTTAAAATATTTTGCTACTAAGCGGTAAAGCAGTGATTTTAAGAGGCAATTTAAGAGGTCATATAAAGGGAAATACTTCAAGTCTAAGGAAGTGCGGCCTCCAAAAATAATCAGTAATTTTATTAATAGAAAGAACTAAGTTTCCCCATATGGTTCGGAATAAATATTGACGTTATTCAAGCTAGAAGTCGAAGCTCAAATGTTAAGATGGCAGCGCCGCAAAAAGGCAAAACCCAAATTTGAGACTTGTGAGTCAACTCTCTTCTAATTCAAGAATGAACGAACATGCACTTTCAACGAAAATAAATGAAATGAAAAACAAAGACTGATCACTTAAACTTGAGAACAGAAATTAGGAAGAGATTGTATCATGTGCATTCCTGCCTTAGCAAATTTAAATGGATGTTTCCACCCGTAAGTTCACTGCCAACAACACTATTTACAGTTCCCTATCCATCGATAGGGATGGAGAAAATGAATACAAATATTTCAACTAAACAAATTAGAAAATTTTCAACACTAAATACATTCCGATATAGTTTATTTCATATTAGATAAGGACATTTTTTAATATACGTTACAGACAAGACATTCTCGCAAAAATTCACAAATACCACCAGTTGACAGGTTTACGAGTTCCAAGAATTTCGTCGTACATTTTTCTTTTTTAAGGGGACCTGCTACCCTAAATCGAGGTAGCCTATAACTCCTACAGTTATTATCCGATCATCATGAAACTCCACGTACATACGTAAAATGTAAAAATAATAACATTTTACTTCTATGAATTTTTCGAAAAAATTGATAGAAAGTGTGATATTCATAGAAAACGGACAAATAAGTGGTACTATAGAAAATCCATCTCCTACCACAAATATCGTCCGACAATATCGAGACACATATCATTAGATTTCTAAAGACCATACCTATCAACTATACCATCACTTTTTTCATTTTCCCCATAGTTTTTTTTATGCAAACAGTAACTTGGCTGCCTCAGGTTCAGCAGCTGAACAGTAACTTGGCTGCCTCAGGTTCAGCAGCTGAACAGTAACTTGGTTGCCTCAGGTTCAGCAGCTGAAAAGTAACTTGGCTGCCTCAGGTTCAGCAGCTGAACAGTCTCATATCGCTGCTGGTCGGAGAGCTTCCCAAAGGCGAGCGTCAGAAGATCATGACGATCTGCACGATTGACGTGCATGCCAGGGATGTAGTGGGCACCCTCGTCAAGGAGAAGATAGAGACGGCGTCTGCTTTTGCATGGCAGTCGCAGCTGCGCCATAGGTGAGGGAGGTTCGCAGTTGCTTCTCTCTCAAGCATCACTCATCTCATATCTTCATACGCCCTTGATTTTAATTGATATTTTGCTTTCTGCTAGCACTAATTTAAAATATGAATACAATAGATCCAGTATGGATGATAGTGAAGCTTGTAGCTTGTATGATCCGTTTTCAGTTGATACTTCCGGAAGTTCATTGCAGATTATCTTCATTATCGATTAAGTGCAAAACGGTCGTAAGATGATTACTTTACACCACAAAAATTAGTTTTGCCATGCCCTACCTTATCATAATCACTTCATTCTTTTTATTCGCGCCTATTCACAAAATTGATAAAAAATTGAATTGATGTTTCAAAAACAAAATTGACTAGAAATAAAATTAATGTTTCAAAAATTAATAACCAAAATTATTGGTTTGCGAGAAAGGTGGGACGACGAGGCGGGCGAGTGTTTCGTGAACATTTGTGACGCGCAGTTCAAGTACGACAACGAATACCTGGGCAACACACCACGACTTGTCATCACGCCTCTCACTGATCGCTGCTACATCACTCTCACCCAGGTTATTTTCAGTCCAAGGAAATACCAATATGTATCGAATACATATTATGAGTAAAAATTTAAAAGCAAAGAATAGTCCACAAAAATTCATATCTTTATAGAAAAAGATATGAACGTTTTCTATAAAGATATGAATTTTTGCGGACTATTCTTTGCTTTTAAATTTTTAGTCAACTTGGGATTTAAGCAAATAAGTGACATTAATACATATTATGAGGTAGTAGATTAAGCTGATATGTAAATTGATTCGTAAAGATGGATCATTATACCAATAAGTATAGAATGAGAATACCAGTTTGAGAATACCAATAAGTATAGAATAAATATTATGAGATCGTTGATGAAGCGGATATGTACATTTATTCTTAGCTATGGATCATTATTAGATAAGATAGACTTGTTTATATGTAGATGGATTAGTATTATTTTTGACAGATTAGTAAATAGGCAGTAGATAAAGATTTATATTATCGCAGATATCTTCTCAGAGATCTTACCTTATCCTATAAATATTATCAAGGTTCTATTAAGCCGTTTCATCCATTTCAAGTCCCTTCACCTGGTGCTGGGGGGAGCTCCTACTGGCCCAGCCGGCACAGGCAAGACCGAGACCACCAAAGACCTCGGCAGGGCACTGGGCATGATGGTCTATGTATTCAACTGCTCCGAACAAATGGACTACAAGGTCTGTATCGACCTGATCGTGTTTAAAATGATCGAAGTTCTTGTATTTTGCTTTGGGCAAAAAATAATAAAACGTTATTTATCCATTTGAACTAACCTATCTTATATCTGGCCTTGAAGATATCGATTCGTTCGAATTAACTTGGCATTTAATTTTCTCTGAATTTTTTTTCTATTTCTTGGCAATAACTTTTCTCTACTTAGTGTTTAAAATTTATTGTTGCATAGTTCATTAACGCTGTACTTTTTTCTCTTCGTCATTTTCGTGTTGTTACCCTCAGTCCTGCGGCAACATCTACAAGGGTTTGGCTCAGACGGGCGCCTGGGGCTGCTTTGACGAGTTCAACAGGATCTCAGTCGAGGTGCTCTCGGTCGTCGCCGTGCAGCTCAAATGTGTCCAGGTCAGCCTATCTTTATTTCAATAACAACATTTAGTATAATATTATATAATAATAACAACTGAAAACTGCCCAATTCGAGTGCTTACAGAATCTGAATATGGGATCTTATATATCGAACGATATTGTGTTAACGAAATATTGACGAAAAATTTTTTAAACACCTAAATATATAAATACAATACATAACACACACTCTGCATAGCACAAAGGGAACCGCTCAAGATTGAGTAAAGGCGTATGTATTTTAAAAATTACAAATGGTAACGTCAACAACACACAAGGGTTTTTTAACATATCCGGCTGTCACCTGCCAAAGAGTGATTTTTCCATGAAACTTCAAAATTCGCGTTTAAGGAGAAAATGTTCAAAGGTAAACGAGAAAATTAATCTTGAAGAGCAGTTCTTTTAAGTTAAGTCCCGGTTAATTTTTTTGAACTGCAACTGAGGATATCCCAGCGATTTGTACAACGCACAGGTTTGGAAATGTGCACAGAAATGTTTAGGGGCAAATAACTTGCCTTTGTTTCGTGTTTTTAAGAATGATCATCCATACGGCATTTTTTCCGTGGGAAGAATTCGCATATCATTGATTTAACTGAAGTGATATCCCTGATGATTTGTCACGCAGGTTTCTGTATAATTCACAGGACGCGATCCGGCACCACAAGAGCAGCTTCGACCTCATGGGTGAACACATCCACCTCACGCCCACCGTCGGTATCTTCGTCACCATGAACCCAGGCTACGCGGGGCGCACGGAACTGCCAGAGAATCTCAAAGCCCTTTTCAGGTCTTTCGGCTGACTTTTATACTTGAACGAATAGATGCTAATGAAATTCTTGGTTAGCAGTGATTAGCGGTTATATAACATTCCTACAGCTATTAATTTGCAGATGTGCGATGTTATGACTTTAACACGTTGGCCGCGATGTGCGCCATATATGTACACGCTGTACTTCTCAGAATCGCGATGTGTACACATGTGGTACATTCATATGAAAAATACATATTTTTCTAAAATCTTATTACTCTTTCAAATTTAAAATTTCAATGATGCAATTAAATAACAATGACAGAACATACCCCTGCAGAGCTGCACACAACTTTTCTCCTTGCTATCTGCCGGGTAACTGAAGATATACAAGTTTGAACCTATCGCCCGTACGGCATTCGGGCCAAATCAGCAATCGCGGCCAACGTGTTAAGAACATGATCTAGATATGAAAAAACATGTTATTTCAGACTTGTGCCACAAACAAAGCTAGGAACTACTTTTTTCTTCTATTCCAGATTCTAGTTTTGCTATCGTCCTCCTGACGGCATAATGGATTCAAAATATTATCTATTTTGCACAGTATAGTATACACCAAAAACTTCATAAAGCATACCATTAATTTTTCGTGACCATTTGTCTGTGCGCAGGCCCTGCGCGATGGTGGTGCCGGACTTGGAGCTCATCTGCGAGATCATGCTGGTGGCGGAGGGCTTCTTGGAGGCACGGCTGCTGGCACGCAAGTTCATCACTCTGTACAAGCTGTGCCGGGAGCTTCTGTCCTCCCAGGACCATTACGACTGGGGCCTTAGGGCCATCAAGTCCCTGCTGGTGGTCGCAGGCACTCTCAAGGTCAGTTATCAAAATTTGAAATAGTTTTTTAGCAAAATTGTACTTTATATGAAAATGGCCCTACTCTCTTGGCAATGTTGATTTCTTTCCTGCGACGTTGCGCTCAACAATTAATAATCATAAAAGTAACTTAAACATTCTTACTAATGTCCGTAGACTTATTTGTTATCACTTTTTTTATGCACCGTCCTCATAAGCACAGTTACAATTCTATTGTTTTATTTTCACCTGAGAGATTTGATTTGTATATTACAAAACAGTCTTTATTTAATGGATTTATTGGTCGAAAAAATCAGCATGTACCGCAGCTTGGAAGCCCAGGCCTTGATATTATTTTGATATTCTTTATTTACATTATTTCATGTCCATATTACTAATGCCCTGTTGGTTTCAGTAGTATTGAACATAATGCACTATTGATCAGTTTAAACTGTAGTCTTTATTGTTTTACAGTAAAAAAATATAAAATAAATTTCAGTAATAATTGAAACGCCATTAACGTGGCTCAATTTTGACTGAACAGTTGTTGGTAGATGCTGCAGTTTCTCAATACTATCGGCAAATATTCAAGCAAAATAATTCAGGCTTTGGTGAACCTATTGGATAACCATAGCAGATATAGAACCTTGTCGCATCTCATGGCACTGATGCATGATATGAATTCAAAAATATAAGTAACCATCATTTTTTGCAATTACCTTATTGCAAAAATACCTAATATTAACATTAATAATATTTTACAATTATAAAATTATAACATATAATAATTATTCGCATGATGCATGATATGAATTTAGAATTATCAGTAACCACCATTTGTAGCTATTACCTTATTGCAAAAATACCTGATAATATATATGTATATTTTATAATTATTCAATTATAAGATATAATAATTACTCGCATGATGCATGATATGAATTTAGAATTATTAGTAACCACCATTTGTGGCTATTACCTTATTGTCAAAATAACTGATAATATATATTTATATTTTATAAATTATAATTATTATATAATATAATTATTCAAATATGAAATATACTAATTACTGGCACGTCTGCCCTCGTCTCCAGCGCGACGACCGCGAGCGTCCCGAGGACCAGGTGCTGATGCGGGCGCTCAGGGACTACAATATCCCCAAGATTGTGACGGACGACGTTCCGGTCTTCATGGGACTCATCGGGGACCTCTTCCCTGCCCTCGACGTCCCTAGGAAGCGGGACACTGACTTCGAGAAGCTCGTGAAGCAGGCAGCGCTTGACCTCAAGCTTCAGCCCGAGGACAGCTTCATATTGAAGGCATGACTTCATTATTACTTTTTTACGCTGTTTCAGCGGAAATATTATTAGCATTTTTTCGGTAAATTATGCTCTCAAAATGCCTTGAAGCGTTCATTTAAAGTGAATGTTTTAATCGAGCTGTTAAAAATTTCGAGTTTTGCATATCATTGCGTGCCATTTGCTCGAGATTTATTCTCTATCCCGCATTTATTTACGATCTATTCATTACAGAAAATCTCCGAATTATGAAGTCTGCAGGGGTTCATATATATCTATATAAATTCTTGCAACTATATTGGGGCCATCTTTCTTCCGACTAACATTAATTCAAATTTTAATTTTATGAACATGCAGTTTTATTTTACTTTCCTTAATAACTGGAAAATTCTATCATTTAGTTCTCTCTGTTGTCTACACAGCTGCATTGAACTAATTCATCTTCCTCGTCAGTAAATTACAACCAGATTCGAGCCAAATTTTTATATTCATTTTTTCCCTCAGCATTGATATGATTCAGGAAGAATTTTTGTTCGTTGCTTATTGCTTTCTTTTTCAAAGTCAAAACGATATTCTGTACAGGTCAGCTATCTTTATTTCAATAATAACAATCAATATAATAAAAAGCAATAATAATGAACAATAATATAAAACAAGGTTCTGATCGAGTCCCTCAACTCGGCCAGGTGGTGCAGCTACATCAGCTGCTCGAGGTTCGTCACAGCGTCTTCATTGTAGGCAATGCTGGCACCGGCAAGACTCAGGTTTATATTCTTGTCTCTTATAATATTTAATTACTTCAGAAGTGATAGGCATATTCTACGGTTGGCGAATAATTGCTTGAAATCTTTTGTTAAAGTTGTCAAGACGTATAAGGACGCATTTGGACAATTTGTCTCTGATATAATTTGTTAAAAGTGTATCGTGCCGTTGTACGTTAATTCTGATTTTAATATCTGATATGATTAGTTAAATTTTACTATAAATAAATAAATTATTAATAAGATTATCATCATTAGCTTAGAAAATATTTATCTAAAAAATTAGCCCGCTTTTTTTTCTCTGTTAAATTCTACAAGAAAAAATATAACTCAGTAATCACTACACTGAGTGACAGAGAGCGCATTTTCTCGTCGACGAAAACGTGAAGTCAGGGACGGACAGACGCACAGACGGACGGACGGACGGACATGGCGAACACAATAGCGCCTTTTTTCCATAAGTGAGAAAATGCACTAAAACACGGATATTGTATAATTTAGGTGTGGCGCTGCCTGTTCCGCACCCTGCAGAACAGGGGCGACAAGCCCACGGTGAGCGACCTCAACCCCAAGGCGGTCACCACCGACGAACTCTTCGGTGTCATCAACCCAGCGACGCGCGAGTGGAAGGACGGTTGGTCGAACTTTCAATGAGTTAGGTTAGGTTAGGTTAGGGTTGTGTGTTTTTTTTAATGACTACGAATTTTGAATTACCACGAATGGATTTTTTTTTTAATCATACATGATGATACACCACCGACGAGCTCTTCGGTGTCATCAACTCAGCGACGCGCGAGTGGAAGGACGGTTCGTCTAACTTTCAATGAGTTAGGTTAGGTTAGGATTGTGTGGTTGTTTCGAATGACAACGAATTTTGAATGACTACGAATGAATTTTTCTTTTTGAAACATACTTGATGATACACCACCGACTTGCTCTTCGATGTCATCAACCCCGCGACGCGCGAGTGGATGGACGGTTGGTCAAACTTTCAATGAACGGTTTATTTCTCGCTACATCCTCCGTAACCTTTTTAATGTGTTAAAATGGTTAAATTCTTCATCATAACCGTCAAAATGTTGTCAAAATTATTTTTGAAATTCCATTTTTATTCTTCGGGATGATAGCTTATTTCTAATCATTGAAAATACTTGAATCAAGTGTGAAGGTGAAACATTTGCTCAACGTTTATTACCTTGAAATTGCCATGTTGCTAAAAAATTTTCCAAACTTTTCAAGCGGCTATCGCAGTTTCTCGAAGAGTTATGAGTTCTTAATTGGTATCGGCATAAATTGTTACACTTGAAGTAATGAAAGGAGGCTTCAAATTTTGTCTTAGACATTCTTAAGCATTGAATTTTACGATTCTAACATTAGGATACAAAAATCAAAATATAAATGTATCTATTACATTTATATTTTGGATACAAAAATCATTAGGATACAAAATCAAAATATAAATGTATCTATTACATTTAAATGATTTTCTTCATGATGAATATAAAATGGTACGAAGAAATACTTTACATTTTTTATTAAATTGTTTTCAAATTTCATATTTCACATGTCAAAATATTTTTAATAATTGTAATACCTTATTACGATTTCAAACAGAAAACGTCTCATGACTTTCTCATCAATATGAAATTTAACGTCATTATAACTCCATAAACTTTTAGTGTGAATCATCCCCACAACTTCATTCCGAAAACTGCAATTTAACAAAATGACAATGAAATTACATCCTGCATTCTGAACTTGATCTCCCGCAGGCCTCTTCTCGAACATCATGAGGGAACAGGTGAACATGACGGGGGACGGGCCTCGCTGGATCGTCCTCGATGGGGACATTGACCCCATGTGGATCGAGTCCCTCAACACGCTTATGGACGACAACAAGGTACTGATCGAGTCCCTCAACACGCTTATGGACGAAACTGATCGAGTTCCCCAACACGCTTATGGACGACAACAAGGTACTGATCGAGTTCCCCAACACGCTTATGGACGACAACAAGGTACTGATCGAGTCCCTCAACACGCTTATTGACGACAGTCACTTTTGATGAGATCATGGCTTTTAGAAAGGTTCAAGTTTTATACCTGTATTTAATTTTGCAAAAACTCTTTTGTTCGCGCAAATTAAAACAATTTTCGAATCTACTGATAATTTTGGAATTATTAGAAGAATATGAATCATCAGTTGAAGCTGGAGAATATGTTGAAATATTAAGTAGGTCTTTGGATAACATTCTAAAATTCCTACGTCTGATGCTATGTAACTGGGGAGACTGTGCCAGCTACCGTCTGGATGAATTCATTCTAATTAAATATGTTACCTAATAGTGTATATTTAGTATATTATTTACCATTATATTTTATGCGTGAATCTATTGCCAAAATATTTATCTCGTGCATCAATATTTTTACCTCTGGTATTTTAACACAAAAACTCAAATCTTATATTATATCAACATTTCTACTGAAGGTGCTGACGCTGGCAAGCAACGAGCGTATCTCCCTGACGCCTCACATGCGCTTGCTGTTCGAGATCAGCAACCTACGCACGGCCACTCCAGCCACCGTCTCCCGCGCCGGCATAATTTACCTCAACCAGTTCGACCTGGGCTGGAACCCGTGAGTTGTGGGGGCTGGAACCCGTGAGTTGTGGGGCTGGAACCCGTGAGTTGTGGGGCTGGAACCCGTGAGTTGTGGGGCTGGAACCCGTGAGTTGTGGGGCTGGAACCCGTGACTTGTAGGGCTGGAACCCGTGAGTTGTGGGGGCTGGAACCCGTGAGTTGTGGGGGCTGGAACCCGTGAGTTGTGGGGCTGGAACCCGTGAGTTGTGGGGGCTGGAACCCGTGAGTTGTGGGGGCTGGAACCCGTGAGTTGTGGGGCTGGAACCCGTAAGTTGCGTATGTTGTGGGGCTGAAACCCGTGAGTTGTCCCTTCTCTCCTGCAGACAGCTATTTACTGTTGATTGGAAGTTTAATGTTTGCTCAACAAAATAAAGGAGAAAGTAACAATTAGTGGCCTCTTATAGAGAGCTACGGTAATTAAAAACGGCATAACTAGCAAAGCCGGTGCGCGTTTGGGACTACGTTACCGTACTTTTATCAATCAACAATCACCCTCGTTAAGTTCCCTACATTATTATATAGAATTATTTTCTATCGCTCTTAAAGAATCTATTAATAATAAATAAAAATACAATAGTAATGTATTTATAATATTTATATAATAATAAACTCATGTTATTCATAATTATAACAAAACCTTGAGCTCATCCTGTCCACCAAGGTACGTGACGAGTTGGATCGAGCGCCGCGAGAGCTCAAATGAAAAGGCACACCTGTTGGTGCTGTTCGACAAGTACGTGCCGACTTGTCTGGAAACTCTGCGCGGTCGCTTCAAGAGAATAGCGCCCATCACGGAGGTGGCGCAGCTCTCCATGCTCTGCAATTTACTGGAGTGCCTCCTTACGCCAGACGTCGTGCCTCCAGACTCTCCTAGGGATCTCTACGAGATGTATTTCGTCTTCGCTGCTGTCTGGGCTTTCGGGTCTGCCATGTATCAAGACGGGGTGAGTCATGGTTGAACTATATAAGGTTGACCCATGAGAAGTTCCGTCTTTCAGTTCAGCTTTTTTGTTACGTCACGTAGATCGAGAAACGTAAATAAACCCGTCATTCCCATGACTGATTGGTTGACTGGTTTGATCGCATTTCGGTCATGGGTTAATGCCCGTGACGTCACTGAGAACTGTGACGTCACAGGCGAACAACGAACTACATCCGCAAAAATGGACTTCTCATGGGCCAACCTTATTCTAGTTCAACCATGGGATGAGTACATTGCGACCAGGCTATCGCTTCACGACCTTTGATGTATTTGGAATTATTGTAATACATACTCGGGACTCATCTATTTTAGTGCTCTTCATTTGGTTTGAATTTGAATGATTATTCGGAGCAACTTAACCTGGGGTGGTATGGAAAAACCGAAACCTGGCACCCTCAACAAGTGTCTATTCACAATGTTTCCGCAACTAGTGCATGGTTGTGTTGATGTCATTACAACATGCGAATAAATGGCAACGATACATGCTTCTTTGTTAAGGATAGCACAAAGAAATGAGTATTTTTTGGATATTTCAGTTAGCCGTATCTGAAACTGATCGAAAGAGTAAACACAACCAATTGTATCTTATGGTAAACAAATAAATGAATTTATTTTGCGTCTTTGTTTCATGTTATACATACTAGCATTCTTTCAGAAATGTTACGGATTCTGTTAATTAGTTTGCAAATTCGTTTATGAATTACGGTATTGGTGATTTTATTCCTTTATTGTAGTTTGTGTCTCAACTGCAAAGTTTTGAACCTACACATTCATTTCGATGACTTGAAGAAATTTTTTTAATAATTCAAGAATTTAATTGAATGTTTCTGGTATATCAGTACGTGCCATTTCGTCCGCTCCTAGTAGCTATTGATGGATTTTACATTATTCTTACGTAAGTTGGTTAAAATACTCTATTCACAATAGTTAGTCACGCGATGCGCTCTCTTTGCTATACCCAAATTCTGCCTCTGATAATAATCATAATGTATAATATTTTACTTTACTGGAGCAGAACATCGACTACCGCGTCGAATTCAGCAAGTGGTGGCAGCAGGAATACAAGACCGTTAAATTCCCCCCTGACGGGACGGTCTTTGATTTCTACATCGACAAGGACAGCCACAGCTTCGTGCCTTGGGAGAACAAAGTGCCTAAGTTTGAGCTCGAGCCTGACGTACCGCTACAGGTGAGAAACTATTTCTTTTAATGCAGAACTGATGTGTGGTATTTACAAGTTACTTTCATCCCTTATTAGAGATAAGTTGAAATTTTAGTTTGTTCTGCCATTAGTAATGTTAAAGGCAAGATAAGCAAATTTTATACAATTTGTGGCAAGAAACTGTTTCTTTCAATACAGAACTGGTGTGTGCTATTTACAAGTTATACTTTCGTCCTTTATTAAAGATAAGCTGAAATTTTGGTTTGTTTTGTTATTAGTAATGTTAAAGGCAGGATAAGCAAATTTTATACAATTTGTGGTAAGAAACTGTTTCTTTCAATACAGAACTGGTGTGTGCTATTCCAAGCTATACTTTCATCCGTTATTAGAGATTAGCTAAAATTTTAGTTTGTTTTGTTATTAGTAATGTTAAAGGCGGGGCAAGCTTATTTTATGCAATTTGTAATACAAATTTTTGATGTGCAACGAGCATTTACAAAAACATATAGTCCCTTTTCACTATGCAATGATCAAAAATTTTGAACTTGGAAACAATTTTTTTACTTGTTTGAATGTTTTCATTGTTGAACGCATTTATTGTTTGTATATTAGACATTTGAACAAATAATTTTAGCTTATAATGTTTTGTCGTACATATACCCTCACGATTTCTTAGATTTATATGCTCTATATAATTTTTAAATAGAGATTTATATAAAAGACAAAAGATAGCTCATTAGAAAATGATATTATGCAATAAAAAATAATTAAATATTATAATTTTATAAGAATAATATAACGATATATGATGAAAAATTGATGATGATTTAATATAATAATAATCATATAATGATAATATCATTTTCTAGTAGCAAATGATTTTAAGAACCATTATAAGTATAGGCAGACTGAAAAAGTTATAAAATAAATTCTGAGGCGAATCTTAAAGGGAAGAATTTGAAAAGTTGATGGATGTTCCTGAATTCCTGTTGCCCATGATTCCGTTGCAAATTTTGCCCTTATTTTATAGTTGCCTCGGAATTCATACGCTTTTATGACAGGAAGGCAATCCTCATCGTGTGCTGTCGGTGAGTTCAGTTGTCCCTTATTACATACAAATTATATTTTTACATATTTTCCCGTTAGTTGATATAAACTAGTAATTATAAAACCCTGTAAATAAAAATTCGAAACCTGTAAATATTTCTAAATATTTTCATTTTTCTGAGATGCGACTTAATTTTTGCTGCATTATACCTAATTATTCGATGTGCCTTAAATGCGAAAACGGTTTTAAATATAATTAAATATATTTACAAGAAAAATGCTTTGAAAGTCACGCATGCATTGAGCATGCATGTCATAAATGCTCAGTTATATTTTCTTGGGTTAGACCCTTTAAAAAGCTTGGCCAATATCCTCGCGTCTTCCTTATTAATTTTGGAGCCAAGCATGAATTAAGGCTGTTCACAGTCGATAACTTTAAGCACTCAACAGAGCGAGGGGCTTTCGCTCCAAGGTTCGCTCTAGGTTCGGTCTATTTATGGGTGAAGGAAAACGACGAATGAATGTGCTTCTTAGTAGAAAACCTAAATACAGGAGAAAATAATCAATCTTGCAGACGGCGATATCCATAAAATGAACAAATTTAATTAATAATGGAGTTATTATCTTGATGGAAGCTGCCTTCATTGGCTATGCTTACAATTGACTTGCTAGGTCTCACGGCACATGTAATAGCGGGATTTCAATGCTTTTTCATAACTGTGTGTAATTTTTCAAATGGCAATGTTAAAAACCGTCTGAATGTTGTATATGCCCGCAAATTTCTGTGTTTAGAGGAGGTGCAGCTACACAGATGTTTGACCAACATACAGTCGCAAATGATATTTATTAACTAATTTTTGAGCGTGCGATAATTTTTGAGCGGTGATCTTTTTGTGTAGGGATTTTTTTTAACATGATCAATTTAACTGGAGGGATCAGTTTCTACAAAGATTTTTTTTTAAACGTTCTGATATTTTCCGTAATAACCTTTGGCCAAATGCTCGAGTATTTGACAATATTCTTTGGGTCATTCTTTTGTGGGGCTAAAAAGTTGATTTTTATGATACAAATTTATTCGGTACAAGAAAGATCGTTTCGAAAAATTATAATATATTTTATTTTCAGATTTCTCTCATTTTGTGAGTATGACATATTTTTGAAGACATTCCCAAGCTGCCAAACAAGATTTGGCGTCACAACGTTACTTCAACTCGCCAATTTTTGACGAATTTTCCAATTTTTGTGGAAATATTCTTGCATAACTACCAAAACGTAAAACGTTACCAGTTTTGTTTTATGAATTTTTTTTCTTGCAACCCTGTATTTTATAGCCAGGGTTGCTTGCCAGAATATTTTGTTCAACTATGAATTCTTTTTGCGTCGATGAAGATACTTACCTACCGTGGAAAAATTCACTCCATACGCATATCCTTACTCAGGGATTTTTTTCATTTTGCCAAAAATTCCGCAATTCGAAACTTCATGTGAATGCTTTGAATGTAGGAAGCGTTCCGCTTTTATTAATCTCTAAATAATTCTTTGTAAATAACCCTAAACGCATTTTTCTTATTCTTTATTTGTTTCTACATGAGGTTAAGTAAGTCTCTCTATTTTAAATATGGATGTCATAATGAACACCGTCAATTTTTATTTAACGAAATTAAACTCAGTGTATAAACGAATTAGTTTAATTACGTACCTGTGTATATAATTTATTTGTATAGATTCCTATTACAAGATAGACTACACCTAGTTCATCTAGTATGCTAATCTGCACCAAAGAGGTTCAACCTAATTTGGATAGTTGCATCATATTCAAGCCTTTTATATAGTACATCTTATATCCAGTGCTACTCGTACTCATTTGAATTATAAATTTACTTTAGCTCAAGTCTTGTGATTGTCTTTAATTTGTTCCAGTAATTTTGACCGTTTATTATTTTGCTCTACAATATCAGTTTCTTAACACATTCCGCGAATAATTTTGTTGCACCAAAATCAGCAGAAAATTTCATTGTTTGATACACAACTCTCCATTGTCATTCTAGTTGATCCACAGAAGAATTTAAAGAAGCTATTTTCATCCTCAGATTCAACAAATCATGAAAAAACTGTCGATTGTTTCCTTTCTTTTGCTTGTTCTGAAAGTTACATGCAAGATTTCTCATTATTATACATCATGCATTATTTGCGGAAATTGTCTATGCTTCTCTTTAAAAAAAAATATTTTGTGAGTTTTATAATGTAATTCTGTTGTATTATTAACAAAGACTCTAATTTTTACGTCACGCCTCGGGCGATGTTATGCTCCCCCTTTTCAGACATTGCGCGCCCTAGATTGTTAGGAATCATATCAGCTTTAAACCTTTGAAGAGGCCGCGTGATCTTTGTAATTAAATTATCATAATTATCATAAAATGAGCTGAGAAACAATGGAGACGTTTCTTCATTGAAACGTCCCAGTGGTTACAGTTCAGAGCACCAGGATTGGAGCAGAGAGGCGCGGGTTCGATCCCAGCTCTGTGCGCCAGTTTCTGGTCAGAATCGGCAAAGAGGCTGGGCGGTTAAGCACAGCAGAATTTGAATCAGTGTGTTGTGAGTTCGAGACCGCAACAAGCTGTGGATGTTCTGCGATGCTAAGAATCGGCGACAGGCCTATGGCCTACTAAACGCTGAAACCGCTATTATTATTATTATTATTATTACAGTCACTACTGGTTCACACGTCGGAGACCGTACGGCTGCGGTTTTTCATGGAGCTGCTGATGGAGCAGAAGGTGCCTGTGCTGCTGGCAGGCGCTGCAGGATGCGGCAAGACAGCCCTCCTACAGGAGAAGCTTAGCTCTCTGCCAGAGGACTTCGTCGTCTGCAGTGTCCCGTTCAATTACTACACTACTTCAGGCGCGATTATTCTACACTAAATACGAATGAGAATATTATTACATTAGTGGTGTTTCTTGCTTAAGCCTATGTTTTGCACTCGATACTGAAGAAAATTACTATTTTTTTCGTAACCACTTTCTATCGACACTAAACCTGTGTTTACTACAAAGAGCTAACCTTCAGTATACTGAGATAACTTAAGTTATCAGCTCTTTATATAGGAAAACAATTGCCAAAGATTACAATAAGGTAAAGTGTCAGTCCACTCAACTCACGGGTTCCAGTCCCCGCCTCTGCATGGTTGACCGCTTGTCTTTGACGTTACATCTCTGAATTATTGTAGTCGAAATTAATGAAATTGAATCAGCAGTATTTAGAAGACGTACTCTTCTACTCCTGCAACACTTTACTCGAACTCTATGCATTTAACTATTGCATTTAACTTTTTATTCCTATTAATAAAAACGTATCTAAAATAATGTAAAGAGGCATTGTAATCGCGAACAATGCATAGGATGAGAATACTTAACATGAATTTAATCGCTAATCGAAGTGTTAATGTTGAGACAATTATATAACAATGACCACCCGGTACTAATGTCACTTATTTGTTTTATAGTAGTAACTGATAATAGCAATGATGTGTATAGAGTTGCTGCAGCGCGTGCTGGAGCGACCGCTCGAGAAGAAAGCAGGACGCTCCTTCGCCCCGCCCGGCAACAAGCGACTCGTCTACTTCATTGATGACCTCAACATGCCCATGGTATGCCGTGGGTGGCATTTATTTATTTATCCTTTATTTTATGTGTTATTTATTTATCCTGCGAAATTATTTATATTTCCTACGAAGGGATTATCGAGACGTCTGGTACATAATTTCCATGGCACGTTTCTAACTTGGGAAACCATGAATAAGTTTAAAGGTGGGCAAAAAATACACGAAAAAAGAAATGAACCAGTAAAAACCGATATGTACAAAATTTATGCGCGTGGCGCGTGTGTGCATGGTTTTGGCATGTGTGGTGTGTGTTTGACGTGTGTGTGGCATACGTGTGGGGTGTATGTGTGACGTGAATGGCACGTGTGTGTGGAGTGGTTATGGTGTATGTATAACATGTCTTACGGCACGTATATGTCATGTACTTGGCTACAAGGTTAGGTAGTAAATCAAATTTAAATGTAAGTCGTAAACAGCTGGCATCGACCGCGGTTTGGATCACTCGGATCCAGGAGTGCTTCAGTCTGTAACCCGTTTATTGATATCATCAACTACCTGTATATAGTGTACCGGTACCTCAATATCTTAAGAACCCCCAGGTAACATGTACCCAGAGTTCATTTAGGGGCCATCATGCAAGCACCACCATTGACGGCTAGCGACACCAATAAATTGACTAAGCCTACCTGGGCTCGAACCTACGGCTAGCTCTTCTCATCTCGGTGCTACTATCACTGCGCATACAGTGTCGCTTTTCGACTTTGGCTGAGATGAGCAACGCTGCCTTAATTTGGAGTTCATGATCATCTCCATAGCGTGCCGAGCTGAAGTGAAACTCATCTTAACCCTCTACCGCCATATGTCACTCTCCGGGAACATAACTTTCAACTTAAATTATACGTAAACTATTGAGTGTAGCAACCTGAGGACGTTCATACGCAACACCTAATATTTTAAAGTTGTACGTGGCGACAACCATCAGTGCAAGTCATTCTGCGCTCACTAGAATTTATCCATTTTGGAAGCATATGTATGAGAATATTGAATCGATTACATATTGTTCGACAACTTGCAACATAAATATGCATATTGTTCGACAATATTCATATGTGACAATATTGTTCGGAAGCTGTATGGGGCCGTGCGTCCCAGGATCAGGAAGAGACCACGAGCCTCGTTATATATAAGGAGACGCTCAGATCGCTTAAATATGGCGGTTGCTTTGGCTTACTGTTTACCAAGTAGATTTATGAATTATTCCCAATTTCATTGTTTGTTTTCATTGTCTTTCTCTTTAAATGAATTGTTGTTGTTTTAGTGTTCAAGTGACTCGCATAGAAGGAATCCGATAAAACACGCTGGCTTCATTAAAAAGATATGTGTATGGCTACGCTTCTAGTTATATTCAAACGTAGTGTGTGGGTCAGTACGTGAGGAGAAAAATGTAGAACATTTCAACGCCTTGAACGACTAATTGTTTCGTTATACGTTTTCCCATAATATTTCTGCATGGGAAAAATAATGCTTATAAATATTGCCTGGACCCTACGAAAGCTCCTTGCAATTACTGTTGTCATTCAACACTTTCTGGTTGACGAGATAAACTTGTAACGGTCAAAATATCAAAATTATACCATATTTTTTATTATATCAATTTTACTTATACGATTTATTTATTTCATTAATTTTATTAATACGAGATTTACTCTCACTGGTTAGGTTGACCAGTACGGCACGGTACAGCCGCACACGCTACTGCGCCAGCACCTGGACTACGGTCACTGGTACGACCGGACCAAACATACGCTCAAGGATATCCGGCAGGTGCAGTACGTCGCCGCCCTCAACCCCACAGCTGGATCCTTCACCATCAACCCAAGACTGCAGCGACACTTTGCTCTCTTTGCTCTCAGGTGAGTGTAACGAACTGTTTTAATAATAATAATAATAATAATAATAATAGTAATAATAATAATAATGATAATAATAATAATAATGATGATAATGATAATAATAATAATAATAACCATAAAAAAATTAATAATAATAATAAATATAATAATAATAGCAATAATAATAATAACGTTTTCAGCGCTTATTCGGCCATAGGGCATGTCGCCGATTTTACTAACTAACGCTTTGCACTCTTCTTTTTCATGACAGTGTAAAGAAAACATAATGCTTTAATTAATATCTCATTTGAGTGTGAATAAACGTCACATTACTCACTGAAAATTAACTTTTATTTTTTCTAACTGCGTTTTTTTCTAACTGCGTTAATCGAGGTTCATCATCGATGCAGGTTTTAAGGACAATCGGCTACTAATATTGCCCTTGTTGTCTGGTGGGTTTTTAAAAAGTTGCAGACAGGTTCTTGCTACGTGCCGCAGTCAGGGTTTCTTTCTAAGAAAAGTGTGGTCAAAAATCATAAAATTCACTAGTACACTGATCGAGGTTTTACATGTACAAATCAAGGTTTTACTTATACAAATCAATTACGTGAGAACAAAATATCACATATAAATTTATATACTATGTCATACTACAGCTGATAAAGTAAAGGAGTCGGATCAATAATTTTTGCGGTTATATATAGTGGCAGTTGGATTTACGGTTGATAATTGAGTTCACAATATAATGTAATATATTACTTAAATTATATATGGTAGCATATAATTTAATACCTAATTAAATTAAAGTAATATAATTAAATTTAGTTAAATATATTATTGTAATAATTCCATGTAAAATTCATGGAACGGATTACAGAAGGTTTTGTTATAAAGGCATATAAAATATTTATTTCTTTGTCATAAAATTAAGCTTATATAAGAAGAAGAGAATCCTCCAGTGTCAGGAAGCTGACAAAATTCGAAAAACCTTCAAATTTTTACGTGTTCATTAAACAACAATTAATCTTCCTAAAATGTAAGTGAATGAAATGGTGTGGTTTTGTTCGCAGCTTCCCCCGCGACGCCTGCCTCACTCACATCTACTCTAACCTGCTCGAGCAACACCTTACCAACCCCTCCATGAAGTTCCCGCCTAACCTCGCTGGGGTAATTCAACTCGATAATTGAAACGATCATAATCACGCCGTGTTTCGTCCCTAACTTTCAAGAATTTATTGTTTTTTTGTTGTTGTTGTTTATTTACTCTTGCAGTTGCCTAATATATACTTTGCAATTTCCTAATATATACTATGACTTTGTTATATTTGCTGCTAACTTGCCGAAAATGCGCTTGATGATTCAGTATACATTCATATTTACGTATAATATACATTTATTTGATTGCGCGTATACAACACAATTGATGAGATATTGATAAATATCCATTTCATGCTTGATGAAACTCAATTTACGAGTGTATTGCTTTATTTTAAACGTAGTCTCTGTATTTTTAGTTACTGATGTATTCTGCTATTTTGAATGAATAACTATAAATAAGTGTAGCTTATAATTACAGAACTTGACAGTGAGAATATACTCCATGACCACTTATTTAATTGAATGTATATATTTTATTTCTAATGGAACAGATGACTGGACAAATAGTGCAGGCAGCACTGATGCTCCACCATCGCGTTGCCTTCACCTTCATCCCAACAGCCACCAAATTCCACTACCTCTTCAACCTGCGTGACCTAACCAACATCTTCCAGGTGGGTACATCCCTGCCTTGAATTACCTCACCAACATTCACAACATGAGATACATTTTAGTTACACGTGCTCTATCTATTCAGCCTGTAACGCCATACAAGCATCTATCATAAGGCTATATTTCTACCTCTGAGTTCCATTACTCTTTCAGCGATTGTGATCTCACCACGTCTTTTACGCCGAAATTCGCAGTCAGTTATTTTGGGTGTAACTTCGTGTTCATACTTCAGTCAAAATAAAGTTTTTGCTAAAAGACATATTGTCATAATTCCTTAAGATATGTTGCAACAATAACTCTTTTTTATGCCTTCCACACATCTTAGTTACCCATTTGTCTTTAAATGTTTCACGCCTGCAGGGTTTGCTGTTCAGTACGGGCGAAACAGTGAAGACGCCAATAGAGCTCGTGCGGGCCTGGGTTCACGAGACACAACGGGTCTACGGCGACCGCCTCATCGAGGATAAGGACCTGGAGTGTCTCTCGAAGCTTCACACCGACGTCGTCAAGAAGGTGTTCGAGGTGGGTGCGGTCTATGCAATTCGTCAACTTTTCTTCTGGCAGTTGATTTATTTCTTCAATAAATCAATTAACTTTTAATCATGAGGATTAACACCCAGCAACCTTTAAAAACAACGCTAACAGGGATAGTCATAATTGAAATATGTAGCATGTAACAGTTCAATAAAATATTTTATTTTATTCGAGAAGGGAATAACAATATTGATTATTTCACCCTTATAGTTATGACAGAAACTGGCACAAGATTTTAAAAAATTTTCATTTTGATGCATGAATTAGTATAAAACTAATTTAATTTCAAATATTCGACTGTGGCCACAAAGATAGTGTAATCGCAATTTTTCACATGTACGCTTCACGTAATCTTTCTGTTTGGACCTTCAGTTATCCGACCGAAGTTTACCTGGACATAAATTGTCATTCGTAGTTCAAACCTCTTTAGTGGCGAAATACTTCGGTGAGTTTTGTCCTGCAATTTATTAGTCTTTCATTATTGATTCTGAAATGATATTCTTTTGGTTAACTTGGATTAAATTTTGCTTATATTTGTTTATCTTGTGTATTAGATAGCTAATATTTCTTATGTCACACTTGCAGGAACTATGTTTTCAAGATTACCCAAATAAAAATCCTTGAAACCTGAGTATCGAAATTTCGCCTAAGCCACTAGGGCTTAACAGATAGCATGACAGTCGCATTAAATTATAACCCGTAGTGACCCTTTTGAAATTCACCTTGCAAAACATGCACACTTATCGTGAAATTTATAAAATTATTATCTTCTGATTATGAAGCCTTTGAACAGAACTGTTTAACTGAAGAATTTTACAGTGAAAGGTTTAACTACAGGTAGTTTTACAGTGTTAACGATAATTGTTTGATATGGGCGACTTACTAATAATAGCAAATATGGCTTGACAAAAGCCATGTTTTATTGGCATTCATTTGACTTTACAAGCGCTTGAAAGAGTGGACAATCTGAAGAATTTATAAAATAACTTTGTTTTCTAGTAGAAGTGCTTGGTTATCCTTTAATTTGGTCTTTGTTTATATCACTAATGAAATTTTTTGCACATAAAAACATTGCAAAAGTTATAGATATAAACGATTTATTTAGTAATTTGCATTGAATTAAAATTACTTAAATTTATCCTACATTAAAGATGTAGCCGTTAAACGTAACCATTTGCGCTAAAATTGATTAAATTGTTCCTTAATTCTCTAATGCCTGCAGATGGTAAGTGGAAGTAAATAGATGGCTTCTGTAAGATCGGCTACGAATAAATTTATTAGATTAGATATTGGATTAGTCGTAGTATTAGATGCGCAAGCTGCGAAGAACAGTATTTTAATAAGCTGTATCGATTCTTGCTCATTTACTTACATAAGTATGTAATTAAGTTTTAAAGTGGACAAGCCAACTTGACTAAAATTTAAACTAGCGCTGTGTGCATTCATGTTCATTTGCTCATAATAGTACTAATTAGAATTAATTGGATGTTCATTCCTTTATTCTGTATGCAGTATTGATACATGCCTATGTTTCATAGTGTGCTTGTTTTTAGACTTGCTCAGATTAGTGGTTAATTCTGATGCTTCACCTAGGCAGAGTAGAAAACCCTCATGCCAATACCAATTATGCCTAATCCTGGTCAAGTATTCCGCTTTTCGATGGTTCCAGACACTTAGCAGGGCTCTTAAGAAGTATCAGGACACCTTCGAGAATATTTATTCTCTGTTCAATACCAAGATGCTGTAGAACTTGAAACAATGAGTTTCGTCATCGTATGTATTTTTTATGTAAATTAATGATCAAATTATTCATGTCTGGAATATCAGGGTAAAATGCGAGTGTGCGTCGAAGAAACTCTCAAATTCGTTATCAATATTAAGGTCTTTCTGTAATTTTAACAAGAAACCGTGTAGCCTCTGTCTTTTTGGGCCGTTCCAGCAGAGAAGTGACTTTGCGGGTACTCACTATGTCGTTGCTCCTCTCCTATAGTCTTGCACACAATTCTATCGTTGTTTCGCCCATCATAACGGAGTATTAAGAATTAAGGGCTTTGGACTTAATGTTACGATAAATTCTAGATTTGAAGTTTTATATTATGTTGGTCGCTTCCACCAAAAACGTGTTTCGATATTCAAAAAACCGACTCCGGTTTCACACCTTCATTGTAGTCACAAATTTTGTGCGGAATTTCTTCCAAATGTTATTTCTTGAAGAGATGCTAAACTCCCGCAATAAAGTTTATTGAAATGATATATTAGGTGCTTTCTCAACAATACTGTCATTGAATCCTTTTGTATCCCCATAACGCATCCTATTGTGTGGCTCATTCCACGCTCCTTAATTGAAGGGACAGTCTTCATTTGATACAAGGGAAACAATCTCGATTACAGTTATATGTTCATACTTCAGAAATCCATTAATGTATATTTGCTGATTCATCTCTTGTAGTAGAGGAGCTGTTAAGTTAAATTTATTGTAAGTTTATTCGTTAAATAAATTGGACACGGAAAGAATACATCTTGGATAGGAATATAAATCAACATTTTAAACTTTTCATGATGCCGATTACTTTACACAACATATAATTGTATCTTTCAACTCTGCCCTGATCATATCTTACATATTGATTTTTGAGGATTTTAACAGCTTTTACATTATTTTTTCATCCCTTCCCTCCGTTTTTGCTAGAGGGACGAAGAAAGTGCCGGTCAAGAGGTACAATTTTTGAATAGTCTAGTTTTTCTTTTACTTGAAGCCAAGTTTTTTACTTTTTTCACGAAATCTACGTTTTTCTGAGACTGGAAGCGTTCGTAATTTTTTGCTTGCAGTGATGTAGTCTGTAGCACCGCTGTTGCTGCTCGAGCTTGCTAATTTTTTTACACATTTTTTGATGGCTACTTGTTTCAGCAACTTTCCTTTTTTTACGTGATTTTTGCTGCTGGAATGCTATTTTTCTCCGGCTTTAAATTTGCCCGAATCATTTTTCCTCATCCATGATTCCTGAATCAAGTACATTTTTTGTATGCATCAATCTTTGAATATTTTTGCTGATGCTTTCCTAAAAGCCACCAGCAAATAAATTCTTAATAGTACAATAGGCTGCTCATCTCATGCCTCTCATTTTGATTTCCACGCTCACATTTAAGTTCTTCTCGTTCCATAAAGATCGATGTTACTGACTCTCAACGATCATAGAGCTCCTATATACTTTCTAACTCTTATAATAATTACATTACTTTTTAAACATGAGCATTCATTTGGATACCTGCGCATACATTACCCAACCGTTAAATCTAGCACGTTGAGTACATTTCTTTCGAACAATACAAACCTAAGTTCGAACAACACAAACCTAAATTTTGTACCAACGCCATACACATTAAAGTTGCGACCTTGTATGTTGACCTTACTTGAAGATAACAAGTAATGATAATTTTCAAGTATTTTCAAAAAAATCTAATTACGATATTTTCAATCAAATCATTCACATTCATTGCATGTTATTTCCAAGAATACGTACAACCGTAGAAAATTCTATCGGTCTCTTCTAGTGCTACGTAATTAATCACCAGAACTAGCATCAACTACTACTAACAGTTGGGCTCTAATTAAGAGTATGGTAACGCTTTATTCAAACTTATGACACTAGTTGCTTACCCTAACTGCTTGCTAGATCCGCGGCAGCCAGCAACTAGAAGAACTACACCCTGTCTTCGCTGGAGCTTTCGCTACCACTAGCGCTGCTACCAGCAATGATGCTGCCACTACTAGTGCCGGTGGTGCTAGTGCACTCACATCTGCAGCTACAACTACTACTTTCATTGCTGGTGGTGGCAATGTTGTCTCACCAGCAATCGGAGGTAGTATAGTTGGTGTTGCTGGTGCAAGTGCTAGTGCTCTGCCTGCTGGTGGAAGTGCTAGCACTATGCCTGCTAGTGGCAGTGCTAGTGCTCTACCTGCTGGTGGCATGACAGAGGCAGACTTCATTGCTGATTGTGATGAGAGTGAAGAGCCTCCCGCACCGCCCTGTAAGCCTGTCCGCGTGGTGAGTTTTACGTGAGACAGGTAAGGTAAATTAATTAATTTTATTAGCTATAACTACTACCCTAAAGAAGATAAAACACAAGCTTGATTTTAGTTTTTAGTTTTGCCTACATTCATTAATATTCAAGCATTTCCTTTAAAAAATCTAAAATTCTTATATTATGCTTTTATAAATCGAGTGCAAGCTCCGCTAACCGAACCACATTGAAGTTTGTAGGCTTGTTCACCGCGAATGAATCTAGAAAAATGACATTGAAAAAAATTACTTGGATGCTCATAAAATCTTATTAGCCCTCAATAATGATGGTGACTGTGGTAGTCGTTAAGCATTTTCAACTATTTTGTTGATGTGTTGCATTCAACTAACGGTTCTCGAATTCGTTACAATTTTACCACATTAAAGTATATGGTGCCTCTTGGTGAGGTTACGCCAGCACTCAAATACCGTCAAATTTTTCGTGGTATACTCGAAGCCGGAGACGAATTTTTCAACAACTTGTACTACGCGTATCTATGCATATTGTATCACGCATATCTACGCCAAATTTACCTTATGTACATTTAAGTTCTACCACCTGTATCTATGCAAATTATACCCCGCGTACATATAAGTTCTACCACGTGTACAAAACAAGATGTACAACGAGTACATGTACAAATTGTACCAAGTGCATTTACGCAAATCGTACCAAGTGTGCATTCAAAAGTTCTACCTCGTGCAAGATTTTTAAGTTGATATACAAGTTGACCAGTCGAAGAACAATGTGAAAATGGTCCGCACTCCGTATGCGTGTGTTGCAGGAGCTGGACGAGGCTGAAGTGACTGCTGTGTGTTGCAGGAGCTGGACGAGGCTGAAGTGACTGCTGTGTGTTGCAGGAGCTGGACGAGGCAGAAGTGACTGCTGTGTGTTGCAGGAGCTGGACGAGGGAGAAGTGACTGCTGTGTGTTGCAGGAGCTGGACGAGGGAGAAGTGACTGTTGTGTGTTGCAGGAGCGGGACGAGGCAGAATTGACTGCTGTATGTTGCAGGAGCTGGACGAGGCAGAAGTGCCTGCTGTGTGTTGCAGGAGCTGGACGAGGCAGAAGTGACTGCTGTGTGTTGCAGGAGCTGGACGAGGCAGAAGTGACTGCTGTGTGTTGCAAGAGCTGGATGACGCAGAAGTGACTGCTGTGTGCTGCAGGAGCTGGACGAGGCAGAAGTGACTTCTAAGCCAAACGTGCTGTGCCACTTCGCTCGCGGGGTCGGGGAGCCGCGCTACCTCCCAATAAGAGGATGGGATGACTTGGCCGCCATCTTGGGCGACGCGCTCACCACCTACAACGAACTCAATGCCGCCATGAACCTCGTGCTCTTCGAGGCTGCCATGTCTCACGTCTGCAGGTCCGTTCAGCCGCCATCATGCCCTATGTCTGCAGATCTCGTGTTTACATTTCTGATACTGTCACCTGTAGGTCCTGTCTCTGCTGACCCTTTTTATCTGTAGGCCCCGTCACTGCAGGTCTGTTACAGTCACCTGTGGGCCCCGTCTCAACAGGTCTGTTACAGTGTTACTGTCACCTGTAGGACCGTCTCAACAGGTCTCTTACAGTCACCTGTAGGCCCGTTTCTGTTAGCCTGTTCTGATGACAAGGTAAATTTTGAACTTATCGTCTTAAGATGTCAGGGCGGCTACAGGCAATGACACACGAACCGCCCTCAGTAGATGACTCGACTCTCATAAATCAAAACGGTATTATTTCGTGAGAAATGCATACTATGTAGTATTAATAGCGAATAAAGTTCTGTAAAGCTATTTATATCTTACCAGAAAGTTCTGATTTAAGTCTTAATGCAAAATATATCGTTTGGATTGGCGGCTGGCGACATTAGTGTTGTGGCGACTTGCGGGCCATTAACTTTACTCCAGAAATGAAAACATCGGTGCCGAGCTCAGATCACTCACTGCGGTCTCTCATAAGTTTGATCGGTGATTCATGAAGAGGAACGTTTCCTCCAATTCGCATAATTTTCATGAATTACCTCCACCCTTCAGAATCAACAGGATCCTGGAGTGCCCAAGAGGCAATGCACTACTGGTGGGGGTTGGCGGGTCAGGCAAGCAGTCTCTGGCTCGCCTCGCTGCCTTCATCGCTGGTCAGGAGGTCTTTCAAATCAGCCTCACCAAAGACTACGGTCTGCCAGAGCTAAAGGTGAGTCTGTCATAGAGCAAAGACTGTCCGCTAGAGCTATAAGTGTGATTTCCATAGATCAAAGTAATCTGCTAGAGCTCAAAGTAAGTCTGCCGGAGCTCAAGAAGAGTCTGCCAGAGCTAAAAAGAGTGCCAGAGATCAAAGTGTGTTGCCAGAAATCAAAAAGTGTATGTCGGAGCTCGCAAAATGTGCCTGCCTCGTCAAAGTCTTCATATGGTTTTTAAACCTCACTCAGTGTCACTGGCGTTGTGCGAGAATTACCCATGAAACTTTTTCCCTCATTGCTGAAAATCAAATTCCGTTGTCAAAAGCTCACCTAATACTGTCTAATTTAACGATAAATTTTCTTGGCTAGAAATGTTTAAAATGTCACTACATTGACGGTCATATACTAAAAAAATATAACTCATGTACTCACTGCAGTGAGTGACAGAGAGCGCATTTTCTCGTCGACGAAAACGTGAAGTCACGGACGGACGGACGGACAAGGCGAGCACAATAGTGCATTTTTTCCATAAATGAGAAAATGCGCCAAAAAGCAGAAACTTTTGTCTTAAATATATAAGAAATTTATGTTATTCTCATGTTTTTGGATTTGCAGTTATACGATTTCACGAATCGCGATGAAATATATTGAATGACCCTGATCAAATTCACGATTTAATTTTTGAATCAATAGTATGCAATCTAAACAAATTACCAGAGTTCTATCACCACCCTCAGAAAGACCTGGCGGGCATCTACCTGCGGTGCGGCCTGAAGAACCTGGGTACGGTTTTCTTGCTGACGGACGCCCTCATCCCGGATGAGAAGTTCTTGGTGCTCATCAACGACTTGCTGGCGTCCGGCGAAATTCCCGACCTATTCCACGACGACGAAATTGAAAACATCGTGTCTTCCGTACGCAACGAGGTGAGTGCCGCTTCAGCTTCGTGATTATGTTGCGTAAGTTTTTCACGAACGTCAACTCTCCGCTGTTATATTTACTCAAAGTTGCACTCAAATAAAAAATTAACTGATTTCTTTAATTTTACTCACGGACAAATAGATATATATTTTATAATAATTTTGCATTCAAGCCATTTAATTTGCTATTGAAAGTACTTGTGAATTGCAATAAAACAAGGGCTATTGATGCTCTCAAGAAACACGTTCGAACCAACGATAATTTCTGGATAGAATTCAAATTAAGTCTTTTCGCAGTTAAGTAGAAATTTATTAATGGACAGGTTTAATTATGGGGGTAATAATAGGGTGTACATGGTTAATTTAGAAGATTTTTTTAAATGTGCATGGATACCTTGAGAAAAATTAAATTCAGGTTATAAATAATATTCCCCTAAAATTATTATGCATAAACCTTGTCTACAAACTTTTGTTATTACACATTCTACTAATTACTTCAGTTTTTAAACCAAAGAAGTGCCAGTTGACAGCTGTGCCTCTGACAACAAAAAAATAAATCATAAATAAATTTTATTTAAAATTCAGATCTTGACCCTTTCGCACCCCTGTTTTTTATCTAACAAGTAACTCAATAAACTTATTTTTTCTGGCGAAAGTTCAGTTCACGGTTATGCCGGTTCTTATCTATCATTCATAACCAACAAATCAAATTAAAAAGCGAGTAATAAAGATTTCATCAATATTTTTGTGCTGGGTGCCTAAGGGTTAAACTGTTGTATATGTACGTGTGTATATAAATCACCACCAATTCACGGACTCCACTGCCATATACTCCCACTGCTTCTTCTAATGCAATGTGTACAGTACAAAAAATCTCTTGAGTATCTGAGAACACTTGCAGAATTTCACTATTGTTCTGACGGTTTATTAAAAGTTTTCACAGTGATATTTAACTCTTATGTATTCAAATCAAAACAAGTGCAGAGAACGCTTTAATATTTTATCTGCCCATCTTTCGTCTGACATGACATTCTTCATGTGCCTGAAGGTCCTTCACTTAGTTCTTTTGTAGCGTTGATACTAAGCATTGTAGTGATATAAACTAACACCAAGCAAGAGCGAACTCTTTACATCACTTCTAGCAACACTTAATGGAGGCAAATAAGTTTAACTCATTTCAAACATTGGTGGCTCAAATGACGACTATTGGACAATTAATATATGAAAATTATCAAGATTCATTTCGGATCGAGAAAAATTAAACGGTCTCCTGTGCATGGATTGTGGAAAAATGATATGTGTCGTCTCCATTTCTGATGCTTGTGTCAAGTTTGTAAAAATGTGTAAGAGTATGAGTCACATTTGCATGCTTCCATTTTGCTGTTGCTCAAATTTAACCAAAAATTTACAGGTAGAGCCTTGCTCTGTACAAAGACCATTTCACGTCACGGCATTATACTCCGCTATCTAAAATCCCTTCTCACTTAAAGATGGCAAATCCATTCCAATTGAGTTTTATTGGGCGACAACGATCAATTCAGTTTCAGAAATATTTACCTTAAATCATTAGTTCCTGTTTTCAAATAAAAATTTTAATTTCCTGATATTATATCTACTAAAATTTGTTCAAAATTTCATATATATATTTTTTGCATTTTCAAACGATGTCGCTATTTCACTGAAACATTCGCCATTCGCCCAGCAAATTGAACGTGACGGTTGAAGACCTCGTTTGAGAGGACATGTGTAACATTGTATTCAAGACTTCATTCATGTTCAAGACTACATGAATAAAGCATTCATTTGTCATTTTGCGATATCATGCCATATTCACTGAGCATTGTTATCAATTCCAACAATTATGTCCTCAATTTTCACTAGTTTAAAGGTAAATAGTGATCTTCTTAACTGTATCCAACCCTACCAATCAACTCCAAATGCTTACAAACATAACTTGTATAACATCATTCATGTTGAAAAGTGTAATCGTTATAACGAAACACATCTCCATAGAAGCTTTCATTTTTTATCGTGTTTACTGTCAGTATTTTTAGGATCAGTTAATTGGGAAACATTTTGACTGGCATTTCTCACAGATGTTTCTAAATTTTAAACTAGCGAGTTATTTAAAACAGCAGTTAATAATGTTTAGGAACATTTTGCTCATATGTTAATTTTAGACTGAAAAATATTAGTGAATAATCACATTCGCAATGAATTGATGATCATCAGTCGTCTAACTGATAGCTCATATTTCAAATTAGTTTATCATTGCATTAAATAGCAAAATAATTTCTCTTGCACTCTCAAATGCCGTATTCCGTGTTCAAATTTTGTATTATTATTATCATCATATATGTTAATCTCTTTTCCAATAGTATTGCAATTGTCAATTTACTGTGTCTTTTCTATTTGTTTGTATTCATTAAAACCGGTCTTTTATGTCATTTATTGTGTTTAAGACATTTTCAATCCATCTACTGAACTCTTATTTAGCAGTGCATTGATCATGCAGATAAATGAAACTGTTCCACTTTCCCTACAAATATTTTGATGATTTCAAATATTTTTTTTTGTTCAAGTTGTTTTAAGTTTTAATGTTTGCTTTCATCGCTTCAGTTAAGTTATCAAATAAAAATCAATGCACATCACAAAATTTTATTCACAATGATTGCTCACACTCTTCTTGCGTCTCAAGTTTTATTGTTTCCATTGCTCATTCATTACATTTCATTGTACGTCATTACCGACAACCAATCACTGAAAGCCCTCAGTCGCTCTTAAGAATTATAGTGCAATCGAAGACGGCTATTACTGGATCCCGCAGATTTGTTGGTTTTCACGGTAAACTCAACTTTATCACACTTTCAAAGAACCTGTGGTATTGTCAACAATGAGTGCATGAGCAAAAGAAGCAATAACCAAGATTTGGGCATTTGTGTACACATTCTAACACATCTCATTCCTGCAGCGCGAGTACAAGGATGTGTGGCTGGTAGGTGGCATCCTAGCTACCCTTGTACTAGATCTCTGCTACGTCGCCTCTCATTAAAAATGACGCATTTTTACATGGTAGTGCCATTTTTGCCGCCATCACAAGCAGTTGCGTACGTTGAATGTAGATGATACAGTAGAGGTGTGTTGCTGCGTCGACGCACCTAAACCATCACTAAATATTTTTTTTAAGCTCTGGCAAAAAGATTTTTGCAATTTTTTGCGCCAGAAAGCTTGAAGAAATGTTAATTTCCAGTGGCTTGTCAGTAACCACTGATTTCAAACATCTTCTGATTTCACACGGTATTTTCTGCGATTTTTCATAAGGATGCTAGTGTAATACGTTTTTATTTTATATGAATAGAGCATTTAAAGAGGTAATTTAGTGTATGTGAATGCGTAGTGATCATAATTATATTAAGGCTGATTTTTAGAGAAGATCTAATGGAGGCTTTCTTTGACGTCTTTGCTGATCAGTAGATATGAAGTTGGCTTCCACATCTCCCATGCAACGCTTTCTTCTTAAACAATTAAGCTAAAAGGCTCCGTCCATTGGTCTTGTGAAATAGACTAACATAAACTATTACTTAATCTATGCTTCTCATCTTGGTAACATTAACAAATAATTAATCATCATGAAATTTTATTAATAGTAGTAATTCAAACATTCTTCTACATGTATAATCGACGACGTCATTTGTTTGCTTTTCTATTGATGCCAAATGATCTATGGCTTGAATAATTATTTCTAGTTTCAGGAGTTTTTTCTTCGTTATAAATGACTCGGCAAATATACGGATTTTTTCTCCTCATCAGGCTGCTGCTACAGCCTTGCTTTACATTTCATATGAAAACTCCGATATCGTGTTCAGATTTTTTTAAACTTGCGGCTTGTATATTTGTCAGCTATGTACTAAATTCAATCTATAATTTAAGTAATTTTTTGATGAGGATAGCTTAGGTGAACACCACTTTTTTATTTTAATTTAGATTTTACGTCATAGGATTTCAAGAAGAATCGGGGAGTATTAATCACGATTTTTGTTCGCTTTTTTTATGTAAAGAACATTCTAGTGCATTAGACTTGGGCTTTAGACCGCATATGAGAAAATGTGTTCGTTCTTGAATGCAAGAATTCGTCTACAATTGGATTTCTATGTCTTTGCAGCATTCTTCAATTTTTAATTCAGTAAAATTCTTTTAAATTTGGACTCAAAACTTTTGAGCACCGCAGATAGGAAATTTGGTGGCACCACAATGCTAATAGAAAAATTAAATGCGGATTGCACACCAGACAAAAATTTTCGCTCATGAATTTTGATGACTGTTTTCAATCTTATGATTCATTCGTATTCTTGATTGCGATTCAGATTCTGCTCATGACAAGGCGTATGCAGGGATGAGAAATTTGATATAAGCTGTTCGCAATTATTCTTTACTTTGTTGTATGTTTAATAAGTAAATAGAATATTATTTGTTCGCAAATGGTCGATTTAGAGACACATGGTTTAATTACCGGGATAAATCCAAACAAGTCTTTCAAATTTCTCATCGTCCGAATCATTGTCAGGTATTTAATGCTTTATGAATTTATTTATCTTAAAAGGCAATATATAAATGCGTATAGAATAATGTATCATTTTCAGTTTAATTTGCCACATTACGTGGTTGTCTTCGCAGGTCAAGAGTTCAGGGACGCCGGACAACAGAGAGAACTGCTGGAGGTTCTTCATCGACCGCGTGAGGAGGAACCTGAAGGTGGTGCTCTGCTTCTCACCGGTTGGTTCCACCCTCAGGTCAGTTATAAATCATAACGATAGAATATAAACATATTAATATATTAATATAATATAATTATTATATAATATGATAAAATATAATATTATTAATGAATAATTATCTTGACACTTTGTAAGGTATCCTCAGGTCATTTGAAATCATAACGATAAAATAATAATGTAATAATTATATTATATAATATATTATTATTAATGAATAATTATCTTGACACTTTGTAAGGTATCCTCAGGTCATTTGAAATCATAACGATAAAATAATAATGTAATAATTATATTATATAATATATTATTATTAATGAATAATTATCTTGACTTTGTAAGGTATCCTCAGGTCATTTGAAATCATAACGACAAAATGTTTCGTAATCATAATTATCATCACTTCATAAGGCGTCATCAAGCCATTTATATTTCAAAACAATAAAATATAACGTCAGGATAATTACCATGACTTTATAAGGTGTAAAAAAATGAATTATTTATCTGTCTTTAATTACGCACAGAAATAGTTATTTGATTATCTTAAATGCATTCTAGTGCGTAAAAGTACTCATTTCTATATTCATGATAATATCTGTATTTTAGTATAAGCACGTGAGTATTTGAGATTGGTTCTCGCTTTCGTAAAGTCTTTAAGGCTCTGATTCATCTAGTTATAGTTAATAAAACTTTTGCTGTTAGAAGAATTATTTCGATTAAACTTACTAAAAAAACTAAAAAACTTACTTAAAACTTTTGAGCATCGCTGCGAAAAAATTTAGTGGCACCACAATGCTGATAGAAAAGTGACATGTGGGTTGCAAACAAAACGAGTTTCGCTCACGAATATTCATGTTTTTTTTTTTGTTTGTATATTAATCACGAATTAATATACAAACAAAAAATGATCATATCATTAAATTTTAACGAGTACCGGCAACGACCAAAACATTGTAATGAGTTACTGTGATTTTATAAATTATAGCATGCACGTTGTATAACTTATGAAAATTGCTGGTGAACTTATAGGGCATTTTCCTTGTGTTAGTATTTAGCATACTAAGCATATGTGAATAAATAATAATACAAGTCGAAGACAGATTCATAATATTGAGCACACTAAATATATATAAAAAAAATTCGATTTTATTATAGATTGACGACAGGTTCACGTATGTAATACAATAATAATGAGAGAATACGTATTTGCAACTAATGGGTAACTGGTAGTAATGGATAACCGGTTATAATGGATGACAGGTTATATGGATAACAGGTTATCATCATTTAGTAAAGTAAGTATATGGAAATAATGTTAATTATAAATGGGTGACAGGGTGCGTGCTCGTCAATTCCCAGCCCTGATCAACTGCACGACCATCGACTGGTTCCATGAGTGGCCGCACGACGCGCTCGTGTCGGTGTCTCGGCGCTTCCTCTCCGAGATAAACGAGCTGCCGGTGTGTTAGTTATATGTATTATATTGTTATTATGTTATATTATATTATATTATATTATATTATATTTTATTATATTATATTATATTATATTATATTATATTATATTATATTTTATTATATTATATTATATTACAATATATTATATTATATTTTCTATAGAAGAGCTCCCGACATATCCGTTATATGCAGGTTATGCGGCGCTGTTCAAAAATGAATGGCGGACTCGAATATTTAATTAATCCATGCAACAAACCATCGTTGTGAATATTTCAATAATGACGGCTGTCAATCGAACAATCATTATTTCACATTAGACGACTTTTTTAGTTCGCCTAGTGAGAAATGTTAAGAACATTATTCGTGTCAAATGAAAAATAGTAATTGAACAGCCAATATCTCTAATTAAATCATTGCAAAATTATCTTCACTTAAACACATTCATACGGTTTATTCTATTGAAGGCCATGTCATGTGAAAGAACTCGCGAATAGACTGATATCATTCAACTTCTGGTGATATCAACGGTAGATTTCACATGATTTCTTAAACTTTTACGTGCAAATTTCAGCACACTCGCAGAATCGCAATGCTCGCAACAAAGGCCTTCATGTGAAACTTGGTCAGACAAAATATTGTCGGTTTATTATTATTCTTGCTTCCAATGACTCCTCAATTTTCGGAACATTATATTTTTTTTGTTTTGATATCGTAAGTTTTATTCACAGATTTTCTAGCACCTTTTTTGCTTAGTGAAGAGCGTTTGAAAAACTTGATGTAATATGACCGTACCGTCTCAAGATAAGAAAAGCAAGGTATATGTGTTGAATTAAATTTTTAAATTCTATTTTGAGTTAACGATGTTACAATTTTCCTAATTCGATTATTTCTTGCATTGGCTGATGTTACATTTCTACAGTTACGGGTTCCAAATGCTAGTTGTTAGAATAGTTCAACGTCTGATTGAAATATTTCGAAAAATATTTAGTCTAATTCTATTTTTATCATACATTTCGGTGCAACTTACAATTCGGCAGTCTGCCCTCCACGAGTCGACAGCCCAGTTCATGGCTCACGCCCATAGCACTGTAAACGACCTCAGTAAAGTATACCTGAGCAACGACCGCCGCTATAACTACACGACGCCCAAGAGCTTCTTGATGCTCATAGACCTCTACTCCAGGCTGCTCTCCACCAAGCATACGGAACTGCAGGCTAAGATTGAGAGGCTCCAGAACGGTCTCGAGAAACTCAAAACAACTTCAAGCCAGGTGAGGTGTCTGCAATTTGTGATTAGTTAATTTCTTAGCATCTTGCCAATCTTGAATTGCTCAATTTTATGAGACACTTATTATATAAACGATAAGTCAACATGTTGTATATAATATCGGAATAAACTATATGCTTGCAATGTAAATTGTAAGATTTTTAAGCTTTGGTTTTAAGTATTTTGGTCACAAACATGAAACCTATAATTGTAACTGAGGACAGTTTATCGCTCGTGAATTTTCAAATTCATGCGTAAATTGGACTTTTTTCAATATTTCAGCAAATCTCGCGATTACAAATGAAAAGTGAAAGAAACAAATTGCTCGCAAAGTCTACGTTTTAAAAGATAACAAGGTTGAATTTTCTAGTGAAATGCAATAAATTTTGTTATTTTCTTTCGGCCCAGGTTGACGCTCTTAAGGCAAAGCTCGCGGCCCAGGAAGTTGAGCTTCAGAAGAAGAACGACGAGGCTGATAAACTCATCCGCATCGTCGAGGCCGAGACTGCCAAGGTTTGTATATAGAAATCTTCTATTCACACAAATATTATACATATAGTACACATGACTTCCTTCAATGCTTTGCTGGGGTGCAAACTTTAGCTTTAGTTAACCTGTATATACTTATATGAATGTATTTATCATTCAGTGCATAAACAAAGTACATAAACATATCAGGAGCATAAACAAAATTTATTTAGAGGCATTGGTTTCATCGGCATAAATCGAATAAAAAATAAAATAATAGCATCAACACAGAGTAGTAACATAATTGAATAACTACCTACAAACAACATTTGTTAGCTACTTGTACAACTCTGACTGGTGTGAGAGTTACTGAAATCTTGGGAAGATTGTCCCTAGACTGATATAATTGTTGTCTGTTGTCTTTAGGTTTTGTCGTGAATTCATTTTGCTGGAGCTTTATGTTTGCCATGTTAAGAGATGCAACAATAATGTAATTGTGAATCAAGTAATGTCTTCATTTTACATTTCGTGTTTTTATGCAACTAAATCCACTTATACTCTTCCAACCGCACAGAAGATCCGGAGTAAAATGAGTATGACTGGGAGCGTGTGTACGTGGAATGCCATAAAATTTTAGATGCAATCGCGAGTTTATTCTTAAGAGAAGCGTGACCACAACATGAATATTTTATTATATCGTCATATGTCTAGAAATTGAACTGCTAAAATAATGAACTTTTATAGCTAGTTATTCATTAAACTTGGTGATGATAAACGTAAATTTCAAATTGTAGTTAATAATAGTTAAAAACACTAATGGACTTCATTCGCGATCTCTTCTCACGTCCGAAGAAAATAGGTAAACAGAAGTTCAACTATAAATTTTTTGGCCCGCATGAAGAACAGGTACGATCGGTGGAGTTATATTTCCAGGTTTATATCATCAGTTATATTGCCAGGTTTATATCATCAGTTATATTGCCAGGTTTATATCATCAGTTATATTGCCAGGTTTATATCATCAGTTATATTCCCAGGTTTATAAAATCAGTTGTATTGTCAGGTTTATATCATCAGTTATATTGCCAGGTTTATATCATCAGTTATATTCCCAGGCTTATATCATCAGTTATATTCCCAGGCTTATTTCATCAGTTATATTGCCAGGTTTATATCGTCAGTTATATTGCGCCAGGTTTATATCATCAGTTATATTGCGGCATGTATATATTATCAGTTATATTGCGGCATGTATATATCATCAGTTATATTTCGGCAGTTTTATATCATCAGTTATATTGCTGCAGGTCTCGAAGGAGAACGAGACCGCTAACGAGGAGAAGCGTCGCGTGGCGCTCATCGAGGTGGAGGTGGGCAGACGACGCGTCGAGTGCGAAGAGGATCTAGTGAAGGCGGAGCCTGCGCTCACCGCTGCGGTTGAGGCTCTCAACACCCTCAACAAAGTCAGTTGTTGTTAGTTATAATAACCACTAGGAAACTTTAGACGAGTTATTTTATTTAGTGAAATACCGGAGAATTCACAAGAAGTTCAGTAGGAAACTTTAGACGAGTTATTTTATTTAGTGATATACCGGAGAATTCACCTAAAGTTTTGTTCGACGTTCTTGCTGTGAGCTACGAGAAAGTTAAAAAATGTCCGTCCTCAAATTGGATTTTTAGCAACATTTTCTTTACCAATTGAATCTAATATTTTATGACGACAATCTGTCGATAAATATTTCAATATTGCAATGTTTGAGGTAAAACACTCGGGTTTTCAGATGAGCAAACTTTGCTTCAGTACCAAACGTAAAAAACGACTTTGTTGATCTCCAAATGTTACGGTCCACATTTACTAACTATATGTTTACGATTAATCTGATAACCTGGACCAAGTCAACTCTATTTAGTAAGAATATTTGGTATTTAAACAATAAATGCAGGGCCAAAGTGTCAATTGTAATTGTTTGTAAATTTGACAAATTTTTTAAATATTCTTTTTATCGTCAGACAAATAAATTGACAAATCAATCGTAATTGTTTGTCAATTGTAATGTTTTCTTGACAAGGCTAACCTGACTGAGCTGAAGTCATTCGGGTCCCCTCCCTCTGGAGTGCCCAGCGTCATCGGGGCGGTGATGGTCCTACTCGCCCCCAACGGCAAGATCCCGAAGGACAGGTCGTGGAAAACTGGCAAGGTGGGCCACGGTACCGGCAAGGTGGGTCACGGTACCGGCAAGGTGAGTCACGGTACCGGCAAGGTGAGTCACGGTACCGGCAAGGTGAGTCACGGTACCGGTAAGGTGAGTCACGGTACCGGTAAGGTGAGTCACGGTACCGGCAAGGTGAGTCACGGTATTGGCAAGGTGGGTCACGGCATCGGCAAGGTGGGTCACGGTATCGGCAAGGTGGGTCACGGTACCGGCAAGGTGGGTCACGGTACCGGCAAGGTGGGTCACGGTACTGGCAAGGTGGGTCACGGTATCGGCAAGGTGGGTCACGGTATCGGCAAAGTGGGTCACGGTACCGGCAAGGTGGGTCACGGTACTGGCAAGGTGGGTCACGGTATCGGCAAGGTGGGTCACGGTATCGGCAAGGAGGGTCACGGTACCGGCAAGGTGAGTCACGGTGCCGGCAAGGTGGGTCACGGTACCGGCAAGGTGGGTCACGGCACCGGCAAGGTGGGTCACGGTACCGGCAAGGTGAGTCACGGTACCGGTATGGTGAGCCACGGTACCGGCAAGGTGGGTCACGGTACTGGCAAGGTGGGTCACGGTACCGGTAAGGTGAGTCACGGTACTGGCAAGGTGAGTCACGGTACCGGCAAGGTGATTTGCATGCCATATTAATTTGATGATTTTGAAACCACACTGCCACACTGATATATTTTTTATTAATGCGAATAATACTTTTGACTTCAGCGGAATTAATTAAAGTATAAACTGCGCTCATGCGTTACTCATAAAACTCAATTATCTCAATGACGCGCAGTTAATATAGAATGAAGAGGTTCTTCCTATCAAAGGACACTAATTTATTAGTTAAGAGCCTGGAAATGAATCACGATTTTTCTCGCTCTAGCGTATTCTAAAATGTAAATATAACTGGGACGTAACCAAAATCCAATAAGCTTCATTAGAGACTTAAGAGCTTTGCACTGAAACCAATGTTGTCTTTCACACTCCTTCGGCAGATGATGATGGCTAAAGTTGACCAATTTTTGGAACAGCTCATCAACTACAACAAAGAAGACATACATCCTGAAATTATAAAAGCAATTCAGCCCTATCTTGTTGACCCTGAATTCAATCCTGACTTCATCCGCACTAAGTCTATTGCGGCCGCAGGTAGGATTCACAAAAATCCACGAGTTCATCTCACATAAATGAATGTTTTGAAAAAGTCTGAATTCTATTTCGTTTTTATTTCAAACATTTTTGATTTATTTTTTTTCCTTCATATATAACAGCTACGGCTAATTTACCTGCCATACCCGATAAAATTTATTGAAGGAGTTAATCTTAATATATAAAAAGTGAATGCAATAGTATTACAAAGTATACATGATTTTCAATGTATCATTGATAGTTCCATGGAAATTCTCAAATAAAAATAACTTTTTCCATATGCGAGCAGCATTTTTCCCTGTTATTCCTCAAGATCAGCGGAACAATCATGACATTTTACCGCAGGACTCTGCTCGTGGGTCATCAACATCATCAGATTCTACGAAGTGTACTGCGATGTCGAGCCCAAGAGACGCGCTCTTGAAGAAGCCAACGCGGAGCTCTCCGCTGCTCAGTCTCGTCTTGCTGCCATCACCTCCAAAATTAAGGTCTCGTGTACGAAGATATTGAAGAAAATTTTCTTATAAGCACACTCAGAGAAACGATTGAGGATTTTTCCAAATATCTATCTACTTTTTATCAAAGTGTAGGTGGTCCACTTCAAGTTTTGGCCCGGCTAAAGAGCTTATCAGGACCAAAATAAAGTCCTGATAATACAATAATACCAAATAATAATAGTACACCAAAATATCGATGTACTTTTTATCCGAGTGTGGGTCGTACTCTTCCAGTTTTGGCCCGGAAAATAGCTTATTAGGGATGCTTTCGCTCTGTGCTCGTGCTGTGGGTAAGAAAGTTTATCATTATCTGGACAATATGACACACTAATTTACCTGAGTTCCTGCTATCCTGTATTATTGCAGGACCTGGAAGAGGAGCTGGCGCGGCTACAGGCGGAGTTCTCGAAGGCGACGGCGGAGAAGCAGCGCTGCCAGGAGGAGGCCGACGCCACGACGCGCACCATCACGCTGGCCAACCGCCTCGTGGGCGGCCTGGCCTCTGAAAAAGTCCGATGGGGCGAAGCTGTCGCCCAGTAAGTCCGTTGTGTTGCTAATAACATTTTATCCGCTCTTACAACTTAAAATTTGTAGTGCAGTAGTCTATTGTGTTGCTAGTAACTCTGCATCCGCTCTTGCAACTTGAAGATTCTCAGCATGGATAGTTTGTCGTGCAGTAAGTCATTGTGTTGCTAATAACTCTAAGTCATTGTGTTGCTTATAACGTTAAAAGTAATATATTTTCAAAGACTTAGCTCCGCGAAAAAAAGTTCATATGTTTTCTACTCACCGGAGAACTGGATCCTTTGCTCCAGAACTCTTTTGAGAACGTTGCTCCAGAACTTTACTCCTTTGCTCCAGAACTCTTCATTGTGTGCGTCGATTCCTGGCCGGCGAAAAGAATGAATAGGAAGCCTATGTAGCCTTTTTAAATAAAACTTGAAAAAATTATTAGCACTGTTTTAAATAATCGAAAGTAAGAGAGAGAATCTAGCTAAAATTAATGACAAAAGTACCAAGTTTCTTTTAATTCACTTAAATTTAATCTACATTAAATAGAAATAATTTTCTCGTGACAGTATATTACTGGGAGTTTTTAATAGATCATTCAGTGAAGAAAAATATATAAATGCTTCTATACTTCATTCAACCTTTGTTTCTGCTTGCATTTAATGATTATGGTGTTGAGGCTGTCTAAGAAGCCATTCAGTCAGATAAACATTAAAATTTACACGCCCGTATGTATTTCTCCATTGACTGAGGATAAATAAACATTAAAATTCTTGCATTTGTTGATAGACTTCGGAACCGCGAGCACACGTTGCCCGGGGATGTGCTGGTGGCGGCAACATTCACGTCGTACGTTGGCTGTTTCACCAAGCATTACCGTCACGACCTTCTGCACAAACACTGGCTGCCTTTCCTGCTCAAAAACCATGTCAGTCACCTCAAGTTTGTTGGTAATTCTGCATATATTTTTTCAATTTCGAAAAATATATTTTTAAAATATTTTGAAGTTGTAAATTGAAATGTTTCTTGATTTGATCTACGTTATAATTTTTACTTATGCAGTACTACGCTTTCCTGGGAGCAGGATATACATAAGCTATCGGGAAATTTATCCATTGTCCCCCTTGGTGAATTTTTCTTTATATTTTGCTAGATTTTAAGTAATTGTCATTGACGAACTTCCCCATCTGATATCACATTATTTTCTTTGGATTCATAAACACATTGGCCATCAGGTACTTGCCATATTGAAATTGCCGTGTATTTTTTAAGCCCAATAATTTATAGCGAAATCGCTGGGGTTAACAATCATTTTAGGTACTTCTTCTTTTCAATAAACTGAGTTGGATAACAGTACATCTGTAAAATTCATCCGACAGGAAATTCCCTCGATAATTAATCCTTTATTTATTCGTTTATTTGGATGGGGCGTTAATACCCGAATGCTCCTCAGATATTTCAATGATAATAATTTAAATTAACTTATTTAAATGAAATTCATGCACCCCATGCACAATTCCTTAATCTAAAAAAATTATGATACCTTAAATTTCTAGAGAATTTCGTTTGTTATCATTTTTATTTTATCCACTGAATTATGGAAATCTGCTTTGTATATATACTTCTTCTACCATTGTCTTAAAATGTTTAAAGTAGTATTATGCTCGATATAAATCTACTCGAACCGATTTTCATCAGGATAAGGATAGGTACTCAAATTCAATGCTAACGATGATAATTTTGAATGTATGAATGTTTAATTATTAAGTCGAATTAGTTTTTTTGTTTTTAAACCTTACATCCTACGTATATGCGTCCAGCCTGAAGTTGCCATCACACCAAATGTGGACCCGATGAGTTTGCTGGCCGATGACGTCACTATTGCGGGTTGGCACAACGAGGGGTTGCCCTCTGACAGAATGAGCACCGAAAACGCGGTCATCCTTACCAACTCCGACCGCTGGCCTCTTCTAATCGATCCCCAGGTACTGAATCTATTTAACTCCTAGAGGTTCTTTCCTTTTTGTTCTAAGATTTTTATGTTTTTGGAAACATAGACGTTTAAGGTAGTTTCTTCTACGGTACTCACAGCATGCTTGCTATTTGACTTTGATGTTTAAGCGTCCGTGCGGACATTGAATACATGTAAAAAGTATTGTAGTGCGTAAGTATTGTATATATAAATATGTGGGTATTTTGCAATGCCATAAAATTGATGCACCAATGCTTCTTTATCGACTTTCTCATCATGTTTCGTCTATGTCGTGTTATATAGATTGGGAAATCTGCAAGCATACAAATTATTACAATTCTCAGTAATGTACAAGGATTTATAACCTGCCACTGAATGTTTGGTCTGCAGCTGCAAGGAGTGAAATGGATCAAGGCGCGGTACGGCAGCTCGCTGGTTGTGCTCAGGCTTGACCAGCGCGACTGCTTGGAGACTCTGGAGGCAGCCATCACTGATGGCCGCACGGTCCTGCTGGAGAACCTTCCGGAGTCCCTCGACCCTGTGCTGGATCCTCTCATTGGCAGGAACCTCATCAAGAAGGGCAAGTAAGTTCCTCTTTAAGTAAATTCTTCTGCTTTGCAACTTTTGAAGATGACCCAAAGGTCATGAGCTCAAAATTGTCTAGACAGCAGTTATGGAAACAAGTTCTACGCACTTGCAAATGAGGCTAATTTTTCAAGCCCAGCAATTAACACTTATTTTCCGATTCTGAGGCACATTTCTGACCTCAGAATCGGTGGATAGGCTTAATCATTAATGCAGAAAAGTGTCTAAACAATTTCAAGAGACGATAAATGGGCGCCTGCTATTGCTAAAATTCTATGTGAAAATTGTTTAAATTTATTATTTGCTTTTTATTGGTAGAAGCTAATACACTTTTTTATCACATTTCTTTGGTTCTTCACTGGACTCAAGCTATGCGCACGTCGACGAACGTTTTTTATGTCACAGCGAATGATTTTTTGCAGCTAACAATTTCTTTTGCCAACGTGATACTGTTTTGTCTGCAGCTGTAATTTTTTCATCTTCCTCGAATTAAATCAGGTTAACTTTTTTCCACGAACTCAATACTCAGAAGTCATAACTCTGCTTTTGTGGTCAGAGCTCTCAAAATCGGGGACCGCGAAATAGAGTACAACTCGAGCTTCAGGCTCATCCTGCAGACAAAGCTAGCGAACCCTCACTACAAGCCTGAGCTGCAGGCACAGTGTTCCCTCATCAACTTCACCGTCACCAGAGACGGGCTGGAAGATCAGCTGCTAGCCGAGGTGGTCAAGTCTGAGAGACCTGACCTCGAGGAGACCAAGGTTATAATCAAACTTTTTTATGTTTTTAGCGCATTTTCTCATTTATGGAGAAAATGCACTATTGTGCTCGCCATGTCCGTCCGTCCGGCCGTCCGTCCGTCCGTCCGTCTGTCCGTCCGTCCGTGACTTCACGTTTTCGTCGACGAGAAAATGCGCGCTCTGTCACTCACTGCAGTGAGTACTGAGTTATATTGTTTCTCACTTTAATCAGAATTGCAACCAAAATTTCTTTATATGGCAAAACACTATAAAATTATAATTACATTTTCTATGATTTTTCAGAGTGTATATTTATGTAATGCAGCAAGCATAAATAAATTATTTATCATTATTTCATGACCGAAAGTAGATAAATGATGCAACGCACAGCCCGCTTTTCTCAATTCTAATGGTACGATACTGAATAGATTTGTATGATTAACTCGAGTACGGATGGATTTTTGAATATGACGATACTCTAGCTTAATGTGAAAATGAATTTGTGCTATATCGACATTTGCAACAACCTAGCATATTCTAATGTTGCTTAGTTCATTCTAATTTTGCTTAGTTCGGTCTAATTTTGCTTAGTTCATTCTAATGTTGCTTAATTCAGGGAAACCCTAGGAACCAAGGCTTTATAGCTCATTTCATTCAGTATAATTTTCAATCGATGAATGGGTTGACGTTGAACTAATTGACTCCGTATATTTTATTTACGGCAGTATTTATATTTTTAAGATTCATCATTTCATACCTAACCGCAATTTGTTCTTCCTCACACAGTATCAACTGACAAAGCAGCAAAATGACTTCAAGATTCAACTGAAGAATTTAGAGGATGATTTGTTGAGTCGCTTGTCATCGGCTGGTGGCAACTTCCTGGGCGACACAGCGCTGGTGGAGAACCTCGAGCACACCAAGGCAACCGCCAAGGAAATACAGGAGAAGGTAATGAACATTTGATGGCTCCGCTAATATTACTAAGAATTAACTTGGCATCAAGGTCTCCGTTAACATTACTATGAATTAAGTGAGTATCAAGGTCTAATGAAATATATTATTGACATAACTTTGCATAACTTTAATTAACTAACAAAAAACTATAATGATATCGTCAGATCACACATTGTGTTAGATGAAATTCAGGCCGGTACGTCAGTTCGCAATAGTTTTATGATGGCGAACATTTCGATCGTCGCAGGTTAGCAAGCACGTTTAAAATACATTAAATTAGTTAATATTTAAGATATCGCTGTAATCATTAAGACGAGTGGAATTAATACAAATTTAATGTGAAAAAATAAATATGCGAGTCTTCGCAGTCCCGATTTCCGAAACATTTTCAATGACGATGTAGTGAATTTGCTTGGCATGTTATTTGCTTTTAAATTTTCGATGAACTACAATGTAGTAGAACTGAATAATACCGCAGATAACCGATATAAAATAATGTATACCGCAGGTAACCGATATAAAATAATATATACCGCAGGTAACCGATATAAAATAATATATACCGCAGGTAACCGATATAAAATAATATATACCGCAGGTAACCGAGGCTCTGGATACCAGCCGTCGTATCGACGAAGCTCGTGAGCTCTACCGCCCTGCCGCCGCCCGCGCCTCGCTGCTCTACTTCATCCTCAATGATCTACACAAGATCAACCCTATCTACCAGTTCTCGCTAAAGGTTACCTAATACAATGCTCTACCTACCAGTTCTCGCTAAAGGTTACCTAATACAATGCATAATCTCAGGTGTTTTTCTACTAGTCCAGACTTGAGGAATTTGTTTTGCAACTCACCTATATCGTTTCAGTTGTGACCAAACAACTTTGGATCATTTGTGACCAAACCATTTTGGGCCAGCCATCAGTTGGCCGCTGATGGTTGTTATATGTGTCCATATGGCCCGACCTAATCATTCATCTCATGAAATGCGTGTAATCGATTATATCTTCCACATTATTCCTACCATTCACTTCATTAATAATCAACTACAATAATCCACTCCAATTTCCAGTTCTTGCTGTATGTTTTTCTATGCTTCAGTTTAAATTGAGAAATTTCGATCAGAATTTTTATCAGCTTTACTTAAGTTACCCACTTTATTGGTTTGGGATTGATGAATTTATTTGCAAGTTACTTATTCAAAAGTCCGATACCTCGTGTGGTCCAGCGCTTGAAATTACCGAACCATCTACCAAGTTAAACTGCCTTTTTACAACACTTCTCTTTAACTACACTTCTTGTTTGTCTGTCTGTCTGTCTGTCTGTCTGTCTGTCTGTCTGTCTGTCTGTCTGTCTGTCTGTCTGTCTGTCTGTCTGTCTGTCTGTCTGTCACCGCAGTCCTGTGTACAACCCCGCAGTCCTGTGTACAACACCGCAGTCCTGTGTACAACCGTGCAGTCCTGTATACAACCCCGCAGTCCTGTGTACAACCGTGCAGTCCTGTATACAACCCCGCAGCCCTGTGTACAACCCCGTAGTCCTGTATACAACCCACCAGTCCTGTGTACAACCCCGCAGTCCTGTGTACAACCCTGCAGTCCTGTATACAACCCCGCAGTCCTGTGTAAAACCCTGCAGTCCTGTGTACAACCCCCCAGTCTTGTGTACAACCCTGCAGTTCTGTGTACAACCCCTCAGTCCTGTATACTACCCCCGAAGTCAAATTCTTCTTCCTTTTTATGTTAAATTAACTGCTTTTCACTTCTTAATTGTGAAAGATGCTCTGCATTTTAACCTTGAATAATCCTGCTGGATTTGTTTTAAATTAATACCTTTATTTCGGGTAGGCGTTCCGCGGTAATTTCACGACATAATTTTAGAATAATCTCTACATTTTAACCTAGAATTATCTCGCTTGATTTGTTTTAAATTAATATCTGTAATGGTGGCAGGCGTTCCGCGGCCTCTTCCACAAGAATTAATACCTTTTAATTAATTAATTAAGAATTAATACCACAAGAATTAATACCACAAGAATTAATATCTGTAATGGTGGCAGGCGTTCCGCGGTGTGTTCCACAAGGCGATGGCGCGCAGCCCTGCCAGCGACGACGTAAAAGTTCGCGTCGCGGCGCTCATCGCGAACATGACGCACAGCGTCTTCCTCTATACCAGCAGGGGGCTGTTCGAACAGGACAAGCTCATCTTCGCCACGCAGATGACGTTCCAGGTGAATATGACACGCATGTTGACGTTCCAGGTGAATATGACACGCATGTTGACGTTCCAGGTGAATATGACACGCATATTAACGTTCCAGGTGAATATGACACCCATATTGACGTTCCCGCCCGTCCCTCACATGACATTAGATCTCAGTTGAAGTCATTGTCGAGCACTCTTTATTGGGAAAAGATCCCATACCCTCTCCGAAAGATACCATACCCTTTCCGAAAAGATCCTCAATCACAAATGTTTCTAAATTCATAAGAGACTTTTCTTCCCACGGGTTCTTGTTTCTAGCTATCCTATAATTCTCTTACAATTGCATGCGTCATTGCAGTGGTGTCATACTATGGCAGATCTTAGCGATTTCGGGCGAGATAGCGCCGGGAGACTTGGACCTGCTGCTGCGGTTCCCCACAACCCCCAACGTGGTAAGCCCAGTGGACTTCCTTTCACACACCAACTGGGGGGCCATCCGCTCCCTCTCGCAGCTCGACGAGTTCAGGTGAAATAAATATATTCATAAGTTGCTTCTATTAAGTAATTATTGCTTATAAATTTGCAAATAAAGTAAAAAAAAGTCTTTGAACCTTATAATTTCCGTTAAAAATACACACAATCATTGAATTATTCATTTTAGAAGTTAAACTTAGTCTCTCAGTTCAACAAGTCAAATTCTTATAGTCAAAATCTTATTTTCTAAACCCTTAACTAGCAAAAAATTTTTAAATTTAATTCGGGCACGAACTAAATTTGTCGAGAATTCAGAGCAGTACATGAGCTAATTTATGAACATTCATTGCGCTGACGCTGGTTCGGTGGCACAGGAACCTGGACCGCGACATCGAGCAGAACCCGAAGCGCTGGCGCAACTGGTGCGAGAGCGACGCGCCTGAGCGCGTACGTCTGCCTGCGGAATGGAAGACGCGCACAGATCTCCAGCAGATCTGCATCATGCGCGCCCTGCGCCCTGACCGCATGACGCATGCCGTACAGTGAGTGCACAACGCGCGTCATCATGACAGTGCACGTGCCGTGCTGTGGTGCATGACGCATGCCGTGCAGTGAGTGCACAACGCGCGTCATCATGACAGTGCACAGTGCCGTGCTGTGGTGCATGACGCATGCCGTGCAGTGAGTGCACAACGCGCGTCATCATGACAGTGCACGGTGCCGTGCTGTGGTGCATGACGCATGCCGTGCAGTGAGTGCACAACGCACGTCATCATGACAGTGCACGGTGCCGTGCTGTGGTGCATGACGTAGCATCTGTTGCGGCATTGCATGCATAAAAGCTGTGTTAGGTTGATTAAACTGCTGTGAAGATTTCAAATGGTGAATTAAAGCTTGTAAAGTCAACCAAAGTTGTCATCATCGGCTCCAATGAATTTTAGACTGTCGCTTGAAAAAAAATTGTTTCAATCAAATGGTACAGAATTTATCTTATCCCTGTTTCATATAACAGAGGTTGCATTTCCGTTAGCATTTATTTTGTTGATCTTGAATAAATCAAAATATTCCGATCAAAATGTGTTGAAATGAGAAATCATTTCGACAAAGTCATTTTCGTTCAACACGAAATGCAACGCTACTTTAACTTAAGAAACCCGGTTAAAAATATATTATTCGCTGCTTTAATTACATGAAGTAAACCGTATCAATGATGTGAATTTTCACAGGTTATTCATAGAAGAGCACATGGGTAGTCAGTACGTGGACGGCGAGGCCATCGAACTGTCGCAGAGCTACGATGAGTCGGGGCCTGCGACCCCCATCTTCTTCATTCTGTCTCCCGGAGTGGACCCCCTCAAGGTTAGAGAGGGGGACCATCTTCTTCATCCTGTCCCCCGAGGTGGACCCCCTCAAGGTTAGAGAGGGGGACCATCTTCTTCATGTCTGTCTGTGTCTGTCTGTGTCTGTCTGTGTCTGTCTGTGTCTGTCTGTGTCTGTCTGTGTCTGTCTGTCTGTATTATTTATCTATATTATATTATTTATATTATTTATTAGTTATATTATTTTTTTATTTATCTTCTGTCATCCATGCTACACTTTTGCGTTTATTAGTTTATTTATTTCATTACTTCTAAATTTGTGTTTTCGTTTTTTTTTTGCAGAATGGCTCCGAAAGAAGGACTTGAAATGATCATCATTAGTAATCGACAATGGGCTTAAAGAAAACCCACGGTTGATATTCTGGTTTTGTACTTAATGATAGTTTGTTTCAAGCATTATTTTTGTTCATTAATTCAGTTTCGTTAATTCTCCCATTGTTGATACCAACAATTATTTATTTTTATTTAATTTTTTATCAATATTAATTATTGTCTGTCTGTGTCTGTCTGTGTCTGTCTGTCTGTGTCTATCTGTGTCTGTCTGTGTCTGTCTGTGTCTGTCTGTCTGTGTCTGTGTCTGTCTGTCTGTCTGTGTCTGTCTGTCTGTGTCTGTGTCTGTCTGTCTGTCTGTCTGTCTGTCTGTCTGTGTCTGTGTCTGTCTGTCTGTGTCTGTCTTCTCTTATACACATCTAGATGTGTATAAGAGACAGGAGGTGGACCCCCTCAAGGTTAGAGAGGGGACCATCTTCTTCATCCTGTCCCCCCGGGGTGGACCCCCTCAAGGTTAGAGAGGGGACCATCTTCTTCATCCTGTCCCCCGGGGGGGGTGGACCCCCTCAAGGTTAGAGAGGGGGCCAGGTTACTTCTAGGTAAGGTAACATTAAAATTAATTTATTCACTTCTAATCATTTTCTCGTGCGTTCGCAGCAATAATGTTCCAGAATTCTCTAAGAACTTTTCTCTGTTATTATTCTATCCAACGAACGAAGGAATAAATTTAATTTTTATGTCATCTTATTATCTTTCTGTATGTTCAACCTTCCAACAAATTTACAAGTACAACTGATGTGCAGGAGGTGGAGCAGCTGGGCCAGCGTCTGGGCTTCACATGTGACAACAAGAAGCTGCACAACGTGTCCCTGGGGCAGGGCCAGGAGCGCGTCGCTGAGATCGCTCTCAAGACCGCGTCCGCTGAGGGACACTGGGTTATCCTTCAGGTATTACAATAAGATTTTTTTAATTCATTCTATAAGTTATATTTTTATTTCTATAAGTCTGGTATATAAATGAACGTGGGACAAGATTATTCTTGAGGCAAGCTGAATTGAAGTAATCGAAATCCATTCAAGATTCGCAATTTTCTTTGGTTCACACGTATAGTATAGTCTTGGACGAATGATTACTTTGCTAGTCAAGTTTGCTAAATAACTTTGGTAAAATATTGTTAGATAAGTTATTGATTGACTATTTTTGTTGATTGATTAATTGTTGATAAGTTGTTGAAAATTGGTAAAATATTATTAGCGAGCGAAATCAAAGCAATGAAAAAAGCTAGATTACAGATGCAACTTTAAATTCAAAAGTATATTTGAAAATTTGAATGTAGATAGCTTTGCTGTATCATTATACGAGTCACAACTGATACTGGAAGAGCAATGGTTTGCACTAATATGGACATCGCCTAGATAAATTACTTACGATGTGTGGCAGAACATCCACCTGGTGAAGAGTTGGCTGCCGCGGCTGGAGAAGAAGCTTGAGGCGTACGCTGAGACAGCTCACCAGGACTACCGGGTCTTCATGAGCGCTGAACCCGCCAACCGGGCCGAGTCCCACATCCTCCCTCAGGTGACTAGCAGACAATAAAGGCGTCTCAGTTTTTTTATAATCACGGGATTTTTGGAAGTTTTCCGGCAAATTGTATCAACTAATTCCTAACGGAAGTCAACCCATGCCGCGTTCGAACGTTGGAGGTCCACAATCTCTTCTACTTAATGTAGACTCCTCCCATTTAACTTAATTCTCTCGGAATTTTAGTTTCCTTAGAAGTGAAAATTTACCAGAACTGCCTGATGTTGTAACATTTTTCTGTTATAACACTTATTTCGCATCATTTTTGTTATCAGGTAGCTAATGTCAAGCGTCCCTAGTAACTCGGTCTTGATTTCTACCTAAAAGTGCTCGCTCGTCAAAGAAGCACTTTCGTCAAAATAATACTCTATTCTGTCGATTTTTCTTTGCAGGGCATTCTGGAGTCATCAATCAAGATTACGAACGAGCCTCCGCGCGGCATGCAAGCAAACCTTTTGAAGGCTCTTGGAAACTTCTCGCAGGACACGCTGGAAATGTGCTCCCGGGAGACGGAGTTCAAATCTCTTCTATTTTCATTGTGTTATTTCCACGCCTGTGTGGCTGAGAGACGCAAGTTTGGCTCTCAAGGCTGGAACAGACCTTATCCCTTCAACACAGGTAAATTAAATGCTGAAGATCCCTATAATTTTTCTATTTATTCTAGATTCTTGTTTCATATATCACCCACTTTCCGCGAATGAGCTACAACCAACTAACCTCAATAGACAACAGCTAGTTGTCTACAACAACTCCACATATGCGTCATTAAGCAACGCTGCCACATTTTATAGGATAATTATTCTTCGAACCTGACAGGAGACCTGACGATCAGCGTCCACGTCCTCTACAATTATCTAGAGGCCACCAACAAAGTTCCATGGGAGGACCTGAGATATCTTTTCGGGGAGATCATGTACGGTGGACACATCACCGACGACTGGGACCGCCGTCTCTGCATCACCTACCTCGAGGAGTTCATTCGACCCGACCAGGTGCGCTTGCAGTATTTTGCAGTCAACGTGCGGTGAAATAATGAATGAGAAATCTTTTGCAGAAAACCCTGTCTAAATTTGGCATCTTTTTGTGTTTTTAGTTCTTCGATTATGGAGATATCAAAGTTACAACGAAAGAAACTACATCACTCAAGTTCATGTAACAACCTGTTTTTTATTCTTTTTGTTAAAAAAGTGAACAGATTCCTCATATTTTTGTGCCTGGAAAGTATACTTGAATTCCGTTTGTTTAGGCTTTTTCTTGTTCTTAATAGTTCCGCTGATAATTTTTATTTCCTACTAGAAGTAATTGCGTAGCTTTCTGCTAGTCTTGAGTCTGGAAAACTTGAATTGACCTCCAAATAAATAAAAGACATAGACGTTTTCATCCCCTTGTTCTCCAATTCCAGCTCTCGGGCGAACTAATGCTGGCTCCAGGCTTCCCAAGTCCCCCATCCCTGGACCACGCAGGGTACCAGCAGTACGTGATGGCAAGCCTGCCCTCCGAGTCTCCTCACCTCTACGGCCTGCCACCCAACGCTGAGGTTGGCTTCCTCACGAGGACTTCCGAGCACCTCTTCAGGACGGTGTTCGAACTCCAGCCTCGGGATATGGGCGCCTCGGGGGGTGTGGTCATCACCAGGGAAGACAAGGTTAGGTATAGGAAGATGAAGATAAAACGGTTCCAGTCGCCCCTGCGTATCCAAAATGAATTAACTCTGCTTAATTGGAGTTACAGAAAGGAAATTTGTTACCAAATTCAGTGAGGTGCTGTTAATCTTGAAGCGAATCCAGTTTATTTTGAATAGTTTCATCCCGTGTGATTCTCCTCCACTAGATGAAAAAAAGTGGTTACATACTTCGTAACAAAACAGATTTGCGCAGTTTACTCTTTATTCTCTCATACTCCGACTGACTGTCAGCATTTCCTCTTCTTGGAGAATGTTTCTCTATGGGTAGTGGCTGGAACTGAATCGCTATTACTGATTTCAATTCGATCTAACTTTTCATTTCCCTGATTGATTTAATTAATTATTGTGTTTCATTCTTTAAACAAGTAAATTGAAAATTAAGTGTAACCTTATGTTTTACACAATATAAGCCAAGGGTTTGAACTGTCACTGGATGAAATCAGTTGCATATCATTTGCATTGTAATCTGCAATTAGAAGTGGGATTTGCTCATGCTCAACATTTAACGCTCACAACTCTTGCCTTTTTGAATCCACATGACGTTGTTAAGTACTAGTACTTGGAGGTTCATTCTAATAAAATTAATGTATTTTTAAATCATTTTCCTTTTATTCAGGTAAAACAAACCCTGGACGAGATTATTGAGAAGCTGCCTGAGCAATTTAACATGGTTGAGATCACGAGCAAAGTAGAGGAGAGAACCCCGTACGTGGTCGTTGCCTTCCAGGAGTGCGAGAGGATGAATCTCCTCACAAGCACCATCAAAAGTTCACTCAAGAACCTCGACCTCGGCTTCAAAGTGAGCTTTTCCATCAGATACTAAAACAAGTAATTTCACATCTTGCTATTTGTCCTTCCTAACAGCTGTTGAACCAATAAATTAGGCTCCTGGAATTAGGGTAAGCTCATCTCTCGAACTTTATGTAAACTCATTTTCTAAACCATTAGAACAATTAAATGTTAGACCAGTATGCTCTTTTTCTGCTTCACATGTTCCAGTCTGCCAAACCTTTCCATAAATTTCGGCTTCTTCGTGAACTTAATGACATAACAGTTCAAATATACACTATATAACTTCTCGTCCAGTGGAGGAAAAAACATTCTCCTGATAGCCCAAGTTTTTTGCTACTTGAGGTAGAAATATTATGAAAATCCAGTCTTTAATTTCGCAATTTTCACCTTGCTTTTGGTCTACTGTGTTCTGTCATTGTGAGAGTGCAAGCTGTCGGTCATTGCTAAGCCAACCTTGAAGGCAGGTTTTATGTACAAGTTTCCAACTTAAAAATAAAAATGCTCACTGACTAATCAGTTAGCGCGTATTGGTAACCACTTCCGGAAAGAAGATATTAAAGAATATCTAGAATGAGTGCTTACAAAAAAATTATTTGTTGATTTCATAGGGTGAGCTGAAGATGACAGCCGCCATGGAGGAGCTTGTGGAGGCCCTTTTCCTGGACCAAGTCCCCGACGTTTGGGCCAAACGTGCGTACCCTTCGACCCACGGCCTCACTGCCTGGTACGCTGACCTCCTCCTCAGGGCCAAGGAACTCGAGTCCTGGGTCTCAGATTTCACCGTGAGTGTCCCAGTATTCATAGCGTAATTTCAATGATGCACATCATAATGCATGGTCATCAATAACATAGTGCAAAAATTCAATACAATACGGTTGACCTGCGTATTAGTTACCTTATAGTGATCTCAGTAATATCAATTTTTAAACGGTCCATATTATTGCATGAATAAATCATAGATCAAGTCCTTGAGCAATGTAATCACAATTTATAGATAATCTATCACAGAATAAGTCTACACTAGGCCGATGCTAGCAGACGATTGCAACTCAACGCTACCAATAATTTGCAATAAACAATATTACATTAAAAGGAGGTTCCTTGTCGAGAAATAAAAATATCTATGCATTACTAAGTCATATTCTAACAATATATAAAATATAGACAAGAAAACTCGAATCTTTTTGAAGTTGAATCTTTTAAGTCCAGCCAATACTACGTTCTTAAAAAAAATATTTCACAAAGTTCGTGTTCCGTCACACTGTATTAAAAAAAAACATTTTCTCCAGCTGCCGTCGTCGGTGTGGCTCGCAGGCTTCTTCAACCCTCAGTCATTCCTGACTGCTGTGATGCAGAGCACTGCACGGCGCTGTGAATTGCCACTGGACCAGATGTGTCTGCAGTGCGAGGTCACAAACCTCACAAAGGAGCAGTGCACGTGAGTGACGTGTGCTGTGCACATTAAAACTTTTTCATGCACTGCATTCAGTTTCAAATAATTAGTAAATTATAATTTAGTTGCCCTTAATAATATAACGCCTAAGCATATTGAAATGTAATTAAAACGACAGGATATTTAAATGACAGAATCCTCAAAATGTTTATTTCTTCAATTCAGACAAAATAAACCCTCACGAGAACAGCTGCATAGTGGCTGGGGAGACCGGAAGAAATTAATGTTCATGATTTTTCACGCAGGACTGTAATATTCATTAATTTTCTCGCACGGCATTTCTTCGTGATTATTTCCCCTGTAATACTCAATAATGTTCTCGCAGAGCTCCGCGCGAAGGCTCGCACGTACACGGGCTGTACCTGGAAGGGGCGTCATGGGACCTGGCGCAGTCTGTGCTCGTAGACTCCAGACTCAAGGAGCTGCACCCACAGATGCCGGTGCTGCTTATCAAGGTGCCCAGTCTATACAAATTTCTTCTGTGTCTCTAGTTTTAATAATTCTAGTCTAAATGTTTGAACTTTTGGACATAGATAGGTGCTGCTTATCAAGGTCCCAGTCTATACAAGTTTCTTCAGCGTCTCTACTCTTAATAGTTCTAGTCTAAATGTTTGAACTTTTGGACATAGATAGGTGCCCAGTCTGAAAGGTGCCCAGTCTGGACAAGTTTCTTCAGCGTCTCTAGTTTTAATAATTCTAGTCTAAATGTTTTAACTTTTGGACATAGAAAGCAGGTTGCAAAAGCTTTTAGTCTAAAAGCTTGAGATTTTGGCATTGACAGCAGTCAGCAGCTTCAAAGACTTGTTGTTCAAACGCTTAAAATCATGGCCATTAATAGCAGTTTGCAAAAACATGTAGTCTAAAAGCTTGAAACGTTGCCCATTAAAATTAGGTTTTTCATCGAACAACGTTTGTAATCTTAAACTTACTTAATATGAGCTTCTTCATCAAACAACGCCTGCAATCTTGAACATTGCAATCATATTCAAATCAAACAATACTTCAAATCTTGACCAATACAATAAGCTATTTTAGCAAACAATGCTTGACATCTTGGTCAAGAAAAAATCTTTGTCGTCAATCAATGCGTAAAATCTTGACCATTAAAATAAGGCATTTCAGCTAACACCTCATTATGATTCAATTGAATGTTCATTAATCTCACTCCATATCGCATTTCGTATGATCTAAATTTTGATTACCGGTTATTTCTTCGTGATCCTCTTTCTTTGCATACTTTTTTAGTCTTTAATACTGTAATCTTGTGCCCTGAAATCCAATCTGCTGCATAATTACTTGTAATTTAATAGTAAAATGGGCGTAATTATCCAATTTTGCTTGTGATGCACTGAAAATTCTCGCCCCGTTATACGTAGCGGGTAAGACTTTCTTTGAAATTAGAAAAATCTACGTATGAGCGATAATAATTCTATAGATATTGTGAGGCATGGTATGAACTAAGAGCTTCTTCTTTTAACATTCTACCGCCGTATGTCACTCTCCGGGAACATAACTTTCAACTTAAATTATACGTGAACTATTGAGCGTAGCAACCTGAGGACGTTTGTACGCAACAGAGAACATATAAAGTTGTCGTACGTGGCGGCAACCATCAGTGCAAGTCATTTTGCGCTCACTAGCAACGTATCCTTTTTAGAATAGAATAGAATAGAATAGAAGTGTAGGCACTGAAGAAATAGGCCCATGGCCTGTTGCCGATTCTTGAATTTTTCGTGACTTGATTCACAAGGAATCCAGCCTTTGGAACCATAACTGACTGACCAGCCATTGGAACCATCTTTCCATAACTGACGATTGATTGAGATAGCTGCTGGACTCATTGCCTGATCCGTAATTTGCTAGGCATTTTAAGACTGAACATATGCTCCTGCATAGCTTCGTCTGGACTTATTGCCTGGTCCGTAATTTGCTAGGCATTTTAAGACTGAACATATGCTCCTGCATTGCTTCGTCTAGCCTGTTCTTGAAAGCGTAGATAACTTGATACTCGGAGCGTCAACGATGCTATCAGGGAGGCTGTTCCGCATGTCGGTGACTCGAAGCGAGAAGAAATGATGTCGCATACATGTGTTACAACGCAGTTTATTTAGTTTATAGCTGTGGCCCCTGGTGTTGGTTCTTGTAAGTAAGCTTGTGACAATATTGCTCCGGTTACTCGTGTCAGGCGGTATAGGGTTAAGCACACCTACTGCCGAACGATGTCGCTCAATAAATATTGACATTAACCAAGCAGTTCGTGAAAAGATAATTTGTTGGTTATCGTAATTCTTAGGGTAGTTTTATTTTTTACTTGAAGCTCTTATCATTGCAGATATATTATTGCTCACTGAACTCATTGAGTTCTAAAGGAGCTAGAACGCATCAGGCATTGAATTTCTTTCCGGCCCTCATAAATCTTTCAATAAAGATTATTGATGACGCGTGCCGAGTCATGGATAGCATTCACGTCTGAAAATCAACAATTATTGATTACTTGTGCCGGGTCATGGATAGATGCTGGCAGGGTGGCCCAGTGGTTTCAGTTCAGATTACTAAAATTGGAGCAGAGGTGCGGGTTCGATCCCAGCTACCTGCGACAGTTTCTGGTCAGAATCGGATAGGAGGCCGGGCGATTAGGCACCGCCGAATTGGAGCAGTGAGTTTCGTGTTCGAGACCCGCAACGAACTGTGAATGTTGGTCTGACTGTTTAATCGACTGGTCCGACTGCTTAATCAACGCTGAAACCGCTTTCATTTTTGTTTATTTTTTTATTATAGAATTCACGTCTCATAATCAAAGATATGCCTGGGTGTTGCTGCCCAAATTATTTGTAAGTTCCTCACTAATTTTGATATTTTATCGTGTATCTTCGATATTTATTTCAAAATTAATGTTCAATTTTTTCCGAAACGAATGAATTTAGTTTTGCGAACCAGAGTCTCGTCACCGCTGTTCATACTGAGGTCACGTTTAAAATTACTAGCTAATTCCTTAAATATTATTCTCATTACATATTTTAATTCGTAAAATTAATATGGATACGGCCAGTGCCATGAAGTTCGTACATGTGATTTACTGTACAGATTTTAATTAACTGTCATATTTGATAAATAAAATAGTCTGTATGCGTATGCAGATCAGAACCACTGACGTTTATCATAAACAAACAATGACTTTCTATCCAGGCGGTGACCCAAGACAAGGCTGAGAGTCGGAACCAATATCTGTGCCCTCTGTACCGCACGCGCCAGCGCGGCCCTACCTACATTTGGACGCTCTCCCTCAAAACTAAAGAGAGACCCTCGAAATGGGTTCTGGCGGGGGTCTGTCTACTGCTGCAGGTCTAACACTCTCTCCCTCAAAACCAAAGACTGACCCTCGAAATGGGTCCTGGCGGGGGTCTGTCTACTGCTGCAGGTCTAACACTCTCTCCCTCAAAACCAAAGAGAGACCCTCGAAATGGGTTCTGGCGGGGGTCTGTCTACTGCTGCAGGTCTAACACTCTCTCCCTCAAAACTAAAGAGAGACCCTCGAAATTGGTCCTGGCGGGGGTCTGTCTACTGCTGCAGGTCTAGCATGAAGGTCTGCCTTCTAGTTGACGAGGCTATCTGCTTCTGTTGTTCTCATATTAAGGGCCTGACTTCTGGGTATTAATGTCTTTCTGCTTCTGTAGGTCTTATGTAAATGCCAGGCATAAAGTTGTTGAGGTTTGTCTGCTTCTGCATGTTTAAAATTCTGTATTAGTCCGCGTTGTGGTTTCTGAAGTTCAGACGTCTGTCAGATTGTGTAGTTACGGTGCTTGAATCCATTTTTGGGTCCTTTGTTGGGATGATCTCATAAATATGATTAATTACACACAAGTCATTGTGTCGTGTGGGTAATCAGGTTTTATTATAATCGTAATATCCGTTCTTGTTCGAGTGCAGTGAAAGTACGACTTGGCTTATTCGGGTATAAAAAGCTTGTTAATGTACATGCAACTTAATCATTGTTCTGTTATCGCTTGAAATTTCTAAAAATATCCCATCTCTATTATCTATGGAATTGAAGTGTTTGCTCTAGATTGCTGTTTAATGTTATAACTGATGATCCTTTGAAGGCATTTATGCTGCACATGTAGTTACTTGCGCACAAACTAATTTATTTGAAATCTTTTACTTTAATGCGCATACATTAAACTTGTCCATACTTAAGTATCCGATAACCTCCTGCACTAGCACCACGCTAAAACTTCGGATGTTAGTTAAATTGTTTACAACGCATAATAAAAAAACATGTGGGAAATGACCGATATTTAAAATATTTCAAGTCTATATTATGCCTCGCTAATATTATTAGGTTATAATATGACAGTAGTTATTCGTCTTTAAACTTTCAATTTTTACTTATAAATGCACAAACCCGAACCGGAGTGAGGAGGAAAAGTATTTCATCTTTGAGGGACTCCGATATTTTGAATGCATCATAGATGTCGGATGACTGAATTCCAGCACTCTTTGTTCATGCAATATTGGCGAATTTATTACTATATATCCTTATACCGAATTGTCTCTTAGTGATTCCTTCATTATACAATTAGTGTGTTATGTTTTAATGCATTTATCCATATTATAAATGTAGGTAGGCAACTATATATCATTCTATTGATCTGTAAGGATTTAAATGCGATGAATATGATAATCTTTACCGAAATATTCACACTGCTCGTAATCCTCTGAACCAATATTGTTATTAGCGTTACTGATTCTGCTGCTGAAAATACTATGATATACATGACAGTAGTTCATGAAATTCATTAATTCGTTTTAACTACCTGGCTGTTCATATCTCTCCCCCACTCAAAGAACGGTGATAGAAGATGACTATTTGATGCACATATACATCACACTAGCACTCAGGACTGAGGAAGCATAATAACCCGTATTAGTATTACGATTTGTTTTTGACGCCTTTCTCCTCTTAAAGAAATGGAATTCTGATGTTTTGCATTAAGCTTTACATGGTTGAATGATAAAACGTTTAAAGCAGTCCATTAACTGGAGTACCAGTTAACAATAACAATTAAAAAAATTAATTGTTATTGTTAGAAGTCAAGCATTTCGAAAATACCAAGCTAATACTCATTTCAAAATAAATGTTGTTTGAATCTACTGACAGTCGTACTATTACTGAAGAAGAAGTGTTTCCTGCGACTACATCGACACGTCCATTTACTCAGCACAACCTTCCCTTCGCATGCGTCTTAGGCAGGATTTACCAGCAAAGGTACAAAATCAATTCATTCAATAAATTGTCGTACCTCACAAATGGAAATCCAGTTGAATTCGACGATTTGTTAGCAAACTCGAGCCTTCACACACGAGGGGTCACACTTAAAATTTGAAGACGCTGAACTGCAGAGCACGAGGCGAAAAATGGATCAATCGAATGCCATTGAGAATCGAGTGATTCCGTAATTTTAGGAGCTGACATAGTAATAGAATGTCACTATGTATGATATCATTGGTGTCAAAATAAACTTGAAACATTGCGTTTGAGACAGATCTACCCGATGTCGGCTTAACCATGTTCAACGATCTTATCTCCTGTTATTTCTAGTGAAACCTGACGATCGCTTCAGTTTTCATAGGTACAACATTTATATCTCAGAAAATATTCAACATAGAGAGTGCGGAGTGGTTAAATGAGGAGTATTAAACAATTATTAAATGCAAATCACCACTCCGTACTCGAAATATAAATCGGCACTCGCTAACAGAGCTTACAGCTAAACGACCGCTTACGGTTTAACTGGTTCAACGCTTAAAAGGTACCTACTGTATATCTCACAGACATCCTCTTCGAGATTCGAGATGGCATCCAAGCCCCCACTCCCAGGTTCCGTATAACGGCCTACGGGTTCTGCTATCGGACGGACGTATGGCTAGCTGTTCGGTTGTTACTTGTTAGGGTACTCGACGCCATTCGTTCGGTTTCCTTGACAATTTAAAGAAACTTGACATTCGATAATAAATTTTTGTGGGTCTCATTTGGAGCAAAATCACATATTCATACGCTCTGTTTAGTTTTCCTAATTTATTTGTCGTTCGGAATGTTCGCTACTTAATTCTTTTTCGTTCGCCGCCCCTGAGGCTGAGCGTGTGCTGCAATGGCAAACGAAACAGGGGTTGGCTTCTCCCGTCATAGTGGCGGCCAATTTTGATGTAGGGGACTACTGACTAGGGGTATATCAATAAGGTGACTGATGTGAGAGATCCTACTTTTGAGCTTTTAGAGGAAGACAGCTCTGACGGAAGATGCAAGTGCTACTTTTTGTTCAGTTGTCCATACAGCTGCAGGCGCCAGGGAGGTAAGAAGCGGGAATGCAATTCTGGCTCAGTTGCCAGCAGTGAAGCCAGTGAACAGTGATGATGACATTGAAGTCTTTCAACATAATAAGAGAGTTGCAAAACATGTCCCTCACCCTCCCGTCGATCATACCCGTTGATCACGATTGCTGTGTAGACCACTAGTGCCTTCCACGTCGATGCTGCTGGCCATGCATTGGAGCTGTGACCGTATTAGTTGCGGTGCTGAACTGCTGCCGCCGACGCTGCTGCTTGTAGATTTCTTCTCGAAGTTTATCTTCTTGACGATGGCTTTTTTTAAGTATAGCTGTGAAGAAGCCTCTATATGAGGTTACCGATGATGTGGTACCGATGATAGGTCTGGTTTCCTGCTCCGCGTTGTAGAGAGCTTGATCAACAAAAATTCTTGCAATTTTAATTGAAGATTTTCGGATGGCTGTTATACTACAAACGGCATTAATTTTTGCATGGTTTAGCGGAGAAAATTGACATCAAAAAAATTCACGTGCTGCGTCGATCGTTTTCGCCGATCTATAGGTCATGATTATCTCATATTGACCTATTTAAAAGTGATGGCAAAGGAACCATCCTGGCTGTGCCTCAACAGCATATCGCGGGCATTATTTGACTGCATTATTTTCCCGCGATCATTTGTCAATCCCGTAACAGCAAATTGAATTTGCATCGTCCAATCATTGTCGGACGTTTCCTTCTGCAGTGCCTAGCTGACAAGGCGGCTCACCTGCCAATACTTTGCCTCCGATATTGGGCAATTTTAGCTGGTGAAAAAAAAATATATTGAATTGAAGCTCGTAGTATTACCGTCTCCGTCGTTGATGTGAAGACATCGTCGCAGGCGTTGCGATGGTGGATGTAGGGACGGGCGCTGTCACCGATGCTGGCGAGGATGCTGGAGCTTTGTCCAAAATGTTTAGTTTCATATCACTGCACATTACTGTCAGGATAACGCACAGGCACTTTTACATTCTCAAACCGGCCGTTGCTTAGGTTCAGTATTCATACTGTCACCAAAATCTGTGTCACTGCCACTCACAAGTCACTTTCACTTAGAAACAATTAACTAATTGACTGTTCGGCGCCACTGTCAGGTGTCTGTTTCTACGACCACCTGATGAATTTGTACTGAGAGTCAGGGTACTTATTGTTCCAAGTTTGACTAAGGCAGGACAAGTGAAACACGATTAACTCTAGAACTATTATAATAATAAACTGGCTCGGTGAGTACAGAAGGACGGGGATTGACAGGTACAGCACAAGTATGTGCCGGAGGAGCGGCTAGCAAAGTGACGGCTAGGCAGTACCGCAACAACTGACGAGCGGTGCACAGATCGAGCTATATATAGGCCTTAACAGGGATGACGTCACTGAGTGTGATTTTACCATGTGGGCACAGAACATGTTATAAGAGGGTGACGTATGATAACCTAGAAGGTGATAGAAGATCACCTGACAGATGTATCCGTTGGCATCGTCGCTAAAACACGCTGGATCGAGATGGGAAGTTTCTGTGTGAAAAGCTCTCGTAGCAATTTCTTGTAGAAATTTTTGCTGTCATGCTGGAGTAGGCTTTGCATATGACGCAAAAGCTGTGATGGCTTACGATCACCAAGGTCTTCTTTAGAAAGGAGTTGCCGGAGTCGTTCGCGTTCGGAAATCGCGATACGATCGATTATGGCTTGTTTCATTAAACCATACGGATCTTCAACTTCGGTTGAGCACAAAATATCCCGCACTTCTGCTATTACTTCGTACGGAAGAGCAGACACCAAGTGATTATACTTGGTACGGCTTCGTGTGATGCCGTGAAGGCTGAAATTTGTTTCGGCGTATGCAAACCAGGCAAGCGGGTCCTGTCTCCATATTTGCGGAAGCTTCAGTGCGACTGCCAAAATAGACGGTGTGTCGGTTGACAGGTCTGTGTGCGAGTCAGTTGAAACCAAGGAGGTTAGATGACTGGAGGCGGCGCAGCCAGTTTTATTAACGCGGGAGGGCGAAGCCGAGCCATCTCAGTAAGCCACATGGCGGCAGCCAGTGCAAGGGTCAGTTGACTAGCGGAGAGATCGGAGAGTAATTCACTCTTTTCGCTATTATCTTCCTCGGACCTACTGAATTATTTATTTATTGCTATCANGGGCATGGTGTCGAGGAGAGTCAGGTGTATGAAACCTCTTTGTGCACAGCAGTGAGGCGCAGGCTGTATAGGGCAACCGCCTGGCAGGCTTCGTGTGGGGGGCAGCTTCCGTTAGCGCAACGTAGCGATCGCTGCCCAAGTGCGAAGCGGTGCGAGGAGTGGGGTTGAACTCTGTTGAGAGCCCAGGGTCACCAGTTGTAAGACGTGGGAATGCAAGCAGCGCGGTATTGAGTGATTTGAGTCCTTAATTAAGATCTGTGACTCGTACCAAACGTTTGGTTGTAACAAACGCCCTGTGGTTCGGCTAAGGCGTCTAAGTCAGAGACCAGACTGCGCTAGCGTCTTACAATTCTCTTTCGCATTGCGGAATGAAGCACAGTAGGAATTCTCCTGATTAACTGGGTCAAGGTCCGAAGGCCAGATTACGAACAGTATTACAGATATGTAAATGATTATGACAACTAGAGTTACTTGACGTTGTGATATTCTAGGTCGGTGCTAATAATATTAATATGTAGTCAAATAATATCTAACAGGAAATCAACTGCAGTTGCTAATTGATAATGATGCTTAAGGCAATAACATGGATAATAATGTTGAGTCAGAGTTAGTGGGTAACTCTGCTAAAATTCACTAGGCTAGCAACGTTATTCGAAAATGAGTTACGGGAGTAACTGAAGGAAATATATATACATGGTCGCTACAAATGAAATTATAAAATGTTTATTGAAGGAAGACCTATTCAAACTTACATATGATACTCTCATTTACCTGCCTTTACTCCTCTATTATTCTCAAGAGGTTGTCGCATGCGCGCAGATTTCAACGAGACAATTAGCTGGCATGAAAAGCAGTTAGCTGAGCTGCAACCGGCACTGTGAGACACGCAAGTTCTACAATTTTTCAATTAATTCGCTCAAGTTATAGTGGCATTTCAGCCTCCAAAAATAGATTTGACATAGAATGTGTGCAGTTTGCATAACTAGTAGGTATGTGCGCAGACATAGGTCCACGGATACTGATGACATAGCTTAATTTGAGGAATAACTAATGTAGACATGAGTCGATTTTGCACAGAAAATTTTCTCACTCTGACCTTTAAACACATGTTGTCTCTAACATTAAATATATTTTTTATTACCGATATTTATTGTAACTACTGATATTTCATTCCAAAATTAATCATGGCACTCAGATCTTTGATTATTTTGAATAATTTTAACATAATTCAGAGTAAATTATATTTTGCAACGGTCTCCTGTGCTCCTAATTTATGGAATTTATAAAAAATTTTGTTTCAATTTACTGAATAGTTCCCCAATGTTAATCTCACCGACGTGGCCCGCACCTTAATAAAACTAATAACTGAAAGTCTAAATTTGAAAAATGTTTTAGAGGCTATTATTATTCACTGTGCAAGCCTCTCATTCATTCTTATTCATTTATTATCATTCATCGTCGACGTCAGCCGTGCGGTACCCAGCTGACGTTGACGTCAGACGTACGTGCGGCACCCAGCTGACGTTGACGTCAAACGTACGTGCGGCACCCAGTTGACGTTGATGTCAGACGTGCGGTACCCAGCTGACGGTGACGTCAGACGCGCGG